CCCAAACCCCAAACCCAAACCCGAAGGGGACAGCCCCTTGGTTGACCCTAATTATGATGTCATCATAAATAAAAGTTAATTAAATTTATTTGATTTTATATTTTCCCAGCATATTCTAGCATTAATCCTCTTGCTGTTGTTTCATGTGTTAGCATGAAGGCACTGTTCATTGCTTTATCCTTCAAAATTAATTTGTATCTCTATTATGTTTTCTTGTAGTGTGAATTTTTCCTTTTGCTCATTCTTGAATATTTCATGGCAGATCATACATTCCCAACCATTTTATATCTATTTTTGTTTTCTTCTATATTATCTGCCTTTTAAACTCTCTGTGATCCTTTTAAACTCTCTGTGATCCTTTTATTTTTAATAATCAATTTCTAATTGAGCAACTTCATAAATTTAACAATTAATATTCTGATCCCCTTCTAATTATTTTTTTTTTAATTCTTTATTCAATCTTTTAGTTTAACTTAAATAATTCAAAAAAGGTAATAGATACTTAAAAACATGACTTTATTTTTTTATTATCATGAATTTCCCAATGATTTACCCATTTCTGGAAGATGAAAATCATTATGTATCAATTGGATTGATTGGCAATTTTGGTTTCAATATTCGAATTGATTGTTTTGATGGCTTTAGTTTCCATTTTAAACTTGAAATCATTATCTTGGAGCTTATTTAGCAGATTTAGTACTATATCATTTTTAGTGAGGGAAAGATGATAAGCCAGTATAAGTTTGTATGTACATACATCTTACATAGTGTTTGGGCAATTTTTCCAAGCATACTTGAATAATAAATAAAAATTTTTTGGTATAATCTCTAAGATTTGGTTGATTAATTTCTTAAATGCATCCACTTTATTGCTAATTTTGTTGTTACAAGCCTCTTTAAGTCATCTTTAAAAGTGTCAATATTAATTAATCTTTAAAATTTCCACTTATACTTAGAGAGTAAATGAATCAAGGAAACCATACAAAATATTTCAAAGGCCTAATAAATGTATTATTAGTTATCCCACCTAGTGTTTCCTTATTATCACTGTCTCTTCCCTTTTTACTAATTAATTTAACTAAATTATTAGTGGCTCAACCATATAATTTAGGATTTTATCTTTACATCAATTGAATCAACTGAACTTTATTTACCTAATTAAATGAAAACTAGCACTCAAAATAGATTCCCAATCTTATGAATAATAACAAAATGTGTATAAATCTTCTTGTTTTTCATGAGTTTGAGTGAAAATTTTTAAAAACAGAAATTCAAATTTTAACAAAACTGATTTTTGAATGAATTTTTTTTATTTCATTCTTTGGTTTTTTTGTATATTCAAAATATTTAATTTTCAATATTTAGTAATTTAATAAAAATTTTCTTAAACCTGAAAAATTTTTCTAGCAAAGATTTTTAATAACAAAATAAGTAAAACCAATTATAATTAAAGAGTCAAATTATTGTACTTAATTTAAAAGAAAAAATTATGGGATCTAAATTATCTGAGCAATATAGATGAATGATAATGATATAGCTAGTTCGAAGCTAAAACATTAAATTTCAATACAGATTTATCATTTTTAAGTATTACTGAAAGAGATGTAAGCTGGATCTACTTCCATGTTAATAGAAATTTTTCAGACAATATATTGCATAACTTTCTATATAAATATAATATTACAAGATTTAAATAATAGTATTTAACAAAGATTATTTTAGCTAAATCTAATATTATACATGAAATAAATCATTAAACCGTTTGTCTCATTTAATCTAATTCTGACAAGATATTCTTACTTACCATATATTTATGTCTAAGCATTTCATCCATCATTCCTTTTTTTGTTTAAGATTTTTATTTCATTTTTTCAAGTAATGTATCTAAATATTCATTATAGATTTTCTTTTTTTCAATATCTCTATCTTTTTCAAATTGAAAATAATTTTTAGTATCTTCTTTCCATAAAGTAGCCTAACATATTCCAATTTATTAACTTATTCTTGATCCTTGAATTTTTCTCTTTGCTTTTAGACTTCTTTTTCTTACATTTATTTATTCAATTATTCTCTTGTTTTCAATTTTCTTTCCCTCTTCTTTCTTTTGGCTTCCTTTTCTAAATCTTGAATTCTTCTCTCTTTTCTTTATTTATATTTATCTGCCCTTTTTTCTAGTGATCCAATATTTTCTAATGAAATAGATATCTCTTTTACTCTCCAATTCCTTTTCTTGCATTTCCACAGCCTTTTTTGAATATCATTTGATTTTTTCATCTCTTTCTTTTTACCACTTTTTTCTTATTTATCTAGTAAAATGCAATATGCATCCATTTCTCTAATATTCTTTTTCCTTTTATCTTCTTTTTTCATCTCTTAAAGTATTTTTTTGTTGGCTTTCAGGCATAAATTTTTACACGAACTAATATTGTAGAAATTTTATTCATCAATTAATTCTTCTCTTTATTTTATATCATATAAATTTCTAAAGTCTTTTCTTATTTTTCTTAATTTCTTTAACTTTTTAATCGCTAGCTTATTTCTCAATCATTTTTATTTATTAAGCCCAATAATTCATAGTAAATATATTCTTTTTTCAATTTTTTTTAATCAAATAAAGTACATTGATATATATAATTTTCATAGAATAGATTTTCCTCTCTTTTGCTCAATATCTTTTTAGATTATTTTCAATAATTATTTATCCAATTCTTCTTTAATCTTTTTCTTTATTTTTAAATTTCAGTTTCCTTATCATAGAGATATTTATTGTATTTATAGATGGCACCCCCTTAATTTTCTTCATTCAAAAATGCCAAGTCATTTTCAATTTTCTTGGTATGTAACCCCAGTCATTTTCTTATTCTTCTTTTCCTCTCTATTTTTTTCAGTTTTATTTGGGTATTAATGAAGCTCCTGAAATTTTAGAAACAAATGATTTTAATCATCTTCATCTTTTTACTTCAGTTGATTTGAAGATTATTACTATTATAGCTAAGGTAATGCCTTTTAACCATTTATTTCTTATTCTAAATTTTAGATGCAGTTAAAATTGTAATTTTTATTGAGATAGATATTTTCTTGTGAATTTATTTATTCTGCCAGATCTAAACCATATTTTTAGATAATCTATCAGTTATTTATCTTTTTATTTCTTCACTTCATTCTGGTGTATAGTTTTTACAAGATACAGTTGCCTACCACTATGGTTTATTTTTTGGGTAAATCATTACTTATATGAATAAAATATATACTTTTGATATATAATATTTTATTGAAAGAAACTCTATGTTTTCAATATTAACAATTGAATTAACTAGTTACATTTTCGCAAATATGAAAATAAATTAATTGAATAATTTTTATGATAATTTAATAATCAAAAAATGGAACAACAACTATCCTTTTATTACTGAACTGCTAATCTATGAGCTCTCTCTATTTGGCTGCTAAGCTAGATACCTTAATAATTTGTAAATTCCCATTCATTGTATATCATAAAGTGAATCAAACACATGATTATAGCTAATTTTTCTAATTTTGTGACATTGTTGAAAGTGATTTAATAATTAGGATAATCTGCGTATCTACAAGAATCACAAGAGCACACATCCTTACATCCGCAAGTTTTATAACATGCTTGTTTTTTTGTTCTTGTGTTAATGATTTGGCAATCACCTTAAGATAGACCAGAAATTTCAAATTTTCTTTCTAATTTTCTACAATCACAAATTGAACACCAGCCAGAAAGTGAATATGGGTGCTCAGGGCAATTATTTTTTTCAGCCTTAAACTTTATCTTATTATTTTATCTGTGGTTTGGTTAATAAACCATCATTTAAGGCATTGTTGAATCTTCAGATGCAAATAAAATATCATGTATAGATTTATAGCATTATTAAAATTCTAGCACTAAAACTCCTTAAATATACAATCTACCATAATCTGTCAATTCAAAATTAATGAGTTCATTTTCCAAAAAATATTTAGTACTTTAAAAGACATGATCATTGTTGCAGCAACAACAGCGAGGTTAATCTTTAACTTTATTTAGCAATATACTCCTTTATGGAAAAATGTTCAAAAGGCTTTACAAAAGATGTTTCCCCTTTCCAATACAACAATATGAAGGCATAGTAAAATCCATTTTCCAAGATAACTTACCTAAAACTGGTATGTCAATAACTGACTCTTCATAATATCTACCTCCACAACATTTACAATTAGGTGATTGATTGTGTAAAGTATGTAAGATATTCATGTTATCGGGAAGAGGAGGTAATATAGCCAAAGCTTCTTCATGAGTTAATGACAGAGGTTGGATCCATAGTTAATTAGCTGGATTAACATTATTCTATTGATTTTAGCTTTCATTTTGTAAAATATTTTAAGTCTAATCTGATTGCTACATGATTTAGAATTTAAAAAAAAATAAAAAATTATGTATTTTTATTCTACATTTTCTGGTCTTCTACTATAATATTCAAATAATCAAAAATCAACATATGATGTATTCATGTTTAATAATCCTCTATAAGAATACTTTGCCCATCTACCATGTATTGTGTAGCTAATTGTTGCCATAATTACACCTATTTTTTGTATTTAGGATAAATTTGTGAATTTGATGTTAAAATCTGGATAATCTATGAAATGACAACAGCAATCTTAGCAACCACATTGTGAAAGAAAGGCATTTTTTGATGATCTACGAGCGATTATTTTGGCAGACCCATTTTCTCCAACACTAACTGCAATATTTCGTTCCTATTAAAAAATTCCAAAAAATGAACAAATAGCACATAAATAGAAACAAGGTCTTGGGTTTGTTGGACATTTATTGCCTAATGGCTCAAAATAAATTTTTTCATTTTTTTCATTAAGTGGATTTTTAAAATATATATGAGGAATATTAGATTTGCAGTTACCACAACACTTATCAGAGCAATTATAAAGGGAAAAATGAAATTCAAGTACTAATATATCCTTAATGTATAGTTTTGCATGGGTTGAATAATTTTCAAATCTGATTATCTCATTTTGCAGAATATAGGATGGACTTTGATAATAATGAAGAGCTTCATACTGAGGACAACATTTGCTACACTTGCAACACTAATTACATCCACAACAAGAAATCAATTTACAACACATGACACAACAATCAAAACAAGCACAATGAGCACAACTGCCTTTTTTTTTGCAGTAAAGTTCTTTACACTTATACTTAATATGTCCTCCTAATTTTAATTCTCCTAATTGTTCTGTAAAGATAATGGACTCTTCTTATTTCTCATAACAATTATCCGTAAAGCTAAATTTGTGTTCAAGGTTTATTTCATCAGGAATAGGACCAATAGTGGCAATTACTTCTTCAACTGTTAATTTTTATTCTACATTCTTTATGATATTAACTTTTGAATACTTTTAAATTTTTTATAAGCTCAAGGTCATCATTTACAATACCAACTTAAGCCAAGTTATTATTTTACTCTGGAGGTCTAATATACATATTTTTATTTATATTTATGATATTATTGGATGATAAAAAAATACACAGTATTCTTATAAAACTCAGAGCACTATTATTGTCTGTAATATTTAGTTATGTTACTATCCAAATACTTTTTTTGGGTCATTAGATAAAATAAAAATGTTATTCATAAGTGTATCTTTTTTTTTATAATATAAATACCCTAATTTATTTTATCAAACGAATTCCATCAATTAAATTTATCAATCTCCTTTAGAATAAATAGTTAAATGGGTTAACTATTGTTTAATTGATAATCTTTCCTCTAAATTTTAATTAGCCAATTGCTGTGATAATATACTTCTGAATTACTCTTTTTAATTTTTAAATTATTATATGTATTGTAATATTTTAAGAGTTAACATATATATATTATAATGATTCATTGCGTTATTAGAATTGAATTAATATCATGAATTGTACAAATTAAAAAATAATAATTAAAATGTATTTAGATAAAATCTATGCTTCATTATATTTTATAAATGATTAATTATAATCCTGAATTAAAATTATACTAAATTTTAACAATCAATCTATGTGAAAATTAGATTATCAAATGATATTAATATCATACAATATCTTATAGATATACTCATAATTTAAATTTAGTAGCCTCATTGATTGTAATTGGTATTGGATTTCTTTATTTCTGATAAACTCCTCCATACTCATTTGATAACTCTGATTTTCTAACATGCCTAGCTAAATAAGCAGTATCAGCTAAGGGTATTAATAAATATGAATATTAGGTTGAATTTAACATTCCAATTACTTCTGATGAAACCTTTTCTATGTTTAAATTTATAAGAATCACTTTTCTAATATTTAGAAAATAATGCTTATAAGTCAAATTTACCAAAAAGTTTAGTAAAATTTAATTTACTGCTTCTTACTGTAAATCATAAACCACCATAATATGGTTGCTAAGTTTATTATTTTTGGCTATCTCATAAAATAGATATTCAAAAAAAAATAACAGGTATTACTAAATAAATTCAATATTGATTTTTTCTAATTTAATACTCAATACTAATCCATTTTAAAAATCCACTCCTATTATTCTTATTGCTTCTTTTAAGATTTCATTTTCTATTGGTCTTATACTTTATCTGAAATCTTAATTTTATTTTAAGATTTCATTAATTTTATTTAGATTGAATGATTAGCTTACCAAAAGAAATCTGCATAAACTTAATTCTAAGGTTTAATTAAGATTTGAGACTTCAATTATTTATTTCGTTAATGTTTTACTATATGGATTGTAATTCGAAATTCCTAATTTTTTTGCATAAATCTATATTTCTTTTGAAGGAATTGGATAAAGAAATGAATTTCTTATTTTTTCTGACACATATTAGCGTTTTAGTTAAGACGGTCTTTCTTTATTATTTATATTAGTTATTTGCTAAGATCGAGAAAGACAACCATGTTCTAGATTACCCATTGAAATATAAAATAATCAATATTTCTATTTTTTTATTAAAAAATATTAAATAATTTGATTTACAGTTTTTCCATCAATACTAGATTGGTAATCATATAAGGAGGTAGGTTTTGATAATTTTAAGTAATATCGAGTCTTTGGATACTATGCTAATTCTAATTAGATGCATTCTTCAGATTTCTTAAATTCTCCCTATTGACCCTTCAATATAGATAGTAATTCTACAGTATAATCAAATTATTACAGAAATATTGTAAAGTTAATTGATCTAAAACATTTTCAGAGAATTTAATCATCTTTAAGTTTTTTTTGAAATTATATAAATTGGATATGGCTTCAATTTATTGATTCATTTATTATTGTTCCTTCAAGTATGAAAGATTATTTTATTAAAATTTAGAGTATTTGATTAAAAGGTTTAAAGATTTAGTGATTTAATTTAGTATTATTAAAAATAGTAAAATTATACCAACGGCAACTATGATCAAGACTTATAAATCTTTATAAAATTCTTAAGCAAATAATTGATATATATCTTAATTGAGTTAATCAACTTATTTATAAAGTTCTGTCATATTTTTAAATCTTTAATAATAATTGAATTAGTTACATAATCACTATGTGTGGTGGATATGGAGGATATTCAAGCTACTATGCAATTAATAAAACTTCCTAATGATACAATGAATTATATCTACAGAGATAGTTTGATACGTCTTAGGAGCAATTACTTAGAGATTTTATGTCCTATTAATTTGAGGTGTCATTAATTAAAATCGATATGGAATTCCAATCAACTTAGTTGAAACCTGTAATTGACTCATTAAAAAAGAAAATTGGTTTAGTTGTATTTTGAGGATAGTTGAATTATCCTAATATAATTTAACCGTTGTTATTAGCTAAAATATAATCAGCTTTGAAATTTTTTTTAAAGACTCCAAAATCCATTAAATTAAAAACAATTCCAGCAAATTCATTATTTTTATCAGTTAAATTTTATGATATGGCGATTGTATAAGAGCCGATAATGGTTGTAAATAAATCACTAAACAAGTATTAATGTCCATTTTTCATTTATCTCATGTGGCTTAAATACCAAGATCGTTGATGAGCATTATATGATAAAGTTGAATTTAAAGCTGGCCAAGTCCCTAAAATAGGGATAGAATCATTAGATGTATATGCTATACCAGTTACGATGAATTAGGATGTATCAAAAATCTAAATTGTTTCATGAAATATCGAAATGACCTTAAATTGCTTTTAGATTGCAGTTGATAAATTCGTATAGTTAGTTTAATCATATTAATACGCCATTAGGCAAAAGAAAGATTTAGATTGTTCCTACGATATATTAGAAGGACAGTAAAATGGAGTTTAAGTTTTGATGATATCTTCATTTACATCAACAAATAAATAAATATTTTGGAACATCCTTTGCTTTCTGAATACTAAATAAGAATTTGTTTATAATGTATACTTTAGTTTATGATTGTTTTCAATCTTTGATCATATTAAGCCAATTGACCTGTTAATTGATTGTTAGTTTCTTTTATTAATACATTCATTGAATTAGACAGAAAGGCCTTTTACATATAACTAAAAAGAGTTATATTGCTAACAAATACGATTGCCAACACAATGATGACAATAATAATAAACAATGCTATAATTTAGGTGCGAATTCTATAATTTGATAAGTCCATTCTTAATCTTATTATAATTAAAATATGAGTTAATGTTAATCAATTATGTAAATGTTTTTCTAATTGAAATAAGACAATTTCAAATTAAAAATCAAAGCTGATAAAAAATTTAAACAAATGATAAATATCATTTATAGTGGTTAAAGTCATATGACATCTTGGTAATTAAAAATTTTAACAATCCCATCTGCTCCTCCTGTTGCTACAAACTAATTATTACTTGCTATCGTATAGATTCCTTCATCATACTTCTATTTATGTGCCTAATAAAATGAATTAATAAATTACTGGTATTTCATGTAAACATTAGAATTTTCGAATATCCCATGTTCTCATACTTCCATCATGACTCACACTTGCTAATTGATATACATTCTTTGAGAATAAACATAAATCAGTGACAGCATCTGTATGGCCAATAAGAGTCTTACAGACTTTGCTTGAATTCAAATCAAAAAATCTAATTTTATGATCATCATGACCAGAAACAATATATTTGAGCTCATTATTAAATAGAATTCTGTTTGGTTAAGCAAAGCTATTGAATTAATTATCAATATCAAATCTAATTTATTAAATTGCTTTAACAGTAGTCACATCATATACAATGAATGTTAAAGTGTCACTGTATCCACAAATAATATTTTCATTAAATCCCTTACAAATCCATTCGATTGCTGTTGGTATAGATAATCCAGTCATAGATTTCTTGAATGTGAAATTAGCCAAAGGATTTTATAGCATTTCTAAATTTAAATTCCCTTTTCTTATTAAATCATGTTAATAACAAACTCCAAGAGATTTCCACATCTTCACTGAACCATCTGCAGATGATGATAACAATCTTTGATCATGAGGGTGATGCTTCAAAGACCAAATTACATCTGTATGAGCACGCCATGAAAAATATTGATTTGTTGACACTATATATGTTCTTATAGTGCCATCTACTCCTGCAGAATACAAATGTATTTGAGGAGATTTAAAATATGAAGTCATTGTGAATATTGGTCTATCATGTTCTATTTAACATTTATATAAATAAATATACATCTAATTGTTTAAATAGGTTCTAAATGAGTCTAAGCATTCATTTATTAAACATCATTAAGATTCCACAGTTTTATTGTGCAATCTTCAGAAGATGTCACAATATAATTATTTTGAAATAAGATTGATCTTACTCCATCTAAATGACTCCTCAATTATCCTTTAGTTGAAAAAATCTCTTTTCCAACTATTATTTCTCTTTCTGTCATACTCATACTATTTAATTCATTTTGACTAGTTTCCAGAGTTTGCTTTTTTCTTTATAATGCAAAATTGAGTAATTCTGAAGCTCCATTGCTATTACTTCTTTAATGATGATGTTTTTATCTTTATGAACATGTATTATAAGTATTCTGATTAATTAAAATTTAGTTTATTTTGGCACTTTAGAGTAATTACAAATTTATAGGAGAATGAATTTATATTTAATTTTAAACTTAATCCTCTTGAAAATCTTCATTTTTCAATTCTTTAAGAAAGCTAAATTTATTAAATTGATTACTTTTGTAAAAGAGGTTTCTTATCCTTCTACAATATTTTTTCAATATTTGGTTGAGTTATTAATTTTTATTCATTCATTTCATTTTTTAAAAATGTTCCATTATCACTTTTAACACGATGATGAAATTTTTTTTTTGTTTAAAGTTTTAAATTATCTGCAATTGGTTTTAGAGAAACTTTAAATTATTCCAATTTGTCTAGTCTATCTATTAGTTATTTGTTCAGATTTCTCTATTCTTCCAATTATCCCTTCAATTCCATTATTGCAGTCTGTTTCATATCACAATAATCATTACTTAATATTCAAGTCTTTCTTTCTTCCATTCCTCCTCTCTATCCAATACTTCTCCTTTTAGAAAATCAATGACATTATTAAAGTTCTACATTTCAGATTTTGCGAGGATGCTAGAAATGCTTATATAAATATATAATTAATAAAAATATTCAATAGATATTTTATTATCAATAATAATTATTTAGATATCTATTGTAATATAATCTGATTTACATATTAATACAAAATATTATTCATTTACATATTAAATCTATTACATAAAGTTCTAATTAATACCAGATATTTTTAGCTAAGCAGCTGACTCCTATTAATATCGAACAACATTTTACCAAGTTGTCATGTTATGAAAATATGAATATCAGAATTCTTTTGATTATTAGTATTAAATTTGTGCATCACATAATAATTTTTAGTTAATAAAAAAATATTCGTTAATGAGCTAATTCACTTTTATGAAGAAGTATTTATAAAAATAGACATCTGAAACTAAAATGCACTGCGAACCTTTAATAACTTTGACTATTGAACTAGATGAAAATAAATATAGTCAAATTAACATATATGAAGATTCTAATCCAGAAATATTAGCATCTAATTTTGTTACAGATAATTACTTAAGTGTAGCTTATGTTGAACCACTTAAATAAAATATCATCTAATAAATGTTGATGTATGACTAAATGAAAGTAAATACATTGATTAAAACAATAGAAATAAGAAAAAGAGAAATAACCTCTAACTCAATGGGAAACTGTTAAAAAATAACAATAAAATAAAGAAAATTAACAATTAACACCAACTAGAAATTTGAACACTAAAAGATGTACTCCTGAAAAGTCTCTGTAGTCTAATTTAAAATCAGAAAGAAATCTATCTAGAAATAAAAGGTTTTAAACAGAAGATATGAATATTCATGAAAGACTTTACTAATAAGCTAAATAAACTAATAACATCAAATAATAAAAAAAAGAACAAGAATAAATATAAATATAAACATAAAAGTAAAAAGATCCAAATCTCACTTTTAAACCAAAAATTAATAATACTAGTTCAACCAATAAAAGTAAGAGTCCCTAATCTAATTAAAATTAATTTTATCTGCAGCCAACTCAATAAAAATAAGTCTAACTTAAAAGTCCCAGACTCAATTAATTGTATTAAAACAAATCATTTGAATTTTTGATTCCAAAAAAAGAAGTTAAGATTTCTATATTGGAAAATGAAGAGAGTGTGACTTAGTTACCTAAAACATAAGATTCTCCGAATGTATCATTTTCTGAAGAGAGTTAGTTTAAAAACGATAGTCCTTATACTTCAGCCTAAGAGGAGAATTCATTATATTAAGCAACAAAAGATTCAGATGAAAGAATAGTAGCAAAATTATTTACAATGATAGAATCAAATAATGTAGTAGATGCACGCAATATACCTTACGAAAAGTTTAATTATTAATTAATAGTTGAGCTAAGATTACATTTTCAAAAAAATGATTTCAAAATTATGAATTGTGAATAGTTTTGTTAGAGTGTATTGAGAAATTCAAAACTAATCAAAGTATTTATAATTTATTTTTTAGTTTGCTACTGATTTTTTCAAATATGAAAATGTTTAATACTAAAATACTTGTTATTATCATTGAATGATAAATTACTATAAAATATGATCAATTTATGTATTATTTTGTTTTTAAATCTGAAGTTTTGTTTATGAATTTCGAATAGTTATTAATTTAATTATTATTACACATGGCTCGTATAATAAGCAAATTAGTATAAATAAAATACTATATAGTTTTCTGATTCTTCTGCTTCAGAAAAGGACTTACCTCATGGCTTTGCTGAATAAATTTTACAACATGATATTAATTTTGTGTTAAGCAATTTTACGAATTTAGATGCCTTGAATCATTTGGTATAATTATATATGGTAAATTTATTACTGATGTTTGTTTAGAAAGGAGTTGAATATTATGAATCTTTACAAGATCGAAAATAAGAATATTTTAAATACAAACTACATTGGTTGATGAGTCATCCAAATTTATTATAAGAAAAATCAAAAAAAGTAGAAATGCATTATCCATCTATTCAAGAAAAATTACTATAAAAAATAGAGCCAGATGAGAAAAATTAAGTTCAATAATTAATTACAAATATTCAATAGGATAAATAAAATCATTTGAAATTATAAAAAGTATATTTAAATAATTCTATTTCAGCTTATATCTAATGAAATAAATGATTAACAATAAAGAATCAATAGTAGACTAAGATAGAGATCTACTTCAAAGAATGAAAGAGATATTAAATAATAATAACCATAAATTTATCATAATCAACATTATAATAATTAAATTCAGAGCCTTTAATAACAGCAAATCAAGGAAGCTAGACCTGAAGAAGAATAATCATATGTTTATTCAAAACATATATCACCCCATAAATGAAGTATTCTGTAAAAAGAATGTATTATAACTTATACACATATTAATCAGATAACGACTACAAAAATAAACACGAATATTTCCAAAAATAAAATTATTAGTAGTTTCCAAGAACTGGATTAATCTAAAAAATAATTCATTTTATTTTTTAATCTATTCATAGCTTAATTTGCATAATCAGTCTAATCTTAAATAAAAACAATACATCTTCGTGTAATTAATCTATAATTCCATTTTATTCTTTGATTTACTTACTTAGATTTTAAGATGAATATTTAATATTAAGAACTTTGTCATTAATTTTACTCAAATATTCATCTTATTTATCAGTTATTTCACCATGCATCTTAAGGGCATCCATTTATCCAAAACTTTCATAATTTTTTTTGTTGTTTTCTACAATTATAATTAAACAAAATACGTTTATTTTATGTCAATTATTGTTATAAATAAAGTAAGTGATTCTATTCAATTCGTTTTTTAATCTCTTATCGTTTTTGTGCTAATTCATTATATAAATTTCTTCTTTTCTAAATTTCTTTAGCTAACAAATTGCAATTCTAATTAGCTGTATATCCCTTAATTTCTTAATCCAATTAATCCAATTCATTATCTAAATCAAATTTTCATATTCACCTAAATATTTTAAAGTGGAATTGATTTCTGCATCAATTAGCCCTGTAGATTTACTCTATTATTTCAATTTTTCTCTTGTTTATAAATCTGTCTGTATTTAATTTATTCTTTTAGAGGCGTTATATGCTAGTTCTGTAAACATGGTTAATTAAGAATTTAATATATAAATTTCAATAAATTCTTTATAATAAAATCTTATTAATAAATTGATAATTTTGGCATATTCTATATGATAACATTATAAAGATTAAACATAATGTTTGAATAGCATTAATCGATTATATAATATTTCATAAATTTTCAATTTATTTCAATAAGTTAAATATAATATGAGTTTGATTATATATATATATATATAAAATGTATAATAATTTTGGGGATGAATAATACAAACTTAATAAATGGTGTCAATTTATTGATCAAAAAATTGCTCAGTTTTTCAGCAAACATTTACTAAAGCATAACTCAATTAAAGAATATTTTTATGACTTTATTAATGCTTTATCAATAATAATTATTAGATTCACTTTAAAAACTAACGAAAATAAATTGCCTGCATTTTGTCTTATATTAGTGATTATGCATTTGCTATTAACTATTAAATAGAAACTCCGTAAAGTTTAAAATTTATTAAATCATCTTATTGATGTATTTGTTTTAATTTCTATATTAAACTTTAATAGAGAAAATGACAATGAATTTATATTAAGACTTGCTTTACAAATTGGAATTCAAACTTCTAAATCTATGATATTTTAATATGATTAATTTAACATGTTTTTTTAGAATATCATAAAAATTTCATCAATAACAATCATTAAATGGTATTTAATCAAAGATTATAAGTATATTTTAAATTTATTTTAGTACTTTTAAAATAATTGTATTAATAGCTTTGTTGATATTTTATTAAATAATTTAACTTCTTATAGTTACAGCCTACTCTTATGCTTATAAAAATATTTGGATTAATAATGAAAGAATGAAAAAGAATAATCAAATGATTGAAAAACTTCTTTATGAATTACCAGTTGGTATTATATTATTTAATTCGAATGGAGAAGCACAATTCTAGAATTCGATTTCATATAAATATTTACCAAAATCAGTTGATTTAGTAAGAAAAAAATATTAATTGGATGCAGTATAGACGTATAAGGATTTAATTTTGATGGAAGGGGACAAAGTGAAATTTCAGAAGGTTTTTGTGGAAACTTTGGAATCTACAGATCCTATAATAGTATCTTTTGCATTTTAAGGACATCCTTTACCCATTAGTTGTCATTTAAGAAAGTAGGTTTTTAATAAGAATTCAGTTGTAGAAGCAATATTTATTGAGAAATCTGATGATTAATCCCTGATTTATGAAAGAATTTCATAGAGTTTATAAATCATGAAGATTCAATAGATTTCTGATATTTTATCTAAATAACCTGAAGGAATTAAGTAGCAATTATTGTAGGCTTTATTCCCTATGTTGAGTAAAACAGATTATTAAAAGTCTGATTAAATTGTATGCAATTTGAAGAATTACTTTAAATTTTTTGCTGATTGTTTATAGATCATTTATAAAACTAATCCTAATGTTAGAATAGAGAATGATGTTCCAGACCAAGCCTTTATAGATATAGTAAAGATGCACGGTATTTTAACATAACTGATATCTTACATCTATTAGGAACATCATAGAAAGTAAGTAATGCAAGGAATTTCATCCTAAAGGTAATTAATTTAATAGAGTGAAAGGTAAATTGAAAGAGATATGAACAATTTTTCATTAATTTCTTTTACTATTTCTAAAGGGGATGAATTGTAAATAACAATTTAAATAGATTATCATAATTAAATTTAAGAATTAGAAATGCTATTTTAGAGATTTGACTTTGAAGGATTAAAAAGTTATGATTTTAGATTGTAATAATTATAAGATGAAGATTTATCATATACATCATTTGTTCATATTTTACATTAGATTTATTCAATGGAAGGTCAAATAGAATTATGTGAAAGAATAGATAATATTAAGATTTAAATGAATATTCCAATGAGAGTAACAAATGAATATCATTCAGTTCTTTTAGATCATTATATTAGCATGGGTAAGTTGGATACTCAATCTAAAATATATTCAATAAATAGTGAATTATTCTAAGCTTTTAGAATAAAGTCTACAAAAAAGATAACATCCACATAAAGGATAGCTCCATAACCAGTTCCTCTTAGAGTTAATGATGAAGCTGTAAAGGTTTAAACATCATTAAGTGAGTAAAAGCCATTTTAAATTTGTAAATGTTTTGAATTTACTTATCGTCCTAATGTAATAAGTGAAGAGGAAAAATTAGAATCTAATAAAATAATAAGTCCTAATTTATCACCTATTAACAAACCATCTACTTTAAAATAAACAGATGTAGCTACATTTGATATTGAAGATAGAATAAATACATAAATGCATTCAGTAGAAAAGGCAGTTTCTAAGGTATTAGAGTAAGTTTTATCTGAAATTATGACATTTAAAGGAAAAAGAATCAATGTTCATTTTAGAAATTCAAAATAAAAACAAAAATCTTTTGAAACCTCTCCAAGCAGTAATCACTTAATATTATTTATTAGATTCATCAGCTTAATAACAATAAAACTAAAGAAATACAAGTGTACCAAATTTATAGTAGTTTAGAACTACCATTCCTGAACAAAGAGAAACAAATGTAAATCAATAATAATTGTAGTAATTATAACAATTTCCCAATCAATCTTTATTTAAGTAAAATGCTACACAACAAGTACCCATATCATAATCATAAAATTTTGGAAATGGACCCTCATCCTCTCATTAATAATAATAAATGAATTCAGTCATATAACCTAGAAAAAACTAAGGAACTTAATTACTCAAATCTCTTAGAGAGAATGATTCCAAAGTATAACATCTAGAGTAAAGTGATCAATTTAATCAATTTAAACCAGATGAAAATAATGATGATCTCAAAAATTCTGTTAAATTTATTCCATCTGCATAAGAAGATCCCTAAATATAAAAGTCATAGCATTCATAAACATCTCTTGGAGTGATTGTTCAACCAGTACAATCTCAAGGATCTGAGAAATCACCTTGTTTTAAAGTTTAAAAATAAGTAACTATCAATGAAATCGATAGTCAAGCTGAGGAAATCAAATAATAAGAAACTGTAGATCTAAAACAATTTTATTAAGAGAAGCTAACTTATTTAGTAGTAGATGATTCAACAGATTTTTTAGATTTCAAAATTAAATAAACTCATTAATTTGATCAAAGTATAAGATGCACAGATGCAACCAAAAAGATTAAATCAATGTTTGAACGAAATAAAATATATCATTTTATTATCGTAAGGATTAATCTTCCTTTAAAGAATGGAATCTAAGTATTCTATACTTATATTTTAGTTTATTAAAGAAATAAGATAGCTTGAAAATTAACACAATTTACCCAAATAATATTTTGTTGGTATTGAAACCAATATATCTTAAACTCTAAGATAATCATGTTTAGAAGCTGGATTTGATGAAGTTTAAGAAAAACCTTTAAAGTCATAATATTTAGAGTAATTGATTGAAAATCGTATGAATCCTTCTCCTGTGGTTATATGGAAGCCTATATTGAAAAGCTCAAACATGGATTAATAAGAGAAAATTAATTAAATTCACAAAGATCTAGATTAATTATCCATACCTTAAAAAATTTCTTCATTCAAAGATATACCTGTTCCTTAAAAATAACCATAAAATAGAAAAGCCTTCTATCATCCCATTGTTACTATTTATATATTAGATGATTCTAGTGTATAAATTAGTGCTTTATCATCCATGAGATTTAGTTTCAATGTTAAAGTTGAATATGATAGAACAGTAGATGCTGGAATTAAACGTTTTAATAAATTATTTGAAGAAAAAAAAATCTATCATGTAGTTTTAGTTAAATAGAATTTTACACAAAAAAAAGGATTAGAGGTTTATATTTGAATTATTTTAGATATTATAATAAATAAGGGAAATGGAGGAAAAATATTAAGTTCCAAAATAAGTGATAGTAGCCATAGATAGTGACTTCACTGAAGAATAAAAACAAGAACTAATAAAATAAGGATTTGATAATGCTTTATCAAAACTTATTGATAAAAGATTGTTAGAGGAAATTCTAAAATAAAGGTTAGAAGATAATTGAATTTTATATATTTTAAGAATTACAATCATCATTGCTGTAAATAATTATTGGATATTTAATAATTTACAAAAATTCAAAATCAAATTTTTGTATTTTTCTTTTTGGCATTTCATATTTTATTACATTTAAAGTATTAAAATAAAAGTATTTCAATTTTTATTTTAGAGTAATTTAAAAGATATAATTAATCTAAGTTTATTATGGAATGCAATCAATTTTATTATTGATTCTTTTTATCCAAAAATTGGAATTCTATCATTAGATTTGAAAATCTACTATGTCGATAATTTTTGTCAAACTAAAAAACATGCAAGAACCACAATAATTTGTATGGGTTATTCTTTGCTCCAACCACTAAATTGGTTTCCCAATCGTCATAATCAAATAAGGTCTCAATTTCTTGTAATACTAAATTATGATAAGAAATCACTATTGACTCTGATCTTTAACACTCTTTTTTTTATTCATTTTGTATTATTATAGTCTTATTTGATATAACAAAAATAAAAATATTGATTTGATCATTTTACCTCTTAAATTTATTTTCATTAATACTTATTATTTCATTCTTTTTACTAGTTACCCATTTATTCAATATTATTTTGAATAATTTAAGTATAATACTATAATTATTCAATTATGATTTCCATTTTTCATAAATTGAATTTACTTTGGGGTCAATAAATCTTTATTCAGAAATTGGAATAAGAGATATTATTTAAATTTAAATATTGAGATTATATATATATATCATTATGCTTTGGAATTAATTCAAATAATAATCTAAGTTAAATATATTACTAATAATTATTCAATTAATTTTTCCCAAATTAATCAAAATTCAAAATTCTAATTTAATATTAATTATCCAATAAAATTCATTTTTATAAAAATGGAAGATGGCTATGTGTAAGAGCTTTTTAAGCTATTTCGAGAATCATAATATGTTCAACCTCCTAAAAAACCATTCAGTGCTTATGAAAGATTTATAGGAAATTATGAACAAGCATGCAAAGATAAAAATCTAAATCATAATTCTGATTAGGCAAAAAGATAATGGGATAATTTAGAAAAGGAACTTAAAGATGGTACAATTATGTTAGATGTTAGAATATTTTCGATTATCAAAGAAGGATGACGAACTTTATGAAAAATTGCTTCGTTAATATCATTCTATTTCTAATCTGATTAAAAAAAAGAAAGCTGATGGATCAGTGTTATTTTTCTAAGAAAAAGGAGCAGATAAAGGATTAACTAATCTTTAATAATTATGGGATGATTTAAGTATTGAAGAAAAGTAAATATATGGATAAAAGGCATAATAAAATTGTGAGGATACTATAAAAGTATTTTATATATCTACCTAAGGCCTTGATAGAAGAATATATTACAGATTATGAGCATTATTTAAATCAATAGAATGAAAAACCATAAGACTTATAATTCGTATAAAAGATAGAGGATGAGTAGGATGAAATAGATTAAATTGATATCATTATTGGAATAAAGCGTACTAATGGAAAAAAAGAATATTTGGTTAGGTTTAAAGGTAAAACTGGTAAAGATGCAAAATGGTTTCCTAAGAAGAAATTAAGAAAAGTGAAAGAAATAGTTAAAGATTTCGAGGATGCTTATTTTAAATAATCATTTTAAGATAATGAATCAAGTAGTGGTTTTGATTCAACCCCATAAGAATAAATTTTCTAAGAATATGAAAAGGAAGATAAATAAATCAACAAAAAAAATTAATAATATAATGAAGAAAACAAAATAGATGATATTGAGGAAGAAAAAGAAGAAAAAAAGAAAGTGAAAATATCCAATAAAACCAACTAATCAATTCAATGTCCAATAAAAATATAAAAAGCTACAAAATTACAAAAATCAAATTCTCCAAAAATTGTCAAATAACCTAAAGTTGTAATTCCAAAAAACTAAGAAATTGAAAATAAAACAAACTAAACAAGAAGGAGTAAAATATTAGATGATAAAATTAATTCAATTACTAAAACAAAGAGTAGTGCAATTTAATAAGAATCAAATAAAAAATAATAAAATAAAATAAAGAACTAAAAATAATCAGGTCAATCTTAAGATGATGCCAAATAAAAAAGTAAACAAGCATCATTAGACAAATTTATTGTATCAGTTCAAGATGTTTCAAGGAAAGAAGATAATACTAAGAGTAATTAATAAGTGTTACAAAAAAGATCTATCAAATAACTTAATTTAGATACCAAATAAGAAAAACCTGTAAAGAAAAAAGTAAAGAAATAAGATAATTAAAAATCTATTTTTGAATCTAAGATAAAAACACCTTAAAAAAAATCAATATCAAAATCAAAAGAAGATAAATAACTTAATTAAAAAAATCAAGAACTACCTATCACTAAACGATAGGGTAGAAGTAGGAATACTCTACCATCTGATGCACAATAGGTATCAACTACAAAATTAAATTCTAAGACTTAAAAGTAAGAAATCAAGGACAATAAATAGTCTAATAAATAACAACATTTATTGTTTTAACAATAAAGTTTAAGTAATTCTAATCGAAAATAAAAATAAGTAAGCCAATAGAAATAATAAAAAAATAAATAATAATCTACATAGTAATAAATTGTTAAGTCAAAAACCAGAAGTGTAAGTGTGTAATCAATTAAACCAAATAATAATGAAATTTAATAAAAAAAATAAAATCCAATTAAAAAAAATCGATCTCGATCAGTAGAACCTAAAATTAATGTTAGTATGAGAAGCAGTAATTCAATCAAAACAAATGAGAGCAGTAAAAATTTAAAGAAAGTCCCTTAGATTAAAACGCAATCAAATGAATAATTAAAAAAAGCTTAAAAAAAATTATCAACGAATTAACTGCAACCTCAAATAGGAAAATAATAAACTCGTATATAAAATAAAAATTTGATTAATGTGAAAACATAAAACCAATAATAACCTAATGGTAGAGGAAACAACAGAAATTCTAAAATTAAGAATCCTATTGAAATCAACAAAAAAATATCAAAAAAAAATATAAAAAAATAAAAAGAAAAAATTACAAAAAAAAAATTAATATCAGAATAAGTAAACACCAAAAATAGAAGTAAAAATTAAAAACCCAAAGCTAAAGTTGCTGTAAAATAAACTAGGTAATTAAGAAGAATAAAGTCTAAAGAGATTGGAAAAAGAAAGCACTGAATGTTGACTATCTTTTGAATTATTTAAAATATACATTAAAAAATATATTTTCATTTAGATGTAACAGGGTATTAGTCAAAACTTCACAACAACTCTTAATTTTAATATTGATGATGAGATATTCATAGTTTTACCACATAAAGGGGAAATTAATTTTAAAGGATTTGCACAAACAGAGGTAATCATATTTTAGAAATTAGGAATTATCATAAAATGACAATATCTAATAACCATTAAAAAGTATTGCAAATGAGCTTGTTTAAAAAACAATTCCTATTAGATAAAGTTGGGTTCTTTTGAAAGAAGCTCATCAGTTTAATTTGCCACCCTCATATTTTAAGAAAAAAATTGTAATTTCAAGAGATAATGATGAAGATCAAATTAAAAAAGTAGTTAATTAATATGATTTTATTCCATATGTATAATTCGATGATGAATAATTAAATTAAATATGGAAAGAAGCTACTTTTGATGTTATATAGTAGAATAACAGAAATACAAAAAACCGATGGATTGTTTCAAAATGGATAGTAAAAGGAACTAAGAATATTAAAAACTCTTTTAATAAAGATATGTTAAAAGCTTAAGATTGTGTAACTGGATTAGGAGATTTTATATACAATAAAAAAAATTTTAATAAATTATGGAACTTTTCAATTGTACATGGCATTTATCTAATTATTAAAGTAAATAATAATAAGAAATTAGAAATCATTATTGATACCATCCCTTTTTATTGGATACAGGGAAGTGATTGGAGATACATCTACTAAAGCAGCATAAATTTAAGTTGAAAAAGAAAGGTAATTATCTCTAAGAAATAAGAATTTGAATTTTGCTATATATTAGTATTTCTATCATACTCAAGAAAGTTAATCTGCTATAAAATTGAAAGTTGATTATATAAAAAATCAATTGAAGAATTTTGAATAAGACTGTTGGAAAATAGCAGCATTATTGAGCGATAGACATATCAATTAAAATAATTAAAATAATAAAGAATTTAGAAATCTTTAAGAAAAATATCAAATAATATATGATTCAAATAAAGACATTGAAGAACTTATAAGTGAATAACTTAATAATGCTCAAAATAGATATTTGTAAAAAAATACGATAGATTTGCCTGAACCTGCTATAAAATAGATTTAAGACATTTTAGAATGTTATAAATTATAAAAATATTATTAAGAACTATTGAAAGTATCATTCTTTATCATTATTATAGAATGAATTGGCAAACTATGAAAATGAAGTGATATAATAATATGAAAAAGACTTTTTCTTTCTAAATAAATAAAATCATAGAGAAGAATATATTAAGGAAACTTTAAAGTTGAAAAAGAAGAATTTAAAAAAACAGTATTACAATCAAATGATCTAAGAATTATCCCAAAAAAATATTGTTGATAGAAATATATATATAGAATTTATTGAGAATAAATAAAAATATAAGAATAGAGTAAAAGAAATTAAGAAAATAGCTAAAGAACAATTTTCAAGACCTAATATAGCTTTTTATATGTAAATATTTTGAAATTATTATAGAGTTCGTTTAGTTGTTCCTCCTTACCCAATAATTTTAGAAGGAAACAAATATTTCTTTTTAAAAATAATTAATTATGAAGTGAACTCCTCATATTATTTTTGGAAATTTTTAAGTTTTTGCTTATTATATTTTACTATAATAATCAATAGTTATTATTTGTTTTATTAATTTGGAATATATGGTCATTTTGGACTAAAAGCCTTATTTTCAATAGAAAAATTCTATAACGATAAAAAAATTAATAGTTTAACAGGGGAAGTTACAGAAGATGAATTGATTGAAACAATTTGTTCAACTATGAGATAGATTTATAGAGGAATGGAAAAATCAAGAAGAGAATTTGAAGAATCTGAAGATTCTGATATGTTTGGTAAAGGTTGTTTAAGAATCTGTAATTTAATTGAAGTCTATATTTTTCGATTTTTGTTTGTAGGAGTATTTTGTACTTTAATTTTGAAACCTATGTTAATACTTTTAATCTCAAGCATACTATTTTTTATTTTTATAACTTCATTTATGTGGGCAGGATTTGCAGTAATAATTAAGTAAATATTATTCAATATAATAGATGGATGGTATGTTTATTATTTTTTGATATTGATACAGCAGAAAGACATGAATATAATGAAATAGATTATATTCATTGGTTTATGCCATTATTCAGAGCTTTTCTTGATATTATGATAGGAATAGTTGAAATAATGGTTTGTTTTATCTGTTTGTTAATTTTTCCAATATTTGCAATATTTACAATTTTATTTGGAATTCTTAGATTTATAGTACGATATATTTATGATTGCTTTATGATGATTGTAAGGATTAAATTAATATTTGTAGTTTGTTTATTGTTGTGGAAGAGTTCCTTATCGTTCAGGATGTTTAGCTTGGAGAGTTGGTGGTGATAATATATAGAAAAAGATTATATATAATTATCATAAAGTAAAATTAATATTTAATATTAGTTAACAAATGAAGAATTAATTCTATTGACAGCTAGAGAATTAGAACGATATATTCTTGAAGAATATCAAAATCGCATTATAATAGCTATATAATAACCAGAAAAATTTATAAATAATAGTTTACAACCATTTTTCAATCGATTTAGTGCACAATATTAATGTATTGATTAAAATTCAAAATTACTTTTGGATTAACTGTCTATAAAAATTGCAAAATTAAAATCACTTCATCCAGAATTGGATTCAGAAACAAAAAAATACATTAAATATACAGTTAATGAACTTTAAGAAATTAAATTATTTTTGATTACATTTTTAATTGAATAAATCAATTTAAAAAATATGCATTCTTTTATTTGGAAACGTACTGGATTATAAATTGGAGAATATTAAGGTTTGATTGATATTATTATTACTTAAATTTTTGGTAATGACGTTATAATAAAACCAGAAGAACTAGTTCAAGAGGTCTAAATTGTAATTATTATTTTTAATATTATCATTAGAAAGTAGAAAAAGAAAAAGGAATAGGTGAATAAATTGAAAGAGCAATGCTTGGATAAGTCAATTTAAATTAACCTAATAAATTAATAATAGAATAAAAAAAAGAAATACCTTAATAAATAACAAAGAAAGTACATAAATAATTTATTCCAATTTCTGAAGTAAATCAATCTTTTAATATTAGATATTTGATAAAATATGGTTGGCCTAATAAACAAATTAAGAATGGAGTTCTTTAATTAACAAAGATATGAGATTTTTATTAAATTACTCTTTGAAAAATGAATGATGTTTTTTTTAAGAATATACTTTTATTAATAGTATTTTTTAATCAAATAAAATTAATATATGTTTCATATATACTTTTTTAAGATTTAATGATTATTGATTTGTTAAAGGTTTATATCATTAATCTTAATTTGATATAGATATATTCTACAAAAATTTGTTCAGTAAAACAATAGTCTTTAAACTTCTTAATTTAAAAAATATTTTTCAATTTTCAAATCAATTTAATTAAATCTTTAGAAAACTATCAAAAAAATATATTATTATTCAAATCATTTTATTATCTTTATCATATCCATTTAATTCAATAAAACATAAAAATCTACAATGATTAAAATATTAATAATAAAACAATTAATTGAGATTAAGAGCAGATAATAAATCTAAAATATCTTAATGAATATTTTTATCAATCAAAAATAAATCTCTTCTTTCCAACATTAGCTTAACATTAAGGACAAAAATGAACTGCATCTTTGCAATCTTAAATAAAACTTGGTATTAAACAGCAACTTTAAATTTAATTTTAATTTATATACCCTAACCAAAGTCCTACAGCTGCCAATAATCCTCCTACTATGTAAGTTCCTGTACCTGTTTCATAGTTTACTACAGTTTAGATTTATTGTTAACAATAGATACAAGTTACTATACTAGGATATTTAGAATATATTGGTTAAACTATTATAACAATCTAACTTACTTATTTAAATTTGTTAAACATTATAAATTGGTTATTCTCCTTAAGAATAAGGATTTTGTTGATAAGGAACTTGTTGAATAATTTATTAAGGTGGAATCACTTATGAAATAGGTTACCCTACTTAAATCGATTAATTCTGTATTGGTGAATAAACTCCTTAAGAAAGTGATTCTTGATTAGGAATAGGATTCATTTCTTATTGAAGTTGCATATGTTGATTATTTTACATTAGTATAGTTTTTTATAATAAAATTAATAATAATAATTTCTTGATACAGTTTATAAAAGAATGAATAAAAATATATAATTCGTTAAATGGATTATGAAAATTTGCTTCAAAAAAATCCAACATTTTATTAATAATCAAAAACGCACAGATCATCTAGTGCTAATCAAAACTCTTAGAAATAGGGATGTCCATAATAAATTAAACCTAAAGCATTATTAAAGAAATTAGAAGAAATCCTTTAATAAAGACAATAACAATTTAATTAAGTGAAATTAAAAAAGGTTAATTAATGCAAAAGCAATTATACTGAAAGAATATCAGGAAAAAAAAGTGTTTAGATATTGTTGGATGATGAAAAATGGAAAGCTGATCTACAAAATTTTGTATGAATTTAGAATAATTTAAAAATAGGTTACTTAAAAAAAAGAAAGGAAAAGTTGCTATCCTAACATGAATTCTTTGTAGCCATCAGCTTAAAATTTATTTGATTAATTTTCTCAAGATAGTAATAGCAGAAATCCCACCATCACTAATAGAAGTAAAAAGGGTGAGATTTCTCCAAAAAAAGGAAGAGCTAATGTAATGATATATTCATTATAATCAATAGTCTATTATGGATAGATAGAATTCAAATGACAGAGACAAATTAAAATTGATATAATTGAATTAGGAATTATAAATTTAGAATAATCATTTAAATGAATAACTAAGGTTTGAATAAAATTAGAATACTAAATTAAGTATATAAATAATTAGTATGAATGATTAAATTACTTTATTAACGAAGTATTCTATATTTTTGTTTAGGGTAATTAAAAGAAAGTTAGAAACAATTAGAATATAGAGATAAGGAAAATGATGATATAATAAGATCATTAAAAAGTCAATTAGATATGATTAAACCTGAATATTATAAATAATAAGAATCTATTGCAAATTAAGAAAGGTAATTAATAGCATATCAAAAAATTGAAAAAGATATGCTGGAATTAGAATAAATAATACCTTAAATTTCTACTTTTACAACTCTATTTATAGAACAAAATGTCTAAATATCAGAATTATAAGATTTATTAACTTTATAAAATAATATAATTGATAAGGTATTAAATAAAAAAGATTTTCCATTAAACAATTTAATCTTGGGTAGGGAACCTAAAAAGCCTAAATAATATAATAAGGATTTACCTTTTGAATCATCTTAAAATTTAGATAATTTAATTAAATTAACAAGATAATAGGTAAATCTATTAACTGAAAGATTTATTCATGAATTATTTGTATGAATAAAACTATTATTTAGAATAAATTATTTATTTTTGTTAATCTAAATTGTTTATTCTAAAACTTAATCAATAACAATTGATATTTATTTCTCTTTATATTTTAATAGATCTTAAAGGAATATAAATAATTATCACATAATGAACTTTTGATAAGATTAAACAATTTTTATATTTTAAAGATCACTAAATAATAATGATACTGAAATTTAAGAAAATTTTCAACAATGGTGAACCAAAAAACTAAAATGAAAAATTTATAAAATAAAAGAAATAATTTAAAAAAACAAAAGAATTTTTAAATTCAGTAATAAAAAGAAATAAATGTTTAAAAGTATATAATATCAAAAATGAGTAAATAATGACATAAATATTCAGTCAATTTAAGATGTTTTTGTTTTTCCTGATGCATTAGTATTTAATTTAGACTAAATTCTTTTACCTTTTATCCATTTTCCTCTTATTGAAGTACCATTAGGTTTAATGATTTATCCATTACCATGAAATAATCCTTATTTCCATAATCCAAGATATTTTTAACCATTTGGCCAATAGAGAATTCCATATCCTTCTCTTTCATCATTAATATAATATCCATCATATTTGGATCCATCTGGCCATTTAAAAATTCCTTTTCCATGTTTAACTCCATTTTTCCAATCTCCTGTATAATTCCTGCCATCTTAGAATATGAGAGTACCCATTCCTTAAGGAACATCTCTTTCAAAGAAACCTTCATAGATTGAACCATCAGGAAATCTTAATATTCCTTAACCATTCTTAATTCCATTAAGAAAACTTCCTTTCTTAGATATAAAACAGTTATACCTTCATATCTCCAGCCATTGGAATAAGTTTAGACTCCGATACCATTTGGCAAATCATTCTTCCACTCCCCTTCATAATAAGTACCATCAACAAACGTATATTTACCCTAACCTTCAACTACATTTTAAATCCAATGACCTCTGAAAAATTCACCATCCATTAATTAGAATGTTCCAAACCCATTTGCTTGATTATTTACCCATTCACCAACATATGATGAGTTATCAATCATTACATATTTACCAAAACCATTTGCTTTGCCATTATTCCATTAGCCTTCATAATAAGCACCATTAATCATTTAGATAATTGGTAGTTTAATCTATGATTGAGTTAGAGTCAATAATCTATCGTTTTTACTTTTAGGAATAAAGCAAAGGCTATTCATATCGAATGAGAATTATTTTTTTAGACTTGATAGTGGACTGCCTTCTGAAATCTAACTTTGATTATCAGGAATATCCTTATTACAATAGGATTAACATTATTAATTAACTTCAGCAAATTTTTTATTTATCTCTTCCTCTTCTTTTAAATAATCTATTATCATGCTTTTTTTCATGATTAAATACTGAGGTTAATTTGGAAAATCATCAGTATTGCTGAATGTGTCTTAAATCATAATGTCATGATTAAAAATGGGTGAATTGTACTTCTATTATGTAGATAGAAGAGAGAACTATCTAATAAAATTTTTTTAAATAAAATTATTACTTTCTAGCCATGTAGCCTTTAAATGCAGCTTGTATTCTAATTATTCCCTTGATATTTTGGTGTGTAAACTTATTTGTAAATTTGAGTGTATGTTTAGGTTTAGTTGATTTAGTTCTTATTTCGGTTGTCTAATTAGCAGGACCAAAATTATTGCATTATTGACAGTTTCCCATTATTTGATATAGTTTGATTGAAATAATTCAAATAAATATTATATACTGAGACATATTCATTTCTTAATATTTTTGATAATTTATTACATAATTATTATATTTATATAATACATTAAATGCATTAATTTGAGAATGAAACAAAGAAATTTTTAGAAGAATTAAAAAATGGATCCAGCAATATTCTAGTAATTATCATTATAATTTTTAGGTAGCTATAAGAGTTAGACCTCTAAATTAGAAGGAAAGAAGTGTTTCAGAGTTTGAAACGATTCGAATACTTGATGGAAAGATGATAGTGTTGATGGATCCAGAATCAGAAAGAGAAGATGAAGTATTGACATTATATAGAATAGTTATTAAGAAAAAATAGGTTGAAGGAAACTAATTTTGCATTTGATTTTGTTTTTGATTAATGGGCTCCACAATAAAAGATCTATGAAAATACAACAGAGTTTTTATTAGAAGGAGTATTAGAAGGATTCAATACAACTGTATTTTGTTATGGAGCAACAGGTTCTGGCAAGACATTTACGTATACTTTATATAAATAGCAATTAGTATGATAGGAACCTAATAAGATGTTGGTTTAATGCCAAGAGCCTTGTAATCACTATTTAATTATTCTTAATCAGATCGATTTAAAGAAACTTAATTTAAAGTGTCATACGTTGAAATATATAATGAGAACATAAGAGATTTATTGACATCAGAAGATAAAAATTTAGAAATTAGAGAGGACAAAAATAATGGAATATAAATAGCAGGTGTTATTGAAATTGAAGTTAAAACAGTTACTGAAGTATTGTCTCTTTTAAAAGTTGGAAATAGAAATAGATCCAAAGAAGCTACTGATGCAAATAAAGAATCATCTAGATCTCATGCTATATTATAAGTTTAAGTAGAATGCAAAGATAAAGCAGGTGGATTATAGGAATAAATAATTTAAAGCAAATTTAGTTTAGTAGATTTAGCAGGTAGTGAAAGAGCAGCAAATACAAATAATAGAGGTTAAAGAATGATAGAGGGAGCAAATATTAATAAATCATTATTAGTATTAGGAAATTGTATTTAATCATTATCAGAAGCAAATGAAAAAGGAATTAAAAATCCATTTATACCTTTTAGAAATTCTAAATTAACTAGATTATTAAAAGATTCTTTAGGTGGTAATTGTAGAACAGTTATGATTTCTAATGTTACTCCAGCAGTTATTAGTTTTGAAGAAACTTACAATACATTAGTATATGCAAATAGAGCTAAAAACATTAAAACTGTAGCTAATAGAAATGTTTTAGTTGCATAAAATCATATCAGTAATTATGCATTATTGATTCAAAATTTAAGATAAGAAAATGAAGAACTTAAATAATTGATTTAATAATAATAATTAAATACTAATACTCCTTAAGCAAGTATAATAAATAAATCTAATAATTAGGATTACCTTCAATTAATTAAAAAACTGTTCCAGTTCCCCCATTAAATTTGAAATAATAAGTAAATGAATTAGAATCTATGATAAATCAAAATATTTCTGATATTATTGAAGCTAAAAACAATTTATACGATATTGAACAATAATAAAATCATATTCAACAGAATATTGGTTTCTTATAATATTAGAAAGGTCGTTCTCTAGATAAGTTTGATTAAATGAAATTAATGGAAAAAATTGATAATGCCAAAACATAAAAAGCTATTCTTAAATAAAGTGAAGATGACATGAAATAATAATTACTTGAATATGATATCAAAAAAGTTGATATTTAAAAATAAGTCTAATAAATTCCTGATTTAAATTAAAAGAATTATTTATAAGGAATCATTAAATAAGGAGAACTTAAAATTGTAATTTATTTAATAATAATTTAATAGGAAAATATTGATATTCAAATATAGGAAAAAAGAAGAAGATATTAAGAATCTATATAAGATGAATAAGTTAGACAATTAAGAACTTAAATTCATTAATAATAATAAATAAAACATATTTAAAGTGCAAAATCTAAATCTAGTTAATAAAATGGACCAAAAAAAGGTATCTCTCAATTCTAGTTTTATAGTACCTAGTTTACCTGGAGTAGATTCTCCTTATTATTAGATTGCAGGAGGATAAACTTATGCTATACAAAGGTATTAATATTTGATTTTCTTAGTAAACATTAAAAACAAAAATCTCATCTTAAATTACCACCTGTCTTATAAATGGCTTAATTGTAAAAATCTCCTAAAACTTAAAATTCAAGTTTAAACAGTAAGAATTCAAATCTAATAGATAATCCTTTAAAATATCGAATGGCTCAAAGATACACAACTAGATTGAACAGACCTCCATCATATCGTCCTCCAAGTTCTTCTAGAAAATCTGCTCTTGGAAAATATGTTAACAGATCATTAGATATAGGGAGTGGAAGAGAAAGTGTGAATAAAAGTTCTGGAGATCTACAAAATTCAGTTAGTCTTAGAAAACTAAAAAAACTTCATTAAGAATATCAATAATAAAGATTTGAAAGAGTTGTAAGTGGCAAAAAAAATTAAAAGTCAATGCCATATTTTGGCAGTAAGATTCTTTTGCCAGGTATGGTTCACAAATCACCTTATGTTAAAAACTTTTAGAATAATTAAGAGCCTATTGAATTAAAAAAGGAGAGATTGAAAATGCTGAATATTAATCTTAAAGCTTAATATGGCGATAAATTTTCGCTGCAAAATTGAATATAAATCATAAATTAAAGTACTACTTTAAAATTAAATTAATTCAAATTTTATTCATCTAAACTTAACTAAAAGATTTTGATTTAAATCTTTAATCAAAACCTAATTTTTCTTATTATTCAAATTATCTTTTAACTTTTAAAAGTCTTTATTTAATTTTTTTATGTTATTTGTATTCCTATAATTTTTATTTAAAATCAATCTAACTTTGTTAATCTAATATTCTTTTGCATAAATTGATATTTTCATCCAATATTTTAAATGTATGTTAATTTAATTTCTCTTTTGATTAAGAAGATTTCAATGAAATTTAATAATTTTGAGTTTTTTGAGGTAGCTAAGATGGTCTTGAATGTATTCTAGCTAAATTTGTAGCCAATAATTAATTGTTATGATAAATTTCAGCATATTTCATTTCATCTTTAATATTAATTGATTTTGGTAATTTTATTGATTTAGTTCTTCTATTGCATCCTATAGCACTTTTTGATCGTTTTATTTCTTCTAATTTTTATTAATGTATTAGAAAGTCTCTATAATAATAGATGATATTGTTATTACCTGTCTCTTCTAAGAAGTTCATTTGAATCATTAGTATAATAATAATAGTTAGACTTATTCATTTACAAATAATATATAATATTAAAATAATAATTGTATTAATAATAAAAATAATAATTAATGATATGATAGTTATTTTGAGTACAAAATGATTCAACAAAGGATAAAACTTAATTATATTTAAGATAATCTATTTATTATATTATTTTATATAATGAATAGGATATTTAATTTTGTAAAAGTGATTTAATAATGATTATATAAATTAATCTTTTTTGTGATATCTTAAGAATATTAAGTTTAAGACAATTTCAGTTTTATGAAAATTACATATATTTAGAATTATAATTATCAATTTTTAATAATTAATTATAAAGTTCTTAATGATTAGTCAAACAATTTCAAAGATTATGAATATGAACAATTTAAATCTAGCTGAAAGTGCCGTTTAATTAGAAAAAGCAGGTTATTTAATTTTTAATATTTTTGTAGGTATTTAAAACGTCTTTAATTACTTATCTAAATCAGATATTACTAATATAGTATTCCCTGAATAAGTAATTAAGTTATTATGCGTATTTCACTTCATGATACATAAAAATACTCTTGATGTACAAGTATTTTAAGAATGTAATATTTATTGGATTACTAATGTCTTGAATAATAGTTTTATTATGGAAAGGTTATCAACAGAAATGAGTTCTTCTAGCACTTTTGCAAGAAGTAGTTAATTTTCATCTTTAAGATCTTCTCAGTAATAGACAGATATGAATCATCATCATTTTTAAACAGAGTCAAAATAATAAAAAGTACACACAAAAAGAATGGATTGTTTATAAAGTTATTCAGAGAAATAATAAACTGAAAGACATATAATAAGAGAACCTCTATCATATTAATCTATGTTGCAATTATACTATACATATTTAAAAAGAATATGCCATTATTAAACAAGTGGAATACCAATAATTGAATTATATGTTATATAAAACATTTGTTCAATGGGATTACGTATAATAGAAGGATAGAAATGTCCAAAATTAGATTTTTGTTTTGCTCTTATACTTAAAGATCTCGAATAATTCTAAAGTTAATAGATTGATTATTTAAAAGAATTAATAATTGATTTTAAAAGTTAGAACAATGAATAAATATTTGATTTATTTGAGATCTATAAATTATTATGTTTAAATGGTAAACAAATTAAATTTTTTGGAATGTTAAATAAACTAACTATTAATCAATAAAAATTAAAAAGCTTTAAAAAAGAATGTAAAGAATTTGTAATAGAATGTAAATAACATTTAAGAAAAGTGAAACTTCAATAAAATTAGGATAGATTAAGTGTATCTGAATTTAATACAGATAATTTCTTTGAATATGAAAGAAAATAAGTATACAATATTTATTGATTTATTTAATATATATTTATAAATCTCATCATTATAAGATTTATACTTTCTCTCCAACTTTTTAAGTTGCTTTGAATAATGCTGTCAAAACCTTATGAGTAGTTAAACTTCTATGATGCCATTAATGATCATTCTTTTTAGATTAAATAATATTAGCAAATGTATCAATCATTTTTACTGTATGATTTGATCCTTCAACTTTAATAACTTCTTCTTTTCCTTAAAGATCATCTATAAAAAACCTTTCACTTCCAACAAAGTTTTCAAAATATGCATTAAAATTTCCTGTTCTACCAAATCCTCCAACTAAATCATCTATTCTAATTTATCCATTTTCACATATTATATCAACAAATGATCTATGAGGAGAAGTTACTCCACAATCAAAATATGCATATCTTTAATTTGAAAATTCTATGAATCCAGAATATTCAATTATTGTATCAACCTTATTTAATTTGTATTAAAGACATTAAACAAATTATGGTAATTCATAATCAAATGCAAAAAGTATGGCTCCTACAGGATACCATCCTTAATCACCTAAACAACCTTAAGGTTCTTAATTTTTATTTGTTCTTCCATTTCCTCCATGTAACCATTCTTCATTTGGAGCTTTGAATGTAAATGCAGCAATCACTTTAGAGATTTTTCCTAATTCTTATTTCTTTTATTTAACAATCTAAGTTCTTAAGGAATGCAACCACATAGTTCCATCTAAAAATTAAACTCCATTATCCTCACAACATTTAATCATTTCTTCCAAACATTAAGATGAATCAGCACCAGGTAATGGTTTTTCTACTAATACATGTTTTTTCTTATTGGCAGCTTTAATTGCCCATTCTTTTTTTAATGATGTTGGTAATGGTATATATACTCCATCTACATTTGGATCATCCAACAATTCATCATATGTACCATAAGCAATTTTAATGTTATGAGCATCAGCCCATTATCTTGCTTTTTCTAATGATCGACTAGCTACACAATATACTTCTGCTTATTCAGAACAATTTATAGCTAAACATACTTTATGTGCTATTTCAGCTGTAGACATTATTCCTATACGTACTTTACTATTCATTAATTAATATTTTTATAAATTAAATGAGTAAAAAAGAGGGAGATAGTCTTGATGCTTTATGTTTTCCAAATGCAGAAGATTATTAAAATGATTTTGATACTGCCAATTAAGTTTTATTAGGATCAGGATCATATGGATAAGTTTATAAAATGACATTTAAATCAAATCCTACTTAAAGTTGTGCAGTAAAAATAGTCTAATGCATTAAGTAAAGTTCTCTTTTTTATGTTAGTAAAAAATCATATGATTAAGCTTTAAAAGAGGTTTAATTGAATAGACAAATTAATATTCATCCAAATATTATTTATTTTGATAAAATCTATGCTTGGTCTGAAACTATTCCAGTTTAAAAATATTTTTTAGTGTTTTAAATGAAATTGGCTAAAGGTAGTTTGAAAGATTTAAAAGAGGATGAAATAAAAGCAAGTCGTAAAACATTTAATGGTATTTTTGCATTCAAAATTTATAGAATTAAGTTTCTTAAATATTGTTAATCAATTATTATAAGCTTTTCTTTTTTTATAACAAAAAGAACTTTATCATAGAGATATTAAACCAGAGAATATTTTATATGATAAAGAAAATGAAAAAATTATAGCAAGAATAGCTGATTTTGGTGTTAGTAAAGCTTTGGAACACTTTAAAACTAATTTTAAAAATACTTTAGTTGGTACACCACTTTATTTATCACCAAAATTATGGGAAGCTTACATCAATGGCTAATACAATGATGTTAAGTAATATTTTACAATATCTCACAAGACATAATTTAGAGAAATCCGATGTATTTTCCTTAGGAGTTACACTGATATAGACTTATTTATTATTACAAGATCAAGATATTGCTGGATTAAATGATTTAAAATAAAACAAAGTTCCAAATTTATTATAATAAATTTATCATGATAAAATCAAAGAATTATTAACAGGAATGTTAAATTATGATGAGAAATCTAGATTTACTTGGTAATAGGCAATAAATTGTTTTAATGGAGTGGATAAAATTAATGGAAGTTTAGAATAGAATTAAGGAGGAAGTCTTTAAAATAGAGAAAAACATTATGCTTTACACATACCTTATGAAAAGACTATTACAAATAAATCATAATCTATTAAATTAAGAAAAATAAATTAAATTTATTGTTTAGAATTGAATGAAATAACAAAAGGATAAATTACAGATGATCAAAGTATTTTAGTTTTTAGTGATAATTACTTAATTTAAATAAATTTTGATGGATAAATCATTTATAAAAAATAAATATAAAGTATTTATATATATATGATAAATCTAATTTAGATTTAAAAAGTGTATGTTTTACTGAATAACCAAGAAAGATTATAGGATTATTTGAAAATAATACAATATAAGTATTAGATGATGATATGTGTTAACCATTTAGTTTACCTTAAGCATCATAATAAATTAATGTAATTTGTTAAATGAGAGAAGCAAATATTTTAATTGGTCTTGGGAATGGAGAAGTGTAAGTTTTACAATTTGATAAAACATTTAAAGTATTAAATACATTAAAGGATCATACAGCATAAATTAATTTAATATATTTTGATAAACTAAATTAGTTATTGATAACATCTGATTATTCTAGAATATTAAGTGTTAGATTTTTGTTTAGCAATTAATTGTATATTTATTTTAATTATTTTTTTTTAGTTCTTATTTAAAATTAGATTATATAGCATAACATGTAGAATTATTAAATGATACTTAAATTGTAGTTAATGGATAAAAATTAAATGAAATTTTAATATTGAATATCTCTTATTTATAGAAAGAACATGGAATGAAACTTGAAATTAAATAAACTTTATCTATATAAACTGGATGTGTATTATCCTTAATTAATTTAAGTGAAAAATGTTTATTTGTATCAACTGAAAAAGAAATAATAATTTATGATTTATAATCAATTTAATAAGATACTGGACATCTATTCAATAATGAAATGCAATAAACATTTTATTATTGTAATTGGATAAGAGATCGTGGATATTTGATAACTAATGATGGATAAAGAATAATTAAATGGGAAATTGATTATGAAAAACATTAATTATTTGGAACAAATAGAATTATTAAACCTTAAACAAAGAAATGTTGTTGTTGTGAAAGTTGTTCAATTATGTGAGAAATATAAATTTATGAGATCTTTGATTTTTCTTAATTCTTTATTTCCATTTATATATATATATATATAATAAAGTTAACATAAATGTATATTCTAATTTTGATAATCAATTTACAATAAAATATATTCAATTCATATCATTAACCTTATTTAAATTATCAAATATATATTCATAATTTCAAAATTAATTCAAGTCGTCTATATTTTATAATAATTTTATAATTTCTATATAATAGGATAGATTTAAGAAGTATTAAGAATTAAGAAATATTCATATGTTTAATATAGATTTACTTGAACAATTATTTGGCATTGTATATAAATTATTTTTTATATATTAAATAATGCAGAATGCTTTTGTGCATCAATAATTGAGTCATCAATTAAAAACATAAATGTAATTATAGATTATTCAATAATTAAATTACTTATGACTCATATCAGACCTTCAGTCCCAAAATTTAATGATGAATGTTTAACTCCAAAGATGGAAATGTCTTTATTAGAAGAAGTTCAGCATTTAATTTTTAAAATGAATTTGGATTTTGAGATCGAAAAGAAAGCAACTAAAATCATTTAAACAATTCCATTATAAAACACTCTCACTTCAGCAAAAGCTGTGATATTTTTCTGTCTCAAAGAATTAAATAGAAAATTGCCTCATATTGAAAAAAAAGTCGAATACGTCATTAAATACATTGAATAATAGTAAAACTTAAATTTTTCTCATATCTGTTAAAAAATGGGTTTTGGTGATTAAGTTTCAAGAGTATGTGAAACTTTAAAAAAACAACTAGTTTATTTGATTGGCAAGTTAAACATAAACATTTAAATTGCAATAACAATAAAAATTGCTGCTGATATTATATTCTATAAACAAGGTGGCTTAAATACAAAATTTTTAGCATTCCATACAAAAGTAAATGAAGAATAGTTAAAATGTTCACTCAATAGAATTAAGCCATTTTCAGAAAAAATAATGACTGAACTCTTCAATCATTACAATGATAATCCTCTTTGATAAAATTCTTTTTTTGTGTTTAAAATCTTCTTTATAAAAGTATAAAATATTTTAAATAAATAACAAGTATTAACTAATGTTTAAAAAATTCATTTATATCAATTACAATACAAATATAAATACATATATATATATATATATATAATTATCTAATATGATATAAACAAAATTACTTGTATAAATTAAATTTAATTCAATTAGAACTAAAATGGAATCTAGCTTCAAAATAAATTGCTATAGACATAAGTTATTGGGAAATAAATTATGTATAATAGAAGTTACTTCTAATAAAATTATAATTACAAACATTTCAGACTTGCCTAATAAGAGAAATGAATTGGACATAAATTATAATTTGTTTATTGATTTTAAAGTTAAGAACAAATAACTCTAAGCTATAGGATTAATAACAAATAAACATCACTGGTATTATGCTGATAATGAAAATTTAATCAACTTAAAATAAATTTTAGGTGCAAGGGTGGTGTTTAAAGGAGTAAACACATTATATAATCCATTATAATAAATTGGATAAGGAACATTTTCAAATGTTTACTTATTACAAAGTAAAACAAAAAGTTATGAATATTATGCTTGTAAATGTTTAGACAAAGCTTAAGTAGATGAATAAATTGGTAGAGTAATTAATATGTGTTATGATGTTAGTAAGGATTGTTTGAAGAAGTAAAAGCTATGGTTTCTTTGAAACATTAAAATATAGCAGAATTATTGGAAGTGTTTGAAGGTGATGTATCTTATTATATGGTAATGTAATATTATGATCTTGAATTTATTGATATTCTAAATGATTTAAATGATGAAGATATCCATATCATATTTAAATAATTAGTTACAGCTGTAAATTTTATGCATGAAAAAGGATATATGCATAGAGATTTAAAACCAGAAAATATTATGTTTAGTGATAGTATATATTAATTGAAACTCATTGATTTTGGTTTAACTACAAAAGATTCAGGCAGATCTAAATGTGGTACACCTGGTTATATTGCTCCTGAGATTTTAAATTTTGATACTAAAATTAATGAATATAATGAAAAATGTGATATATTTTCATTAGGAGTTATATTCTATAAGATGTATATATTTAATTATTATTATAAGGTTAACATAGAATGATTTATTTAATGGATCAAATCATGATGAGATTTTAGAAAATAATGCTAAATGTATTACTAATTTTGATTTATTAAATGGAAATCCAAAGATTTCAAAATAAGCAATAAATTTATTAAAATTAATGCTTCAAATTGATCCTACATTAAGAATTGATTCAAATTCAATTTTAAAACATGAATATTTTGGTGTTTAAGAAATAACTCTTAATAATACTATTAATAGTGCTAATTCACTTTCAAGAAAACATTCATCTGTTATAAAAATATTATCTCCATTATAAAAGAAAAATTTCATATTTAATTCTCCTTTTTCTTTTCATGATGATGAATGTATTGAAAAGGAAGCTTCAATGCAACCCATTCCTATTATGGTAATGAAAGGAGGTTCAGTACATGATATAACAAAATATAAAAATTCTGGGAAAAATAGAAAACTCTCTAAAGATACTACCAAAAAATATCAGACTACTGATTTTGATGATATTATTGCAGATATTAAACAAAATAATAATTATAGACCTCCAAAACCAAATTAATTATAAGAAATGTATAATGAATGATGATTATATGTATGTATAACATTCATATATAAATTAAAAATTTAATATATTTATGAATATTTATGATATAAACTCAAATTGCTTTTTATATAATTGAATTGAGGATTCCTATAACTGCAAATACTCCACCTACAATAGCCAATAGTTGAACAATAAAATGATATACAGATTTCTTTTAAATTGAATAGACCATATTAACTGGACTAATTTGATATTTAAAATAGATTGAATCTATTTCTGTAAATGTTCTTGTCATTTATGCTTCATTTATGGAATATTTATAAAGAGTTTGATAATTTCGTTCATTCTCATCATAAAATCTAACTGGCAATGCATTAATATAATATTCATAATCTTATTTTTCTCCTTCAGGAGCTTATTTAGCTATTGAATTCCATGAAGATTAAAATTTTTATAAAGATTTAGGATATTTCTTCATTTTAGAAGAGGTAGAGATCTCTCCAAATCTTAATTCATATATTGAATGATCCAATTTAAGTTTTCTATAAGTTTACAAATCTCTTTGATGAATTCTTTATATTAAATGATGATGTGCATGATAACTCACATGGAAATTACCTGGGACTTTATTTACTTAGAAAAATCCCTTCAATTAACATTAGTCACCTTGATTGATTGCTTCAATTGCATCTATTAATTCTTATTCACTTCCTCTATAATTAGGTCTTTCATTATTATCAATCTTTATATGAATATTATTGTTTAATTACTGAGGGCAACACATGTCTATCTTTATCAAGAGAAATCTTTTTCAATGTACCAGAAACATCCATTACGTGTACTCCTACTTCATCTTATTAATCCAATGACAACACCATACATGGAGCTCCAACAATCATATCTAAATAAACTTTGATAAATTATTCAGTGTCATTGTCAATCACAGTTTAATAGTTTAATTCTGTGCTAAAGAATAATCTACATTCATTCATTGTTAAAATAGTAACCAACTATCAAGAAATATATTAAAAGCTTACTGCAAATGCTATCATGGTTAAGAATCCTCCTAAAGATGATGAAGTATCACCAATATCAGTATTTAATTTTCTAAAAAAATCCAATTATCTCAAACCCATTTATATTAAATAATTGTATTATTATATACAATTCCAATTACACAATGAATATTTACATATATATTATTAACTTCTAACTTAATATATTTAAAACACTTATAAGACATCTAAATTGTTAAATTTATTTTTAATATTATATTAATTATAATATGAATCTTAAACCACAAGATAATTCACAAGTATCCTAATATTTAATATACATATTAGGGTAATCAAGCATAATACAATAAAAAATATGCTATCTATTATTAAAAGCCTGGAGAAGAAGACCTTAAATAAATTGTACTTGAATTACCCAGCATTTTCACTGTTGGCGACTGTATAGATTTTACTATTGATTAAATCAAAATACAAGATTCCAGTATATATATTCTAAATCATAATTAGCTTTTTAATTTTCAGGTTAGACAGATCGTTTTAAATTGAAAGTAGCAAAAAAGAATGGCAAACCAAAAGATGATTTACCAGGTAATTAAATTTATATTATTTAGCTTTGGATAATGAATAATAACTCATTGATACTGGTGCAATAGTATTTGCATTAGTTTTAAACCAAAATTAATAACAATTCGAAAAATAAATAACATTTGCTCCAACAAACAATCAAACAAATCAAATCAACCAATCTAATCAAACTTAATAATCATAAGTCAACTTATAAGATTCCTCAATTAAACAAAGAACCTCTTATAGTAATAGTTTAAGCAACAACAAGAAGGTATTTAAATCTACCATAATGTTAGAGTAAAAATGGTGGAAATGATTAAAAAAATGATGCCAATGGATTTTGTTTCTTTAAGTAATGCGCTTGAAATGAATTCGTACTACTAACTAAATATATCCCAAATCATTTAAAAATATCTAATTATAATATTCAAGCTTATATTCTCACTTTTATAAACAAAATCATATAAATAACAAATTAAAATTACTTCAATTCTAATTACATTCTTTGTTAAAAGAAAGCAATAAGATTTTCTTCAATTATTTTTGCTAATTTTACTTCAAATTTCATAGTAATAATATCCAGTAAAGATTTCTTTATCTCATTATCTTTCAAAAATAAAAATACTTGATTATTCATCATTTTCTTATCCTTATATAATATTTAATTAAGTAAATTAATTAGTTTAACAATATCATAATAAATTATTAATTTACTAAAGAGATTCTAAAATTCTGATTATTAATAATAATTGTTTTATTTAAAGATATAATAAATAATAAGGATTCATATATTAACAACGTAAATATTGATATCAAAATAATGTCAATTCCATTTCCTCAACTTTAAGATAATTACTCATAATAACCTAATTTTTATTCCAGAAACTCTCCTTTGATTTGATATTTATATTTTTTCAATAAAATTGGATACATAATTGTTATGTACCAAGATTCAATAAAAATAACTGGTATAAACTAAATTATGCAATATAATAATACTATAAGAAAAGCTGTTATATAAACATTATATGTTTAAATTAACAATAATGGTAAAGGTAATAGCATAGGCAAAAAGAACATTAATCTACATATCTTAAAATTTACAGTTTTATATTCCATTTAATTTTAGTATTCTAATGAATTAAAACTTCCTTGACTAAAAAAGCATCCTAAAATAAATGAAAATATAAATGAGAATAATGTTCCATGTAAGAAACAAGCATTATATAGTACATTTGTATGATCTTTAGTATATTAACCTATTTCTTTGTTTTTACAATAAGTAATTTTGAGTAACCATTTGTTAATCTCTTCTTCATTTTGATTAAACAATTTCCTATTCAATTCAAGCAAAGTAATATCAATTATTATAATGAAAATGAAAATTGCAGATATGAAAATTGACATTCTTTAAAATTTAACATCATCATCATTTTTTATTTACAATTGATTTTTAATGTAGCTTAATTATAAAGAATTAGTACTGCAATAAGAATTCATGACAATAAATCTGATAATTTAAAACAATATAAACTCCATATATCCATCCCAAGGTAACTTATCCAATTGAATGAACTCCAAGGAATACTCTTGAGAGTCCAGTCATAATTATACATAAAAAGGCAAAGACATTTAAAAATGCCACTAATCCATTACTAAATTGTGACTCTTCATCATTATTTCTGTCTTCATTGTCTGTGACTTTGAATTTATTCAATCTAAAAGTTGAGGGATAAAAAATGAATAAGTATGAGAAATATATTATAACTGAAGTTTAAGCATGACCAGAAGGTTTACCAAATTCCATATTACATCCAATACTGAAGTATCATAATTATTTTACATACCCTATGATTTCATCTTCAACCCAATATGGTCTAGGTTAATGATAAGCATTTTTCAATAGACCATTACTTGTAAATCCAAATATGCATAAAAAGATGTATAAAATAGATTCTACCTTTTTGTTAGATAACATAAACTATAATCCTCCAATCAATATTGGTAGTTGAATAACATAGGAAAAAAACTAAAATAATAATTTTTCTCCTGGAAATGTGTTATTCTATAGAATTATTGTAAAATCATTGTTTCTCATCCACAAATAATCGTCAAAGATTATATCTAATGTTAGATAAGAAATTAATGCAAGAGTTGATATGATAAAAAAATTCATATTAAAATTTTATGGATTACAATAGAAACGATACAATCACTTAAGAGCTAAAGACTAAGTTCAATTTAAATGTTTAGTACATTATTCAAACTATCTAATAGAATTAAAGACCCATAATCACGTCTCTTTCTTAAAGGATATTTCAAATCAGATTCTGAAATACATTCTTCAAGATTTGATAAGGATGACATAATGTTAGCTTTGGGATGTTCAAATGGATAAGTTTGTGTTTATGATCTCACTAGAAGTACTATTTAATTCAATCTTAGGTGAAAGGACAGCATTTTATACATATCTCAGTTCTAAATCAAATATGAAATTGCCATGTACTGCTCTTAGGTTTAATTTACAACTATAAATAGATGGTTTTCTAGTGAAAAATCTACAAAAATGAGACAAGTCTTAATTTCAGCAAACACTGATGGTATAAACATGTATCTAAATTAGGTACCATAATGTATAAAAATGTGAAAACTGATTCTACTATCTATTAATTTAAGGAAGAAGATGATAATGAAGTTTATTGCATAGATGCTTTAAAAAACTAATTAGCAACTTGTGGAAAGGATTGTAAAGTAATGAAGTTCTTCAGTATTTTTAGGTTAGAGTCTATGATATTGAAGCATAAACTTTATAAGCTACTTTAGAAGCTATATAATGGGTTTAACCTGGTCACAATAATAAATTATTCAGTGTTAAAATTGTACCTTATGAAAAAAATTTAGTTATCAGTGGTGGTTGGGATTAAAATATAGTTATATGGGTAGTTCTATAAATGATATTAAAGGATTTAAGACAAAAATCTCAAGCTGGATGTATTGTTGGCCCTAAGATTGCAGGTGACACAATCGATATTAGAGAAGGTACTATTTTGACAGGGGCAAATAGAATGAGTGAATAATTATAAATATGGGATTTGGGTACTTTAAAATTGATTGAAAATATAAAATGGGATGAGAAGGTGGATGCAGCTGGTGCATTTATATATGGATCTTAGTTTGGAAAAGGAAAAGGATATTGTGTTGGAGGAGTAGCTCATGGAACTAATGAATTTAAGATGTTTGATAGAATTAAAGGATCCTATAAGGAAGCCATGTAATTGGGTGGATTTAATAAAGGTTCTAATTATATTTAATTAAATTTAGGACTATACACTATGGATTTTGCAAATACATCTAATAAATGTGTTATTGGAGGAGGAGATGGATTATGCTTAATGTTAGCGATTGTTCCTAATAAAGACCAATGATGAGTGATTTGATTATTTTATTAATCTATATCAACAGAATTTGTCTAAAATAATAAATTAATAAATTAAAACCAAATTTACTAATTAACAATCATATCAAGATTTTATTATATGTATATATCTTATAGTATATATAGAAATAAAAATAAAGTGAAGAATTATTATTTTGATAAAATATTATTTTATTTTTATGATTTTAAAATATAATAATAATAATAACTATAAATTAAAAGCATTTACTAAAAATGTATTCAATTTTCAAATATTATTATTATTATTCATACAAAAATATTTAGATTATTGAATTAATTGTTTAATCTTAAATTTGCTCTACTATGACTTTGACGAGATACAGTTGATCTATGTATTTCATTTTATTCTGTTTTTATAATTGTTTTTACATCATGACTCAATCTAGGCAATTATCGTGGAGTATGAATAGTAAAATTATTTATCATTGAATGTCTATTTAATGGTCTTGAAGTCAAGATTGGTGATACTGAAAATTGCTCTTATTGTTATATACTTTTAACATCTAACTTTAAAGTTACCTTTGATTTTTGAGTATCTCGTTTTTAAGCATTAATAAAAAAAGGATGCTATTTTGCTGAAATAATCGAGATTCTATTTTCTGGTTATGAATCTAACATCTTTTTCATCAAAGACAATGCTTCTTAACTACAATCAATATCATCATAATTAATATCTCCTATCTCATTCAATTTAACAGTTTGTTAATTATTCTTACCAACAAATGGTCTCTTACCAGATAGTAATATGTATAATAGAACACCAATACTGTAAATATCTACCTTATAATCATATGGTTATCCACGAAGTATTTCAGGAGCAACATATCCTGGTGTTCCACATCTTCTATATAAATAGTTCCCGTCAAATTTGTAAAAATCTGCAAGTCCAAAATCTCCTATTACTATATCATTTAAATTGTTCTTTTATCTTAAAATCAAATTTTCTGGTTTAATATCTCGATGAAGTATTCCTTAAGAATGCATATACTATATTCCATTCAATAAATTATAAATTATCTGAGAAACCTTTAATTCACTTAATTTCTCACTTCTCTCCAGATAATCATGTAAGTCTCCACCTTTTAATAATTCTTAAATGAAGTATATGTAATTTGAGTTTTCGAAAACTTCATATATAGTTAATAATTAGTTATGATTCATTAAACGAAGTATCTACATTTCTTTTGTTAAATTCTTTCTATCTTTCTCATTAGAAATGTGTCGTTTTTCAAAACATTTCACAGCATATTCATTTTAAGTGAATCTGCACTCTGCCAAATATATCTAATATTAAATATAATTTATTACTGTAGCGAATGTACCCTTTGCAATCATTTTTTTTATTGTATACCTTTGTGTGAAATTAAACTAGATGCTTGTCTTTTTCAGTTGATCAAATATAGATTTTATTTTGCCAAAAAATTCAAAAGTATAATTTCCTTTTGTTATTCTTACTCCCTAATCATTATTGAAATCACTTGTTATTAATTCCAATCCTGCATTTTCTACATTTGTACTATACTATCTCTATTTATTATAATTATATATTATACATCATCCTACTCCATCACAAGGTTTTTTTTTATCACTTTCAGATTGCAAGGTATAGTTTCAAAAGGAGTCTAAATATAGTAAAGATTTTCCATTATGTATTTTTGAGTTTTATCAATTTTAGTATTATCCCAAAACTAAGTACATTGTTAAGAGAAATAAGATTTAAAGCAATATTTTTGATTCATAGCTAAATTAAATGATTTGATATTTTGATGATTTTTGTTATATAATAAATATATATTTCAAAATTCATTAGTCTGCTTCCTTAACTACTTCATATAAATGATATATTATAAAATGATTGATTCAGTCAATTTAGAATAAAAAGCAATTTATATTAATTGTTATGTATTTTAATCAAATAATTTTAATTAGTAAGATAAATTATGAATATTAATACAGCTTATTATGAGAGTAATAAGATGTTAATTTATGTTTTAATGAACATTTAATATTATGATTTAAATAGGTCAGATATTAATAATTTTTTTATTGTTTACAGTTCTATACTGATCTTAGTAATTAGTTTCAAAGACTTTCATATTTAGTGACTACTATGGGGATAATTGATTGAAAATTTAGTAAATGTAAATTTAAATAATGTATAAATTATATATAATGAACAGAATAATAAAATATAATTGAATAATTTAGAATATATTAATATATCATGTATTTAAAAATCTTAAATTAATCAAGTATTCATTTATATAAAAGAATTCTAATATTCTATAAAAAAAATTAGAGAAATAATTAATTTTAATTTTAGTTCAATAAACTTAATATTGATAGATTATTTTAATGAAAAAAATTTTGTATTTAGCCTTTTATTTTCTTTTATAATTTACTTTTTTTAAATAAAATATGAAATTATCATCTAGATTTATGATTCTTTTTTTGAATAATTTATTTTTTCAATTAATACAAAACTAGAATTAATATTAAATTTTAGTTATTTCTGAATGAATTAATCCTACTATTACTATTGTATCTCATTAATAGACTTTTTTTTGATTTTTTGTTTAATATTACTATTACATTTATTCTACATAATTCTATTAATTATAATTGAACCTTCTCAATTATATTTATTATAAAAAATAACTAAAATATGAGAATTAGATTTATATCTAACTTCATTCACTATATATCACTATCAAATTTAAAATTTCATTAAATAGATATATATATATAACAAAATATTATAAATAAATCAAAACTTTTATGCATATTTTTAATTTAAATTTACTAAATGCAAACACCTGACTTAAAGAAAAAAAAACCATAAGTTGCAAAGATTAGTCTTTAATCAGAATAAGCCTAACCTGTTTTAAATCTGTATATAATTTTGAATTGAAATTAGTTCTGAGAATGGATCTCTCATTCTAAAAGAATTTCGTCTAAATGGTTAAGGACTCAAAGTTACTCATACACATGATTAATGGGATTTTTCACTCTCTGAATCAACTCATAATTTATCACTTGAAAATTTAGTAACAGTTGGACAATTAGGTTAAGGTGCATCAGGTCAAGTAGAGAAAGTATAAGATTAGGTGACAGGATAATATTTTGCAATGAAAGTATCCATAATTAGTATATAGAAAATTCCTGTTGCTTCAGATCCACAATATTTGAAGCAACTCTCAGATGAATTAAAATTAGCTTTAGAATGTAGTTCACCATATGTTGTAAAATGCTATGGGGCATTTTATAAATCTGGAACATTGCACATCATTTTAGAGTATATGGATGTTGGATCTATAGACACTTTGATAAAAAAAGTGAAAAATCTAAATGAACCTGTTATGGCCTTGTTATTATATCAGATTCTTTTAGGGATTGATTATTTGCATAATAAAAAGAAAATTATTCATAGAGACATTAAACCATAAAACATATTAGTAAATAAGAAAGGTGAAATTAAGATTACAGATTTTGGTATATCAGGTACTATAGAAACAATGCAATAAAGAAAAACTTATGTTGGAACTGCAGTTTATATGTCTGTATGTATTAATTATTAACATAGCCTGAAAGATTGAATGGAGAAATGTATGGCAAAGATTCTGATATATGGTCTATTGGTATTTTAACAACAGAAAGTTTAATGGGAAAACATCCAATTTAGAAAACCTAATTTATAGATATGGTTAATGAAATAAGTACATTTAATATTGAAAATGTTCAAGCAAAGATTTCAGCTGAGATGAAAAATTTTATATCAATGTGGTAATCAATTTTATTAAATTATAGTGTAAAATTGAAACCTGAAGAGAGAGCAACAGTAGATCAATTATTAAACCATAAAATCATTTTAAGAACAAAAAAGATTGATAAAATGGTTTTCTTATAATGGTTGAATTAAGTGACATAATTATGAATTATAATTATTCTTATATTGTAATCATTAATTTTAATATTTATAAGAAAATTAACTAAATTTATATCATTGTTAAAATATGTAAAAAATAATATTTATTATAAATAATAATTTTTGTGTTTTAAACCATTTTCTTTATAATATTAGAATTAATGTAAATATCATTTCTAATTGATAATTATCCTTGATAATTATTCAAGGCAAATAGTAACTATAAAATTAATTGAATTACAGCAATAATTCAATCATATATTAAAATTTTCATTAATTATTATTATTTGTAATGATCAATATATCATTACATATAATGTCTTATATAATAATTGAAAATACATTAAGTAAACGATAGAAAGACAAATACTAATATTCAATAATTAAATATATTTATAAATATTATTCATAATTCTATTAATTATGAACTATATAAGAAATGGATAACTTTGTCCAATATTATTAAAAGGTGTACTAAATAGAAAATAAGAACCCTTATTTGAAGTTGAGAGCTTAGAATAGAGAATTAAAAGAAGACTTCTAAATGTAATATATTTATCAAAAGTAATGTTTCATGTTACAATTTGTAAAATAATTGATAATGTTAGTGGTATGGGAATGCGGTAGAAGAAAACCATAATTTTTGAAAAACTTAAATATTGATTAGATTTACTTGAATAAAAATGAATAAGAAGATGCTAACGTATTTATTTTCGAGGAGGATCAATAAAATAACAATATTTAGAAATAAACACCTTAGTAAATACTATTTAAGTTATGTAATTGCATTTGATTTTCTTTTAGTTTACACTTTAGGTTTTAATCTTAAAAATGAAATATTTTAATTAGAGGACCCTACCTAAGATATTATAAATGAGCTTTATTAACTCATTTTTGAAGAGTTAAGAAATGAATCTTAAATAAGAATTTCTGAGAAAAAGATTATAACACATCTTTATAATTTAAAAATTTTGGATACAAAATATAATAAACCCCATTCAAGAGTTTATCTCATTGAGAAACCTTATTTTATTAATTCTGAAAGAAATACAATTGTTGTCAAATGGGTAAAATATGATAGTTAAGAAAATTTGAAACTCTATTTAGATAGAGAAATCAAATTATTAGAAATGGTTAATGATTCTGAAAATTGTACAAAGATGTTTTGTTATAACAATATTTATGATGAATAATTTATATTTATGAGGTTCTATCATGCAACTTTAGAAGACTTAAATAACGAAATAGGTAAAGTTTAATTAAATATAATTTAATTATTGCATTTAATCAAATAAATGTTATTAGCATTAAAGGGTCTTCATTCCAGAAAAATTATTCATAGAGATTTAAAACCATAAAATATTATGTTTGAATACCTTAATGAAAATAAAAATATTTAAGAAACGAGATGTGTATTAATTGATTTTGATAGATCTGATTAAATTTAAAGAACAATTTAATCGAATTTAAACTTATAATCTTATTATGAAGGCACTCCTGATTATCAACCTCCTGAAGGAACCTAAGAAAAGTATACTGCATCATATGATATATGGCAATTAGGATATATTATATAATGCATATTATTAAGAGATAAAAATAAAGCTTATTCCAGACTAAAAGATAGACCAGATGAAGCTTAATATTTAAATATTTTCAAATCAGATCATTAAAAAGTTAAGGAATAGTATCCACAATTTTATGATCTACTGATATAAATGATGCATTATTATCCAAATAAAAGGCCTAACTTAGAAGAAATTGAATAAGTAATATATAAAATTTAATGAATAAGATTATAGATTTATATATAATTTTTATTATTGATATTAATAATGGAAGGTAAACAATATCTCTTAATTAGAAATCTTTAAATTCCCTTAAAGTAAATTCTTTATTGTTAAATACAAATTAAAAGCTTAAATTGACTCAAGCTTAAACAATAAAGTCATTTTCATACCAAAAAAATTTGATAAACAAATTGATCGTGTTATGGAAAAGTCCAAATATGTAGGGATATTTCTAAGTTGTTCGGATGAAAAATCATTCCTAGCCTTTGGGATTTTACAATCGTAATCTATTGAATTTGAATTCTTAACTGTATACCTTATTATTAACAAATTAGGAAGACTTAAAAATTAATCTAAGTGATTTGAAAGGCAATTCAGATTCATTTTTCAAAGTTGATTGGACACTTAAAGGAGTGCTCAGCTATGAAAAGACTTAAAAAATAAAAAATGATTTGAATAACTCATTGCCGGTGAATTAATCTAGAGAAGTTTAAGAATTATCAGGATCAAATGCAGAAGAGGTATTAACTTATTCTAATCTTAAGCTTCATTCACTTCTTTTAAAATAAAAAACCTATAAACCTTAACCTTTGCAGGATATTCGATTGCCATAATAATACAATTAACAAACATTACCAAAATATCCTAATAATAGTGATGAATAGATATTAAGAAAAAAAGTTTAAAGTAGAAGCAGAAGTAGAGATAAAGATAAAGAGAAATCACATGATAAGAGAAAATCAAGCAAAGACACAAATGATGATAGAGGAAAATTATAAGATAAAAGAAAACATGAATAACATGAAAGAAAAGATAGCTATAGAAATAGTTAGGATAGACATAATAAAAACAGAAGGAGTAGAGATAGAAGAAGTAGAGAAAAAAGCAAGAGAAGCTAAGATATAAAAAGTGAGGATCGAAGAAGTAAAGATAGAAAAAATAGAAATGATTAGAATAAATGGCAATTTCATAAAGAGTTTGTTGATGACAGTATACAAATACATAATAGATATAGAATAAGTACAGAGTGAAGTTGGATTTAAAGATAAAGACAGATTGGAAAAAGAAAAATAGTAAAGGGAATAACGAGAGAGAGAAAGAGCGAAAGGTTAAAGAGAATAGAGAGATAGAGAATTATAGAAAATGACAGATAATATAAATCTTAGATAATCTTCAGATTGGGATAAAGATAAAAGAATTGAATATGAATAAGAGCAATTTAAATTAAAAGATAAAAAAGATAAAGAGTATGATAGATTGAAAGAGAATGAAAAGGCAAAAGAAAGAGAAATGGAAAGAGAAAGAGAAAAAGAAAAATAGAGAGAGAAAGAAAAGGAAAGAGAAAGAGAAAAAGAAAAAGAAAGAGAAAAGGAAAAATAAAGAGAAAAAGATAAAGAAAAAGAAAGGGAAAGAGAAAGAGAAAAAGAAAGAGAAAGAGAAAAAGAAAGAGAAAGGGAAAGAGAAAAAGAAAAAGAAAGGGAAAGAGAGAGGGAAAGAGAAAGAGAAAGGGAAAGAGAAAGAGAAAGAGAAAAAGAAAGAGAAAGAGAGAAAGAAAGAGAAAAAGAAAAAGAAAAAGAAAAGGAAAAAGAGAGAGAGAAAGAGAGGGAAAGGGAAAGGGAAAAGTAGAGAGAAAAAGAATTGGAGAGAGAAAAAGATAGGCAAAGATAAAAGGAGAAGGATAAATATAGAGAAAAAGATGAGGATAAAGAAAAATATAGAAGTAATAGATATGAAAAAAAAGGTGAACACTATTAATAAAAGGATAAGAATGTTCATCATTATGATGATAAAAAGAGGAGAAGATCAAGGGATAGATCAAGAGATAAATAGAATTATTCAAATGATAGAAGAGACAGAGAGAAAAGGGTAGAAAAAGATAGATCTGATAGAAAGCATAAGATAATGAAATAAGAGGTCAAAAGAAAAAGTTCTTCTTCATCATAAAGTTAAAAAAATAGATAAGTTGAAATAAAAATAACATAAAATCCCAATTCAAAAAATATTAAACTTTAAGAAGATTTGAAACCTAAAAGAAAATATGAGTATGAAAATGAATTTTATAGCAAATCTGTATCTTTGTCTCCTCATGAAAAATAAATAGAAATTTTAGAGCCAGTTAAAACACCTGAAAAAATTTAAATCGTAGAAAGTATTCCTGTCTAGAATACTGTACCTTAATAAAATTAAATACCATCTGTTAATATTTAACCTCCAAAATAACCAACAATTTAATAGGTTGAAGTTGTAATTGAAAAGAAAGAAGAAATTCCAAGGATTGTGATATAAGAGAATGTTAAAAGAGTATTGGTATTGGGTTAAGACAAACCTCAACCAACTCAAGAATCAAATTTTTAGCTATAAACCGGTTCTATGAAAATTATTAAAAGCGCTACAGGAAATACAACCCAAACAATTATTGTTCAGAAGCAAACAACATAGGATACAAAATTAGGATAAAATCATTTAAGTGGTCAAGAAAAAATAAAGGATCGTATCATAATTAAAAATAAATGAGAATTCATATACAAGTTTAATTATAATATATTTGCAATCTTTAGTCCTAGAAGTAGATTGAACTTAATAATGAATCGACTTTTGGTTGCAGATTTTAAGAATTTAAACTGTAAGAAAATTATTGGAAAATATATAAATTAATCGAATTTTTGAAAAAAACTTTCTCTTTCTTAAGTTATTCTTTCCAAAGACTATTTCCAATCAACTAATTTAAATGATAATTATTTTTAATTTTTAATTTAACTAGATCTAGAGTTATTTTAAACTGTTTAAACTATAGGTACGATATCTTGTGATTAGTCTATCTTAATATGTTATGAAAATAAAAGCATGAGATTCACCTTATAGAATCTAAGATTATATAGCATATTTGTATTTTAAATCTTTTTTTTTAAAGAGATTCTTAATTAATTTAGATCCAAAAATTGATTTTAGGTTTGCACTATTATTTGAATAAATTAGTTTACTATTATTTATTTATTAATTACCTTTTTAAGTAATAAGATGATTTCTTAGATTTCTTTCAATAATATCTTTGAACATGTAGTTTTTAAATAAAACAAATCCTGTTATTCAAATAAATAATCTTTAAAGAATAATTAATCACTTTTATACTGTTATTTAAAAAAATATGGACTTTTAAGTTAAAAAATAAAGCTCCCTTCTATTTAGCAGTTTATTGTATTGATTTATTTTAAATAAATTGTTTTGAAATTATTTTAGGTAAAATTATGATATTATACAGATCTATAGGAGGCTATTAAATATAAATAAAAAAATTGAAATTAATCTTAAAATTCAATAATTTAAACAATTGATAATTATATCTATCCAAAAAGAAATGGTCTTGATTATTGATAATTTATTGTATAACAATTCAGCAATCATATATCTATTAATTATGAGATTACGATGACAAACTTTAGACAGATTTATTTGTAGAACTTTGAGCTGAAAATTCATCAGCAATTTATTTCCAATATTTAGTTGATCTTATCACTACTCTGTCTACTATTGTTCTTTATTTATTCTTTAAAAGAATATTTGTTTATGTTTATGATGAATTATTGAGTCTTTATTGCCAAAAGTTAAGTGAGTTTTCTATAATGTTGTTCATAAAGAGATATTACTTCTAATTTTTATATTATTTTTATTAATGCATAAAAAATATTAAAATAAAGGATTAACTAATATAATTTTGAAAATAATTAACTTGTTTATATGACTTCATTTAAGAATCTAAATAAACTGTATTAATTTAATTAATTTTCATAATAATATTATTTAATCAAAATCGTTAAAAAGACTATCATATAATTTCTAAATGAAATAATCATAATGAATAAAAAATGTAATAAGAAAACCAAATTAATATTAATATATTAAGAAATATTGATATTTTACTAATAAAAGAGTAGATTTAAATTTTCAAATTTAAGAATTGTATAACTATGAATAAATTATTTGTAATAGAAAATTAATCTTAGTATATAGATTATTTCATATATCAGAATAGAATTACAATAGAATTACAATAGAGAAATATTGAAAACCTAATAATGTAAATAAAATTTCAAAGAATATCTTTTAAGCTTATAAATCAAATCGATTAATACACAATAGTATATAAATAATAATTAAAGTTATAATAGTCTGTGTCTTTATGAATATAAATTTTACTTAATGAAAAATACTGTTTAAAATAGTTTGGATAATTTATATAAAGAAAGATGAGCATTTTATGTCTATTGGAGAGTTCAAATGAAATAATATAATTTTCTAATTTACTTGATATAATAATAATTCTATTTCATTCCTAATATTCTGACTTTTTAATATAAATGTGCAATTTAGAAAAGTAATATGAAATCAAAGTCAATAAAAAAGATTTCCCTTCACTAACAAAATGAATGAATTCAGATAATAAGCAATTATGCATTGTTATCATAGCAATTCCTGTAGCTGGATTTATCTAAATCTAATATAAAGTTTTACATCTTTTATGAAGTTTTATTATTCAGTTTCATCTTATATAAATTCATGTATAGGTATGTAATCAGAAGCTAAAGAATCATGGAATTTATTACATTCACAATCTTATAATGTAAAATAGAATTAAGGGATATTGATGTAAGTATTATATATTAATTGAGCCTTTACTTATATTTACTTTTGATTATACTAAGTAGCTGTTATGAGTTCAAGAATAAATCTTTAATCTATAGGGAGCTACATAAAAATGACAATACATATTTATGATCAATGAAAAAACACTTTGATTCAAAGTTTACTAAGGTTGGTAAGTTATTTGCTTATTCTTAATATTCTGAAAATGGAATTCCAAATGTAGTTATCATTATTATAAAAATTAATTGTGATTACATAAAATGCTAACTCATAATTCATTAATCATTTTTCTTACATCTGCATGAGTAAGCTTTCTTGAACTTATAAGAAGTTTGGCAAGTTCCATTACATTTTGATAATGTGTGAATGAAAAGTCAGGACTTTTATTTTTTACAAATTTATTAGCCCAAGAATCGAATAATAATAAAATATCTTTTATTGAATCTGCCATCACGAAAGTTTTAGCATACAAATTTCTATTTTTTGGTTCTCCTGGAAATGCGATAACAAGATGTAATAAAATGATTCCGATTGCATAAAATTCATCTGCCATTTCATAATGAGAATCTTTATTATAATTTGCAGTTTAATAACCAATAGTGCCAGTTGTTATAGTATTCTAACTCTTTATAGAATTTAATTCTTCTTCAGGTAATCTTTCATCAGTAATAATTGATAGTTTCTCTTCTCTAACATCTTTTCCTTAATCAAAATCTGCCAATGCAACCTAACCAGTTAATTTTAAACATTAATTACTTATAAATCTCCTTTAACATTTATTGTAACAAATATATTTTCAGGTTTTAAATCTCTATGGATTATACCTCTTTAATGAATATATTCTAATCCATCTAAAATTTAATTAAGAATAGATTTTATTTTATTAATTTTTTCTTAATTCTACATTACATTTAAATAATAATAAGAAAATGTGAGTAAATCTGTAGGTTAATATTTATATCCTGGAAATGAACAATATTCAAGTTGCATGTAAAGATAATAACCATCATTAGTTGATTCTATCCACCAAGCAAATAGTCTATAATATTGAAATATTAAAATACCTTAGAATATTTGGGTGAGTCAATTTTGATAATATTTTGGCTTCTCTTATTTTTCTAATATCAGGTGTTATAGGGGCATTAGAAGCTGTTGTAGAGAATACAGAGAAGAAATCAAGATGAGTAGCTTGTAATTTACTCTAAAATATTAATTAAATATACCCTTTTTAAAGCATAAATTTGATCATCTTCTGGACGATAGACAAAAAATATTGATACTCCACTTCTTAATTCATCTTGATTTGTCTATGATAAGATTAAGTAATCATTAAAAAACTTATTATTTCTTATAAAAGCAGTTCTTGGATCATATTGTTTTTGTATTGGATTAATTTATTGTAATGAATCAATTGCAAAAAATGTTAAGGTTATTTTTAAAGGAATCTTTTTAAATTGTAAATTGATTTTCTTTCTATTTATTAATTCAATTATAGATTTGGATATAAAAGCATAGGCAGTAGATTTAATTTATCCTGTTGATGTTATAAAGCCAATATTAATATCTTAATAAAATATCTTTATTAATTTATCACAGGCATTCTTAAATTATTATTTGTTATCTAATTTCTATAGTTGTAGAAGAATGTTTCTAATTGCCTTTTTAATTGCTTTTTCTACATTCATTAAATGTTTAAGAAATGGATCATCATTTGTAAAATCCATTCTAATTTATGAAATTATAAGCATTTGTGAATACTCTTTGCATTCAGAACTCTAAACAAACTCTTATCTCTTCTATAAACTATCATCCTAAATTAATGAATCTAAATTTATTATACAAGCATCTTTTAAATTAATGTTTAATCAGGTTATTAAATAACTAGTTCAAATTGACCATCTTCTTCTGGTAATTCTTCAATTACTTTTGATCCATAAAATAGATTGATAATCTAATCAATCTGGTCTTTATCACTTTTCATTATAATTTTGTGATAATATTTTAATTAAATCGAATAATTGATAATCATATAAATTATTTTACATGATAATACTCTATGAAAATTATAGATTGTTTTACTATTTACATAAAACTAATAAATTGATGAAAAGTTTTGGAAATAGAAAACAAAAATATTCAAGTCTAAATAATTGGTCTAATAAATCATATAAAATAAAAATATACATTTTTTGATGTAGAAAATTTATTGTAAAATATATTTTAGTTTAAATTCAAAAAAAATAAGAAATACTTTAAATATGTAACATTAAAAGAACTATATCAATACATCAAATAATATTTTTCAATTATTTATCATATTACAAAGCTTTAGATTCAAAGTTTTATGCATCTTAATTATTTAATTATTCTATTTCTTTAGAATTTATTGGAATTTTCTCTTAGAAAATGAAATCTGATATATGTTTTGCCATTCTTTCAGGTTGATCTTCATGCATAGAATGACCAGATTTATCAAAAAGATGAATTGTGTATTTATTTTATTTGAATTAAATAGAACATAATCTATTCATTTCAGCAACAAATAATAATTTAGAATATGGAAAATTATCAAAACCATTTTGAATTCCTTAAAACCATTATTACCAATATTTTTTAGTTTAAATTAAATCTACTTTCCATTCTAAATTATCATTTAAATAATGAGGAACAGTAATTTAAGCTGATTAAGGATTCTTAATTAGATTATTAGACAAATGGTAACTAATTGCACTAGAATATGAATAAAATTAAGAGGGTCTCTTTCTTAATTCTTATTCCATCAATTTAATACTTTCAATAGCTTTACTTTCAATCATATCTATAACAATAAGACCTCTTATAAATGATTTTGGTTTCAATTTACAAGCAATTGCTGCTCCTAGACTATGTCCTAATAAAAGAATATTAGTATTTGGATTATTCAATCTTATGTAATCTATAACATCCTCACATTCTTTAATTAGATTATCCATTTCTAATGATTCTGTTTTGAGAGACTAACCATGTTACATCAAATCATATGAAATACAACTACAAAATGTTTTTAATTCTTAACACAATAAAGCAAAAGTCATAGCACAATGTCCAGCTCCATGAATTAATAATACAATAGGTTCATGATTCATAATTGAATAAATTGGAGTACCCTAATATTAAATTGAATAAGAATACATTAACAATGTCCATAGTATCAAAGAATTTATTCCATTCCTATTTCTGTAATTGCTTCTTCTTGTAAAGAGTATCAGTAGTTCCTCCTTCCTCCTCTAGTATTGGTTTTAAAACTGAGTTCAAATTCATTTGGAGAATATTTATAAAAATAATTACTAAAATAAATTTCTTTTATATAAATATATATTTTTTACATTTATTAAATTTCTATAAATTATATTTATATTTTAATGGGCTAAGTACTAGCATCAGATTATGTTGAATTGTATGCTATTCAAGAGAATCCAAACAATCAATCTATTCATTCTGTGCATAAACCTAATGATAAGTCTAAATTAGATCATTCCTAAATAGTACCATCAATATTCATATAAAGTCTAATATAGCACCTCCTATATAGCCTAAACCAAAACCGAATTAAACGAAGAGTGCTAATATTGATCAGATAAAAGGATTAAGAATCTTTTTATCTTAAGAAATGTCTTTATGTTATTAATAATTTCTAGTACCAACGAATTCCCTGATTTAGATCCTGTTGCATATTAAAGACATGAAATAGCCGATGGAGAATATTATGGAAGATGTTAAGGTTCTATTAGAGAGGGAGATGGTGTTTTATCTCTTAAAAAGAAGTAATTGTAAAAAGGTAAATATATATTGAATGAATTTACAGGATAGAATGATTAAGAACAACTCTATAAATTCTTTGGAACATATCGAAATGGATAAGCTGCTGGTAATGGATATGCATTTTTTCATTATGATTATTCTTTTTGGGGAGAAGTTTAAAAAAATGAATTTAAAGGAAAGGGAATTCTTAAAACCAAAGACAATTAAACATATTAAGGTATTTGGGATGAGAGAAAATTAAAATATGGCATAATATAAACGTTATTATTAATTATTATGTATTAGATAACTTTATAAATATGTGGGATAATTTAAGGATGGATTAAGAGATGGATTAGGAGAATGTCATTATTCTGATGGAACTATTATTAAAGGAAATTGGAAATAAGATAATTTAGATCATCTATGTCAAATTTAATTCCCTGATAATACTGTTTTTAGTGGCTATTTTTTTGAAGGAATGAAACATGGTTTTGGACATTTGAAATAATAACATTAGGATTATTATGGGGAATTTGATTGTAATGTTAAACATGGTCTTGGATTATTGATTTAACCAGAAGACAATTAAATGAATTAATCTTAGCATCATAAAAAACATAGTATTTTTTAATTTAATAAACAAATAGCTGAATCATTATATGTTTAAGGTGTTTAAAAAGGAATATTTTGTGTTTACACAGACAATTAAAATAAATAATGGTTTTTAATTAATGATAATAATGATATTGAAAAATTAGAATTAATTACGGAGAAAAGAGGTTTAGCTGAACTTTTAGGTTAAGATAAGAGTTTAGAAGTTTAAAAAGTATAATTCTTTATATTTTAGGTTGAATTAGAAAAGAATATTTAAGATATGATTATTAAAGTAAATGAAATTTAAAATAATTCCAATCAATTCATGGCATTAGAAAAATAAATGGATTCTTAAACTATTAAATTAGGCCAACTTGCTACATATTAAGATTGGATTGACTAAAATAAATAATGAATATTCAATCAATTCATAAAATAAATATATATTAATAACTTTATATTATTGTCCTTTATGAATTCTTCAAAATTTATATAATTATTTAGACTTAATATAATTGTGATTACTTACTTTAGTGGCTCCTAAAATTCAATTAAAGTACTTGAGAGGGCAATTTATTTTAATTTTACTACTAATAAAATATAATAATCTAATTATCAATTACTTTTTTGATCTTATTTAATGCAATAACTTAAAAATAATTGAAATATATATATTATGATATACATATGATTTGTTTAAATCAATTGAAATTTATTTTGAATTATAAAATTAAAATTAATTTTAATAATTAACTAGTTTATTAATATTCAATTTATACAATATAAAGAATTGATCTTATATATATTAATTTGAATTAAGATTATAACTTTAATGTAAAATAATTAATTATAAATTAATCAAATCCTTTTCAACTATGTTTCCTATATGATAATACTTAAGCAATTAATAATTACTCAGTTTTTTCTTTTTATAATGCGATATTTCTTAGAACTTATTTATATTAGAATATTGATTACTAAAAAGAATTAAAACCAAGTTTAACCAATTTAAATAATGTAATACATTATATAGATAATCTTAATTATAATATCCTTTATGAATATAGACAATTAAATTGAAGTTAATCTGGATTGTTTCTGTAATTCTATAAGTTATGCATTTAAAAAACAATACTTAAGGTTATATATAAATTCAGAGATAGAAAATAAATCATTATTTATTTCCTTAATTAGAGATGGTATCCTAATAGTCTAAGATTTTTCTTGTTTTTTGCAATTTTTAATTTTAGATAATAAAATGAAATAATTTTATATAGTATAATTAATAAATAAACTATCATAGAGATGATTAATATGAAGTATTTCTCTTATTGGATAATAAATAAAGATTATGTTATAATTATGAGGTATTATTTGAATATTCTTATTTAATGAATTTAATCTAATATTAATATGATATTGAAAATGTAAATTCATAAATTATTTTTCCAAACTTTAGGAGGCTAGATATGTTAGACCTATAGTTTGAAAACTAAGATACTTAGATAAGTGTTCCTCCTAAAATCAGGAAAAAAAGGTATTTGGATTAAAAATTAAGTAGATTTTTGGCAACACCTTCTCACTAAACAATAATAACATTGAATTTGAGTGATAATTGTGAATGGTTAAATGAGGAAATTGAGCATCAAAGAAGAATAAAAATAAAACCTATCTTAATTATCAGATTTTTGGAACAGAAAACTGAAGAACCATTCTGAAATTATAATGTGAATAATAAATTAGAAATAATTATTGGTTAGTCAAGCTATATTAAGTGTCGATTTAAAGGTTTTATGAATTTTCTAATTTCTTTTCTTTCTTTAAGTAATATGTTTAAGTGCTTAGAGTTTTCCCACGTATGAATAGAATTCTATATGATACATGAGGATTAAATTTGTTTTTCTAAATTTTTATTTTACAAGGTTATCATAAAGTAATTGTTAATGAGAAATTTTAGTTATCTTTTCAATATGTTATTGACATCTATAGAATAATTTATTAAATGTCTTACTATAAGATTTTTGACTTTTATTAGAAATAAATATATAAGTAATCTAATTTGTTTTGATCAAATAAGTTTATTTATCTAGATTTCAAGATCTTCTATCATCTTTGTGTATCTTATATTTTATGTTAATATTTATTGATGATGTCTTCTACATAATATTTGAATGTAGACATAATTAATTAAATTTCATGAAATATTTGCAATTCATATTAATATTAGGTCTAACTCTTGCATTAACAACAACAGATTAGTCAGTTATACTGGATCCTAATGATTTGATTTTATCACAAGAAGATTATTCATCATCTATCAATGTTAATGAATAATAATAAATGGAATCAAAAGATCAATAATTGATAGTATAAGAACTTATTTAAGATAGTGTAAGTTTTTTTTCTAAAATTAGATTTCTAATGAAGTCATGACAGAAACTGAATTAGAGCATGCATTAATAACAAAAGATGATTTAAATGATATTCCTAATATTTAGATGGAAACATAAAACGCACTATTTTTACAAAGAAGAAAAAATTGATTAATTATCATATTAAAAATATCATGTATTTTATTCAGTAATCTATACTTTAATCTTATTAATTATATAGATAATAGTCTAAAAACAAGAATCTAAAGATATTGATATAAAATTTTGAATAAATAAATATTTATTATTTATCATTAATCATAATAAGTTGATTAATGAATCAATTAGCTTTATTTGAGCATATACTAGAGTACATACCAGTTATGTTATTTTTCTGATTGATTTTAAAATTTGAGTTTTTGTTTTTTAATTTCAATTATAATGTAGCACTGTTTGCTCCAGAATTGCATTTATTTGGAGATGGAATTAATTTTCTATCATGACTTCTTAGTCTTAATGGAATGGAGCAAAGATTTTATAATCCAATATATTTATAGGTAGGACTTATAGGAAGGAGAGGAGAAGGTTAATTCATTGGACTTTGATAAATTGAGGAACTTCTTGAACTATAACTAGAAGTTGTCTAATCCTAATAAAATCTTTTTCTTTTAATAATAATAGTTTATCTATTAAATTTCTTGAATATTATATTAGATCTAGCTTATTATACTGAACATCTCTTATATGGATCTAATTCTAACATTTATTTTAAGAGGTTCACTACAGCAGAAGATGATTTAACGACTGAGAAATCTATTAAACCTTATTCATTTCTTTGAATGGTTTCTTAATAATCTTCTACAATAAATGGAGATTGCACTTATGTTAACATTTAATAAAATATAATCCCAGCACTATAACAATCAGCTTTATAATCATATGATTGATCTTTTAAAATCTCTGGTGCCATATTACCTACAGTTCCACATCTATGATATTTATATTGACCTTCATCATTATGATATTCAGCTAATCCAAAATCAGATATGACCATCTCTTCTAGATTAGGTTTTCTAAATAAAATATTTTCTGGTTTAATATCTCGATGTATCACACCTTTAGAATGTATATATGTTAAAGCATCTATAATTTTGAAAATACCTTTGATAGCATCATCTTCTGTAAGTACTGTCTTTGAAAGAATATGATCTAAATTTCCACTATTTAATAATTCTGTAACAATGAATACAGATTTCTATGATTCAAATGCTTCTAGAACTGTTATAACATTTGAATGATCCATTTTTCTCAGTATTTCTAATTCCTTAATGATACATTCAGAATCAAATTTATGAGATTTTTTATCGTAAATTTTTACAGCAAATTCTTTTTAATCACTTTTCCTTATTAATCTATGAACCTATTAAAATATAATTCACTTATTATACATCTGCAAAGTTCCCGCAACCTAATTTATTACTGATAATAAATAGGTTTTTTATTTACTTTTGAATACAGAACTTCTTTAATTCCTTAAACCAACCATCAATATATCCAAATAACTCTAAACAATATGAATTCTTTGTTATTCTTAATCCTAAACCAACATGTTGTATCTAAATGGTCTCAATCATTGCATTAGTAATATCACACCATAATTCTAATCCCTTTTATATATCACAATAAATTTACATTTTTTTTCACCTTTTTAATAATTGGACCATGTCTTTTGAACACCTTGTTTTTGTAAGTTTTTTTATTATGAGAATAGATCAGAAAATAATCCTCTTTAAAATCTGATTCTTTCATTTAAATCCACTAATCATTCCAAAACTAGGAATCTGTTTGAATAAAAATGGAATCTGAAGAGAATCTAGATTTCATTAATTAAATAAATATACCATTATTATGATTTATTATAATTTATATACCAAGTAAAAAATTATGTTATCGTTTCAAATTTTTATTTATCTACTGATATAAATAATTATAACAAAATATATTTGAATTATTTACATCTAAAATATATATAATCAATGTTATTTTTTATTTATCAATAAAGATATTTAACTAAATTACTTTTCCATAAATAATCATTAATTTTTATTTATTATAACTTGTTTCTTAAATAATAATTTTGTTAATATTTAATTCAATTAATTATATTCTGTTTTAACTTTATCAGTATATGATATCTAAAAAAACAGAGAAAATCATTAAAAATTAATCTTATATATTGCTATATTAATACAAACAGAATGATAAAAAATATATATTTATATTTCTGCATAGAATGAAAAATTTTAATAAAAAATAATAGAAAATTATAAAGTAATTGAAAAGCTCATTATTTATTTTAATATATCAAAATATTCACATAAGAATTACTCTTAAAAATCTATGAAAATTTAGGAATATTTGATTATAATTTTGTATACTAATTTTAATCTTTCTTATTTAAACTATAGATTAACTATGTTCATCACTTTTTTTAAGTTTGCCTTATGTAGATATTTGCTAAGGATTATCAATACTCCATTACTCAATAATTACATGTTTTTGGAGACAAGGCAAATTGCAACAATGAATATTTAATAGAAAAGAATAAAACCAGTAGTACTTTCTTAATACGACCTTCTAATTTTAAATTAGATATAAATCATTACTTGCATATAAAATAATGCATTATGCATGAAAGTTTGAAGTATATGTTTTAATCAATCGTGAAGAAATACGTGGAACTGAATTAGACAATTAAAATTAGGTTGGGTTATTATGAGGGGGCCTTTTTAAATTAGGTTGATGATAAGTAAATAATTGTGGGAAGATTTATTGTAAATCTTAAATTAGTAGAAGAACAAATACTCCCAGAATGAGAAACCTTTAAAATTACATTAAATATTTCAGCTTCTTTCTGCATTCGACTCATTCATTAGTTTTACATCGAGATTAATATGATATTAGGGCATGTATGAATATGCCATTACACAGCGATTCTCAGTCTGGTTTACCTAGAGGTTTTGTAAAATTGGGTTGGTCATAATATGATAATTAAAGTCCATCTGAACATCATTTGCATTAAAAAAGATTAGAGAATAAATTTAAAGGGAAGCTCAAATATGTCTCAGGCTTTGAGTAATGCTCAATCTGATATGTTTATATCATCAATAATGAAGATTCCACCTCATAAAGTTAATAATGCAGTAGCAGTATTTACATTACCCAAATCATAATCGGAAGTATTCTTATATGTTTTGATTATAATAAGTGGAAATTGCATTTTATTTAGTCACTATATATGATAATGTTAAATCAATCCATTTAATGTCTAATGGAATAGTCAGATTTCAGAAATAATTGATGATTGGCATTTTAAATTATATTATGCAGAAGATAAAATAAGCCTTTTTTTTGATTTCTTGGTCTGATGAATCTAAACAAAAAACATTATTTATGAATAGTAGATGTTAAGTAGAATTGACTTGTATGGAGATAGCAGACAATTCTGCAATGAATAGAGTCTCATCATCAAAAAAATCTAAGAGATTAATTCTTAAAACATGAGAAATGAAGGCATTGGTTAAAAAGTTTAAAGAGTAGACATTAAAAAATGGGATATTTTGTTAAAAGAGCTTTCACGAGAATATCAAATGATATATAGATTAATAAAAGAAGTAGATGACAAAACAGAGAGTCTAAAAATAACAGGAACTAAAATTTAGTATTTAAGAAGACAAGTCATAATAATGTCTTTTTTTATTGTTTTTAGATAATAGAAAATGTATCTCTAATAAAATTATCAATTAAAGGTAATAGATTATGTGTATCTAAATAAGAGAGATTGATTGAAATATCATTAAAAGGTTATATAAACACAATTAGAGGTTGAATAACTGAAAAGTAAAAATCTAAATTTGTATATATCGTTAAAAGAAATAGTATAATGAGAGGATATTCGAGTATTAGAACATTATAAATAAGAACGTTATAGATTAGAAAAATGGTTGCTAATATAAAAGAGGATTTAAGAAATAAAAGATCTTTTAGTAATAGTGGGGTTGATTGGGAATAAGATTAAATGAAATTGGAAGTTAAATAGCATAAAGCCAATGCTAAAATAGAGACATTATAAGATGAAATGATTTATAATGCAAAAAATTATACTAAAGAAATAGCATAATCGATATTGATTATAACAGAGTAGCAAACATTATTAGATTGTTTTACAATGGGTAGATCATGAATATTTATTATTTATTTATCTGCAATTTTAATATGTTTATGTATACTAATATTTTATGTCTTTATGATATGTTTAAATTGATGTCAATCATTTGAGATTGTTTCTCTTGGTTGTTAAATCAGAATAATAGTATTAAAGCCAATTAGCTTGATCTTAAGCTCCCCATTCATTATAATAGAATGTAATAACACTACCTCCCAAAAGAATTGCAAGAGCAATAAGATTGTCCTTCTTTAATTCTTTTTAAATCAAAGGTGAATGCTTAATTCCATAAAATCTAGAGTTTAAATTACTTCTTTTACCTGCCATACATTTCCTCCATTGTATATCCATGAATCATAGATTGTCTTTCGATTCCAAATTTGAAAGGTTCATACTCAAATGTTTTGACATCTATCTTTTGAGCCTTGAAAAGTTCAGGTTTAGTAGATGTGAATTATCTAGCAATAATCTGAATGTTTTTTCTCATTTATTAAAAATAATTAATATCATAATCTAGCTTTGATTTTTGTGCCCATCAAATCATTGACAGCTTAAGGTACCCCTTTGATATTAACTGAATTCTCTTTTGTGGCCCATTCATAAATATATTCATAAGGTTTTCCATCATGGCAACCAATGCAAGTTCTCAAAGCATTATCAGAGAAATTGAAAGCTTCAACTAAACCCAAAGCTTATGGTTTGAGTTTATTAAGTAATTCAATTTTGGTTTCATTGAGTTACTTGAATTACTCTACATTAATCCTACCTGATTCTATAAGAGTATTTGGATTATCCAATATTACTTATAGTGAATATAAATCACATAATTATTACAATATTTCCTTAACTTATGGATTTGCATTAGATATATATTCCTAAAATACTAAATAAGTGAAATATTCAGCATATCTTTAAGCAACAGACAATAATTGAACCCCAACTACTTCATTCCATATTTATTAGAAATTCTTACCTGTACCCATACTATCCTTAATCTTTTTAGCAACACTTATTAATTAAAGTGTAAGTGTTAATTTAAGTAATTATCCAAAATCTGTACTTTGATTGGCCAAAGTTTCTTTGATATGTAATACAAAATTGAAATAAAATGGAACCTTCTCTGGATTTTTCTCTACATATTATAATACTTTAAGTAAGTATCTTGCAACTTAAAGATACATAACTTGATTCTCTCCTTCTAATGTAACATTAGGAGCAGTATCAAAATAAATAGCTGGTATTCCTGAATAATGTGCAAAACCATGACCACCACATGATAATCTACACCATTCAGCAGTATCAACAACCCATTATGAAGACCAAGCCTTTAAAGCACTATAAATAAAATCATAAATTTTAAATACCTCAATATAGCATGTGATTATTATAATGTACTAAAGTCTTTCTTTTACACTCTATGAAAGTTATCGTCAACCAATTCTGCTATTCTTAATCCTGCAAAGATCATTCCATAACATGTTGCCAATCTTGGTAATAATTTATCTTATTATGTTTAATATTCAAGGACAGAGTTCTCTACTCCTTTATCATTTGTAAATTGTTATCTTGTAATTGAATATCTAATTGCCACTGTCAAACTCTAAGCAGCCATTCTTGGATAAATGAAAATTATTAATTATCTTGATACCATCATTGATGCATAAGATATCTTATATATGATAATATACTATACTTTTTCATTTCCATGTCTTGAAAATTATCCATTCTCAATTCTAACATATCTAGCCAATAAACTGTTTAATGGAATTCTGTAATTCTCAAAAGCCAAGAATCCATTATCTTTTGTAGAATATCCTAATTTTGGTCCTATATCTCCAACTACAACACCTTTAAGTGGTTTATGTGTGGAGTTATCTCTTATTTGAACCATAAAAGGATGAACTCCTTTATTCTTACCATTGAATATTAATTTAGCATAGACAAGTGCATAATTTGATAAAAATCCTAATTCTCCTGGCCAAACTAAGTCATATAAATTTATTCTTACATTTAACAGCTGAAACTGAAGGTGTATGCAATATAAAATCATTGCTTTATGAATCATAGGTGGCTGTGGTTTCTAAATTTTAGACATCACTTCCATGTCCAATTTCTGTTTAGGCATAAGCTGCTACAATTTCCATTGTAAGAAACTTGGGACCCCAGAGATTGAATTATTCATCTGTACCAAGAAATCTTAAAGCAGGAACAGTCATTCCAAATGATACTGCTGATGGTGTTGTACCTTAGAATAAACTTAAAATTGGTGTCCAATGAGCTGCATTGGTAAGATTAAAATGTTAATGCATAATTCTTAGTTTTTCATAGGATTTGATAATTTGTTCCTTACGTCCCCAATTATGATAATCAGGATGATTTCTAATGCTTGGTTCACTAGCTATGATCTTTTAAGCTTTCATAAAGGTTTCATATATTTCTTAATTTCCATAAATAAGTTTGGTTAGGTCTTAAATAGGGAAGGTTACTCTGTCTCTGGCTTCTTAAAGCAATTATGTTGTAGGATGCATATTTAGTGCGTAATTTAAAATTAAAATGAAATTTGATGAGTGTTAAAAAATTATTAATAATACAATATAACCTAATTATAATAAGTATGATGAAAAAGATTACGAAATAAAATGAGAAATTCAACTCTCGTCTTAAATCTCAAGAATCAGAATATGATGACATATTTTAAGATTAAAAAACAGAACAATAACATTAACCAATAATTTAAAAAGAATAACAAAGAAAAACTAATATTCGTATAATCGTCACTAGAAAACCATAATAATAATAATAAGAATAATAGACTATACCTTAATAGCATAGATCTGTAACTAAACGATCTTGGCATAAAGAATTGGATAATTTAGTCAATCCTTAAGAAATGAAAAATGGTAAATTTTCATAAGAAGAAAAGGAATTCATTATGCAAATTGTACATAATTACTAAAATCAAAATAATCTTACTGATCAATAATTGAAAGATTATATTGAATTAAAGACTTTAGGTCATTCAAAGATTTGGCTTGAAATTACAAAATTTATACCAACAAGAACAGTTGATTCAGTTTATAAATTGATTAGACGTAGTTTAGATAGTAAGAATAGACAAGGATATTGGAATAAAGAAGAAGAAGCTGAATTAATTAAATGCATATAATAATATGGTAGGAAATGGAGAGAAATTAGTAAATATCTTAATCGAACACCTGATAATATAAGAAATAAATATATTCAAATTGGTTAACATAATCACTTGTTTCGAAATAAATAATTTTGGACAATTGAAGAGTTTCTTATTCTTATGAATAATATTCATGCTTTAAGTGGTTATCCTATTTTAATACCTAATTATGATTAAATTCTTAAATAAAAATTTGGAGAATAATTTGAAAATGTTAAATTCAAACTTAATTATAGAAAAATGAAAATGGAAGATAAAGAAATCTTTGATTTACTCAAATCAATCATTAATATACCCTCTAATATAGGTGTAACTATTAAATGGACAGAAATTTCATCTGAAATTAAGACTAAAACAAAAGATGATATAAGACAAATGTGGTATAAATTGAATGGAACTTTATTATGATTCTTGATTGACTTCACCATGCATATATATAAAGAAAACTCACAATCCATCTCTCAAAAAGCATCTATTAATTTTAAATGCTCTTTGATCATTTAAGAAGTAATTTCTTACTTCTATTGGTTGATTGATTATTTTCCTTATTATTATAATGCGAGGCGAAAGTATTTAAACCTTCGCCTCGCTCAACCTCACCCACGTTTACCTGTATTCTTATTTATACCTAATTATTCGCAAGTTTTAACTTTGGCACCAAATTACAAATCATTTGCCTTTGAATCCTTCTCCTTCACTAAACTTCTTTCTTATCTATCATATTTCATTTATTATTGGATTTTCTCCTTTTCTCTTTATTCTTTCTCATATTATCTTTAAGCCTCTTGTTATTGTCTCACTCTAGAAAATCATAGAAAACAATATAATACATTTCCTATGCCTTTTGATATTATTAAGGTCCATCTACTCTTCCTTATGCTAGAATATGCTACCATTTGATAGTATTGAAATTCTCTAGTAATTTTGCTAATTCTTCATCAGGTAGATAGAATTCTTAATCTAACTATATTTTAAATAGAGTTGATTGGATACTTAAATGAAACCCAATGATGTTAATAACTCTGCCATTTATCTTATATTAAATAGACGTGTTGCTAATGTTTTAACTGTCATCTTTATATGTTTAAATTTATCTTCATTGGGATTGTTTATAATACTAAATTTAAATCTTAGAAAATACTTAGTTAATAGTTTTTCTAAAAGACCTAGAGCATCTGCAAAAGCTGATGGATCTTCGTTCTTTTCTATTACTTCAAGTAATGATTTCGTTTAGTTACTAGAAATCATTTTAATTAATAATTATTATATAAAAACAAATTCATTTGCTTTTAGAGTGATTTTACTTATTTCATTATATTTGTTATTTTTAATTATTTATTATATAATAAAGATATCTTAGTATTATGTAAAGGATTTGTTCTAAATTAAGATTCTCTGATTGTTTTAACTAAATATTTGAATTTTATAATTTTAAACCAGATTTGACAAATTCTTATGCTCAAAATAATAATTATTTATTTTATATATGTTTTGAATGGGAACTACATAAATAAACTTTTATTTCAGGATGATTTTTAAATTTGCCTTTGCCATTATTACTTATGATATAAACAATTAATGAGAGTCAGAACTTTCCTTAGACTATCAAATTAAAGTCTTATTTATTTATAAGATTTTAGATTATCTTATTATTAATTTAGTAATATAAGAAATAACTAAAAATAACTTAATCAATTATATATAAGTTTGTAACTAAATGTAACATGATACAATTGATTACTCAAAAAATTTATAATATATAGTTATAATATTAAAAGCATACTCCAAAAATATCATCTTTAGTTCATGTTTCTTTTTATGGATATTATTTAAGTACATCACTTAATTTAGCTTATAATCCTCCGATAACTAAAACAATAATCGATTAAATATTAATAATAAAAATGGCTAATAAATATAATATGCAAAGATTTCTAGAGAAAAAGTATGCACATTGTCAATCTTACTATTACTCCAAAACTCTTAATGATTTTGTGAGTTCCGCGAGAACATTAGATGTGATTAGATTCTATTAAGTTATGGACTTTAAGGATGATTCTGAATATCTAAAGCGATTCTATTGCTTAAGTAAGTACGCATCATCAATAATCCTCATTAGACGAGGTGTTCGAAAAGCTTCGCCTCTTTGCAGAATATTATAAATATCACAATGAAATTCCTAGATTCTTCATGCCATATTTTTGCAGAATATTGAGCAAGTATTTTATTTAGAGACATAGGCCAGCTATCATGATAAGAAGAGAAGGATTGAATATTACAGGATTAAAAGAATTATAGAAGAGGAAAATAGATAAAATCCGAATAAACCAAAAAAGGCAATAGTTGGAGACTCACCTTTAGAAGATAATCCCACAACCACAAAGCCCTAATAAATGTATAGCAAGATCCTATCTGACATTTAGGATGCTTCAACAACTATTGAAACAATTAATAATAAATTGAATGCTTTATAAATAAATGTAGGTGAATTAAATCTTTAACCATCCAATAGAGAACAAGAATAGTTACAGAACTTCATTTAATTTATGATAGATAAATAAAAATAGAAGACTATCACTCAACATATTTAACTAAATTCACCTAAAACTAATAATAAAGTTTCAATTGGAGTAAGTTAGCAGACAATCAAACAAATTATTTCAAGAACTATTAAAAATTAATAGACTTTTCACTTATCACCAAAGACAGGTTAATAAACATAATCTTAAGTTGGTACTTTTACATAAAGAATCATAAAAGATCCTTTAAAGAAAATGCTCACCCCTACACAAATATACAGTATGAATTCCCCATAAAATAATAATAATACAACAATTTAGTTGAAATCGAAGTAATCATGAATTTAACTTAGAATATCTTCTTCATCAAAAATTAAATAATAGAGTCTCTCCATATCCAAACAATTTAAAATAAGTGATGCTTTACATTTACCTCTAAGGATACATTAACATACGAGATCAGATGTTCGATTTTATAGAAAATGATAAGTTGTATTATTTATTTATTACTCAAATTTCAGAGAATTGTATATTGTAAGTTTTCTTATCCCAAGGATTTCTTTTTGGATCATGGTATTCCCCTGGGCCTGGAGATTAATTTTTAGAATTCTCATACTAAAATCGCTTTTCCTATTGTAAATATCATAAATAATTATAAAACTTGTATATTGAATGGTGGTGCATGTTTCTTAACTTAAAAAGGCATTTTATATGGTTCTCTTTAAGGACTTTTTTTTAAGCTTTCTTCTTCTTCTTCAAGTTCCTCAATTTTCTTTTCTTCTTTATTTTAAAATCTTGGCATTGATGACATAAAGGGTGGTTTTTATATTTTTAAAGCAGGATCCTCTTCTTCCTCTATTTTAGTCTTATATTCTATTGTATAATTTTTGGGATCATATTAACCAGGAGCAGGTATTTCAGATTTACTTTATGATCCAGGACCTGCCCTTTTGGTTGAAGATTTAAAGACTGATTAGGCTCCTTTTTCTGGACTTTTGCTATTAAAATCATATTATCCAGGTCCTGGTTAAGGCACTTAAAATTAATTATCATCAAATCTAGGTTAATTATATCCAAATTTTCCTACTGGAGCTCTTTCTAATTTCTTAATCAAATTATATTCTAACTAAAAAATTATAATTATTTGTATTTACTGTTTATTTTGGATTATAAGTCTAAGGTCCTGGTCTTTTTTCTTGTAATTTAGTTTCAAAACGACTATTTGATGACATAAATGGAGGATATTTATAAGATAGACTCTTATTAGCTAATTGAACATCTACTCTATAATCTCCTGGTCCAATTGAGGTTGAAACTTATTCATCTCCAAATCTTTTTGATTTTGAACCGAAACATTATGTTTCTATTTTGGTAGCTGATTTTGAATAAGTTGATGCAGTTGTTGAATCTTTATAATAATATCCAGGACCTGGAGTGGCATCCTTTATTAGTTTAATAATTTATATACTTCTATGTATTCAATTTCTTCATCTTAAAGATCAGCAAATTACGGATTTGATAGCAATTAATTTCTCTTTTTTTCAAATTAATATCTCATAAAACTTCTAGCTTTCTATCCTCTTTCCATATCAAACAATCTTTATGTTTTTGATTAAAAAGAACCTGAAGGCATTAATTTATAAAGAGGTTAATTATCTTCAGGAATTTCATAATTGCCTGGACCAACTAATTGTTATTTTTCTTTTGAAACTACAGGTGCTAATTTTGGTTATTTAGATTTATGCCAATTAAATCCTTTATTTTTATTTTATTCAAATAAATCCTTTAAGTCATATTGTCCTGGACCAACTGAATCATTTTTTAATCCTGATAGTATTTCTTATGGACTTTTATTCAACTCCAAAGCTTTTTGTTTTAATCTAGATCATTACTTCCATTATCAGTGTAACCATGAATTTGAGAATTACTTGGAATAGAAGGAATTGATTTGTATTTATTTAACTTCATTAACTATTCTACTAAATTCTCTTGAGAGGCAACTTAGTACCGTTATTGTTGAATGACTTCAGGTTCATATGACCCAGGACTGAATTACAATTTATTTATGTTTACCCTGGATTCTCATTCTTAGAGCCCTCTTGAAACCTTCGGCATTTTGATGCAAACACCGAATGTTGCTTAGGCATCTCTAATATTTGAACTTCTGATTAAGTTGATTGTAGAACAACCTTCTATCTATAATTTACTATATAATACATACCCTGCATTCACAAAATTGACATTATAACTACCTGGTCCTGGAAGAGAGTTCTATTTAATAGGTTTACTACGAAGTGTCTGTGTATTGAATGGTGCAACTGATTATCTAACAGATTGAGTTTTCAACATTGTATATGTTCCTGGACCAACCTATTCCCTTATGATTCATAAGTACATTAGCTGGAACCTAAGTAGTCGATTGATTAAGATCTCTTTCAGCCTAATAAACAAAGGCCATTATAATTATTTATAAACAAATTATAAATCAATTCTTCTTTATTTTAGTATTTCATTTTTAGAATTCATATCCAAATATAATTCCATCATTATAAATTTATATTTTTAATCAAGATATATGAAATATTAGATAATATCCTATTTAATAATTTACTCAATTTTCAGTTTATTATTTTATATAAATAAACTATTCAATTGAATTTAATTAAATATCTCTTAAGATTTTGTATTAAATAAATATATTATCATTTGTATAAAATCCAAAACTAAAAACAAATTTTTCATTCTAGAAAATAAAAGAAATTATGAAATAGAAAATAATTTTCTAATATATAAATAATAATCATAATAGTTGTCTTAGTGATTTGCTTTTATTAGTTTATAATTCTGGTATATATTGTGAAACAGCCTCTAATTCATCCATTTCAGATGTTGATCGTTAGATCCTCTGAAAATTTTAAAATCTTTTCTTTTTTTCTTAAGAATTTAATTTATTTGAAAAATAAGGATGTTCTAAAGATTAGTAAACTGTAAATTATTAATCAAATAGCATTTTTAAAATTAAATCTTATGCTAAATTTGGTATTGAACTTGCTTAAAGCATAGTGGATAGAGTAATCCAATCTTAATTGTTATAAAGTTTAGATGTATATCTATTATTTACTATAACATAATATATTAATACAGTTAAAATAAAATTGATCCACAGTTTTTTATATCTTGAGAATCTATTTCTTAGGATCGGAATGAATTGGAAAAATCTATAATTTTGATCAAATCTGATTTATAAATAAGAAATTTAGCTTATATGGTCGCATGAATTATGTGATGGTCATGTAAGACTTTGAGTGCCTTCAGGAGTTGCTTGGGTCAGACTTTAAGACTTACTGTAATAATTGATTAGCATTGCAGATGACTAAGCTTTTGATTTTTGGTAATGTAATTCTCCAAGTTAATTCCACCAAGGAATTCTGTGACAACGTAATTTTAATTATTATACTCGAAGCACTCTCTAATTGAAAGAATGCTTGGATGATTCAAACCTCTAAGTAGCGAAACTTGTCTTTCTAACTACGCATAGTTTAAGCATTTTAATGTATAAGTTTGATGAGACAATTAATCCAATATTTTGGAAGAATCATCTATATCAATTTGTTTATACAATTCTATAAGATTATCAAAGCAGATTAGGTTTCTACATAGATTTCTTAACTATTCTAGATCTTTGTGATTGGCTTTAAAAAACTTGATAACATCATTGTGTTAGATACCAAAGGCCTAGATTTTGAGTCCATCTACATACCAATGTAATACATTTTATAATGTAAAATAGTACTCATATTTTGGAGGGTCCTTTTAAATGTATAGAAATCAACTCATACATTTTTGCCAATTGTTAGTTTATCATTATATACATTGACAACATAATGAGTGTTAAGAAGATAATGTAATCTTTCACATTTGAATTATAGTATCATATTTTTATTATAATAATTAATTCTCAATCCTCTTCAAATGTCTCATATTTCATTCTCAAATCATTTTAGAAAGCTGCATCGTCATTCTAAGATAATTAGGTGGAAGCAATAATTTTAGCTCCCTGTTTTAATTAAGAATCTAATTTATTCTTTGTGTTTCTATATCTAAGAATATATAAATTATCTTATTTACCGTTTTATATAATAGCATAACCAAAGTGTCAGTAATGCTATTAAAAAAATGAGGCCAATTATTAAGAAGGTAAAAAATGTTCTATTGTGATTTAAAAATTTGGCAAAATAATTTGGTACAGGTACTTGGATAGTTCTATAAAACACTTTAATTTAAGAAGTAGAACTAAAACATATATAGAATTAAGTACTTCATGAAATTATCAACTGTTGCAAACACTCCAATTGATGCATATTCATATGTAACTAGATTAGGAAATTCAATTTCATATACTATACTTCCATTATGATCAGCTAAGTGAAATGATTGTACACTTTTTTTAAAGATTTTTTCATCATCTGCCTTATGACTTTCAAATTATTCATTGCCACAATAACCTAACATTTATAGTTTCTTTTCATCTTGAGCAATAAATATATGATAATTAATTTAGACTCCCTCTAAATTGCAATTATTACAAGTAGCATGTTCAAATTCTATTTATATGAAATCAGCTTTTTGTTTATCTAATTTCCACTTTATATTACCATCATTTCCAGCTAATATTTTACCAAAAGGTATATCTTTTCTATTTTAATAGAAATGATTTGTAATATGATAATAAGCAGATATTGAAGATGTTCCTTTGATGGCAATCCATAAAGTTCCTTTTTCAACTGAAATCATTTCAACATGATAATCTTTTTCTGGAATATCAATAGATTCATCATATTCTTCATCAATGAAAGATTTAATATCTGATTTTGAGAAGCTAAAATTGATATCAGATGAGCATGAATAAATTTCAACAGCTAAATACCCTTCAGATGGAGCATAAGTTTCATAATAATCAAATTCAGCTGTGTTGATGTAACCACTATGATGTCTTTAAATTGGTAAGATTCTGATATCACTAGTTGAAGCACTGATTTCAATAAATTAAGTAGGATTTATGTCTTGTCCATTTTCTATATATTTTTTATTTTTCAAAATAATTTCATAGATTCCTTTATCTTTAGGTAATTCATAACTACTAGAGAGAGGATGTATCAATCTAGTTTTGATTGGAATTTCTTCTAAAGTTTCATAATGATAATCATCAAATGCTAACTTTTTAATATAAAGAACTTTTATTTCAATATCTTATAATGAAGTTTAATTCAAAGGAGATAGATTAAGTACTGATATCTGGTCATCATAATTTTCATATAAAAATGTGATATTATTTTCAATAATGGCTAAATGTATTCTACCATCTTATAATTTTCCATTAATAAAATCACTTGTATAGTAAATTGTATAATTGCAAGGATTATTGGATTTAGTAGAAACCTTTATAAATAATTCATCATGAACAAAATGTGATGGTAATAGTCCAAATTCATCTTCTTTTTTTTTATCCTTATTTTTATTTAATAAACCTTAAGCTAAATCTTCAAGATCATTCAATAATTTTTAACTAGGGACAGTTATATGAATATATTTATTATTTGGTTATGCTTTAATAATTTTACTTGAATTCAGATTATCTTAATTAAATGAATATTAAACAATAGGATCTCCTGTAAATATTTAAATAAATATTTCAATTTTACTATCCTATGTAAAGAAAATAGAAAATTAAGATGAACTCTATTTTTCTACATAATCACTATATTAAACTCCAGCTGGTAATTTAACAAAATCATTTTCTAATACTACTGTTAATTAACCATGTAATTCACTTTCTTAAGATTCAATTTTGATAATATATGTACAATAAATACAGAATTTAGATTTATCATTAGATTAAATTAATATTTAAGAATTTTCATTACCAGCTGCTAAAACTGTATCAAGATATTTAAATTCTACATCATTACTATCTTTAACACATTCAGCAATATTACTATATTGATTACATATGAAAACAGACATTGATCCATATCCTAAAAATCTATGTAATTTAATAAATATATCTTGATTAAGATAATTATAAAATTAAACAATTGTAGGTTGATGTTTTTTGGAATGTATTGTATTAGGTTGACTATGCATAACTTAAATATAATCCATATTCATATAAGAAATAGTAAATTCTAATTTAATTGATTATTGAATAGAAGTATAATAACTTTATATTCCTGAAATTGAGATAATCAAATAAGCATCTTAAATTGTAATATCTTTCTCCTTTAATTTCTCATTTAATTGATCTTTAGATAATTAAAAGTAAGTTCCATCAGAATGGAAATCATATGATCCATATATATTAGGATATTCAAAATAATCCCCACCATTTACACTAATTGTAAAATAACCATTACCTATTAATTACAATAAAGAAAATGTTAAATAAGCATCATCTCTAAACTTTTACAAATTTTTATATGTGAAATAAACAGACTCTTCACTTTTAATTGAAACTTCATACTTTTAACCTTCAATAACATCTTACATTCCTTAATTTATCATTATATGGAATTAATCATTAAAATTTTACACATTAATTTAATTATTTTAAACTCTTTAAACAGATATCAATAATACACAATCAGGCCAACATTAATCTAAAGCTATTGATTTAAGTGTTCTATGTATTTGATTGGTTGAACCACTGGAAATATCTGAATCATCTTTTTTATCAATAAATGGCCAATCAGATTTATGTTAAGACTTATTTAATTTCCATATATTAATATGTAATAAAAATTTACCAAAAAATGTAGATGCAAATAAATTAACATCAATAGACTTAGAATTAGGTTAATAATAGAAATGCATAAATTCTTCAATATTTTACAAATTGTATGATAATTATAATCCATCAGTTAATTGAATGGCCAAATCTTATTTATGAATTGTTAATGTATATCTAACAGGAGTTTTAGATATACTTTTGACAACAATAAATATTTCACAAAGATGAGTAATACGATCATGATCAAAACTTATTTAATTATTCTCATTTATATCACATAATTTTTTCATTTTTTCACTTGAAAGTGAAAATGTACTTATTTCATTATCAAAAAATTTATATTCATATTATTCCAAATTTTCATATAACATATTTCCAACATATACTTATAAATCTTTATTGACATCACCACTTGATAGTATGTTTTTAGTTATATAAACAACATCTTCATCAAAATAACTTAAAAAAGAGAATCTTTATTATTCTGTAAATGCTACTTATCCATAATAAGCTGAATTGAATTCTAAATTAATAACAGATTAAGAATCATATAAAATAAGTGAAAATTTTATATCATTATAATTATTTTCATCTTTAACATCTTAATTATTTTAAACTTAAATTTCAATACATGCTATAAATCTATCACTAATTAATTATAAAGCTGAATTTCCTGTAATTACATCATAATCTCCTTTAGTTGGTATTTCATCATCAGTATCAATATTAGCATAACTAACAAGTTTCTAATTTGGTCCATGTATTAAAAGTGTTAAAACACCTTTAGTAGTTTATTCATATCTAAAACATTATTTCTTTTAATTAGAATTAATTGAAGATTTATAAATCTATCCTTTATTAATATTAATAATATTAATCTTATCTTTTGGATGAGTTTCTATTATTAATCCATACTTTGCTAATTCCATACCTTCAATAGTGATAGAATATTAACCATCTTTTAATTAAGAATCACTTAAACTAATTGGTTATTCACTAGTTCCACTATATTCATAACATTTCCAATTAACCAATTAACATTTAGATGATTTACTTATTAAAATTTAAACATTTTCAGAAGTAACTCTAAAAATAACTGAACTATAATTTTATGAATTTGCTAAATTAAATTTATAATGATGTTTCTCCTCTTCATCTATTTCTGAATTAATCATTTGATTTTCTGTTAGCATTTTAGCTTCATTATCATCATCAATATTAAGACTATATATTCCTTAAGTTTCAATAGCAATCACAAACCAACAATAATTGTCTTTATCTGGATTATCACATTTTTATTCAACAGATTGATATATTTCTCCATTTTTTATTTTTTCAATGGCTTCACATTTATTTCCTTTACATGATTTCACTTAAACTGAAACATCTTATCCACTATCTGCTGATACTGTAAAATGATTATCTTAATTATCAAATAATTTCAATTTGTAATTTACTATTCCATTATGTTTTCCCATAGCTAAATTATTTCCTTCAATAGAAATTAAATCAGTTTATTCTATAATTTCTATTTGATAACTTATTATATTATTAGAACTTAATTCTAAATTATTGAATTCTTAATTCCATAATAAATTATAATTATTATGTTATAATGTATTAACAATCTAATCAATAATAATTTCTCCTTATTAATTTCTTACTTTAATTTTTAAGATATCATGAGAATAAGATTTAAGTTTTACTACTTTTAAACCTTCAATAACATATTCATTTTTTTTTTATTTTTGTATTCCATCTATAATTAATTAATTAACATTCAATTTCTGTTATTTCACATATTCAAATCTTTCAATTTCAAATTCCTATTCTCCAATTAAAATCAATATTGTTTCACTCTCTATTCCATCATTAAATACTACTATATATCTTATATCACTTTATATAATAGTTGGCTATTCTCCATAATACCATAAATCAGCATAAGTAATTACACAATTACTACATTTTATTGAATAAACAATTCTATATATTGAGTTCTAAACAATTTTCAATAATTTCAATTTCTATTTTTATTGTTTTCCAATCTATAATTACTTTACTTCCTCTTGCATTACTATTATATTGAATTTACATGGTCCTTTTGTACATTTTACATCAATTTCTAATCTATCATTACCTTTTTCAAAATAACATATTCTTTGTCCTTGTTTTAATTTACACTATTCTAGAGATACTTCCTCTAAATTATATTATAAACATTAGATACCATAAATTAATATATTTTCATCACTCTCCTCTTCTTTTTCTTTATTACCTTTTTTCTTTTTCTTTCTGGAACCTTCATCTTCATATTTAACTAATTATATTATTGTTGGTAAATTTTTATTCACTTTAAAACATAATTCTTATTTCTTTCCATTCTCTAAATTTATAGATTCAGATTCACTAATTGATCTAACTTATATATTATTTTATTACTTGCATGCTATTGCTATTGAAATAAGTAATGAAAATATGATCATTTTTATTAAATTTAAATTTATCACAAAACTTATTTCCATTAGCATTTTATATCAATTTTATGTTACTTTAACAATTTAATTTAAACAAAATTATAGATATTTCTATAAAAATTTTACAATAATCTCATCATATATTTTTAGAAAATAAACCAATCATTCTTGACTTTATATCTCAACCATTAAACTAGGACTTAACTTCAAGATTATTATTCTAGAAATCTTGATTGGAGTAAAGATTGTATAAAGAAAGATATGCAATTTCTAAAATAAAGGTATTCAAGATAAATTAGGGCAAATATCGAAAATTTAAATTTATTAATAGATGAATATATTTATTAATGAAAAGAAGAAATATTAAATCTATGCAAAAACATTTTATAATCAATATTACTTAGAAATAATAAAAAGAATTTTATAATGGTTTCGAAATTTTAATCTTCTTGCTATATTAAAGATAATTTCATCATATATTTAGAATAATTATTAAACTATTCATAATTTAATTGGAATCTTTATCTATAAAATTATTAATTCAATTAATTATTAGCATTATTTATTAATTCAACTTAAATTATATCAGTAATTTATATATTTAGAAATAATAATGATGTTACTTATTTTGTAAATTAATTCTACAATATTTGAATAATATAAAATTAATTTTTACATATTTAATTAGAAATAACCATTTAGGATTCAGGTATTAAATTCTTTATGTTTGAAATTTCTGTTATTCACAATCTTTAATATGATCTTAAGGGAACAAGCCAAAAAATTGATTAATAAAATCCTAAAATAAATTAAATAAATTCTGAAAAGATGAAAAAATGATTATTGTATTAGAATTCTAGATATTTATTAATTAAGCGAATAGAATTATAAACTAATAAACTTACCTAATGAGAATGTAAAACTTTCTGTGTTTGGTATGATATTTAATTTGATATTTTTAGAGGAAATTCAAAATTATACACTACTAAATTATTGATAATTTTGGATAAATTATGCAATTAAGTTTTAAATTATATTGGTTAATAAAACTGATATTAGACATAAAAATAGATTTATGACGACAGAATATTTTTAGAATATTAGATGAGATTAATTTAATTGTTGAAACATTAAAATTGTAATTAAATTATGATGTCATACAAGAAAATCCAATTATTGATTATAAGACATTTAAATTAATTACTATTCGTTATAAAAATGAAAAAAATGTGAATACATTCATTCTTATAAAAGACTGCTTTGATGGAAATTATAACATTTATTTAGTCAATAAATATTTATCAAATCATATACTATACGATGAATTACTTCAATTCTCTAAAGCAAAGATGCAAGACAAATTCATAAGCGGAAGAAGAACATTCACAATTACTAATTCCCTGCATGAATTGCTAAGAATATATTAGATTTAATTTAATCAATAAGCATTCCTTAGTTTGCACTCAAGTGACATAGAATATTGATCATATTGATAAAACCTACTCTTTATTAGAGGAAAATCATTATAAATTACAAAAATTACGAACAAACTTAATGGAAAAATAGAATAATATATTAGCGCTTAGACTCATTAGAATAATTGAACTTGTTGTTTAGATTTCTACTATAGGCAAAGTGGAAATAGCTTGTTGTTAAACTTATTTAGATGAAATCATTTAATTAAAATACATTCCTAAATCATCATTAAATCTAAGTTTGTATATAGAAAGAATATAAGTACTTATTGAATAAAAAATATAAATATTGAAAGATGAATTGAAAATTAAGCAAGAACATGAGTATTAACAAAGCTCTCAGAATAAATTCAAATATTTAATGACATAGGAGAGTCAATCTAATCAATACAGTAATAAAATGTATTAAATGAGTGTTGATTAAAAGGATATTTATGGTGAATCTAAGGAGCATTAGTTTGAATAATTAAGCAATAAGATTTAGTAATGCAATAATTTAAAGATGGAATAGTAAAAATATAATAATCTAATTAATCATAATTTATATAAAAGTAAAAGTCCTAAATAGATGAATGTTGAAGAAGCAGAAGTAGTTTTCCCTCAGCAATAGTAAAGAAAAATGTTTAACTTATAAGTTCCATTTAAATTAAATGCCAAGAGTGAGATACTCACTAATATATCAACAAGTGATATTGGATTTTTAGAAGAGTAATCACGGAAATGTGAATCTTAAAGTCAAAGATTATTTTATTCAAAATTGTTAAAACTAAAACTATAGATTTCTAATTAATCTTAAGCATAATAATTGTCAGCTGTTATTTTGTGGGATGAAGCATAAAAATTAAAGTTAAAATGTAATGAATTCGATAAGTTTTTGAAATCTGCAATTGAAAAGCCAAGTAAATATTTGAAAAATGAATTTTGAAAAAGTCTATTGAAATATATATTATTAGAATAAAATAATAAAAATTATATAACCATGAATCAAAGTACAACAGGAACTACTCCTCATGGATTAACTTTTTCAGGAGCGTTTACATTTGGTGAATCATAAAGATTACCATGGGTTAAAAAAGATGATATAATTGCTAATAAAATTGAAGTTGAAGGATGCAAAAAATTTGATGATTAACTTAGAAGGACTGAATCTAGAATATCTAGTAAAATATCAAGAAGAAAATCTAATCTTCCATAAGATGAAAAATTGAAACCTGTAAAAGCACCTAATCCACCTGTTGGAGCTTACAATATTCATAATGTTTAAGTTATTGATGAAGAATAACTTAAAGATCTTTTAGAGAAAAATTAAACAAAAGAATAACAAGAGAAAATCAAGTAAATGTATACTATTTAAACATCAATGGGTAAAAGATTATCTGGAGGTGAATTAGATCTTCATTAAACTTGGGCAATTCATAAACCTGAAGTTGTCAAAGAACATCCAATAGGGTATTAAATACAATATTAAATATTCTAGTCCTGGTTCATATAATCCATCTTTATCAAATCAACATTCATAGCCAGTTTTTGGATTTGGTTACAAATAAGAAACTAAATGGGCAAAAGAAGGGCCATCACCAGATTAATACTATAATTCTGAAACTTTTAGCTAATTTAAAACTGCCACAAGTTGGGCTACAAATAAAGTAAAGAAAACTGGATTTGGAACTGCAAAAAAATTATAATTACCAAAATCAATTGATGTTGGACCTGGAGATTATAGAGAAGTGTCTTAAGAATTAGCACCAAAATATTCTATTCCAAAAGCAGAAAGAGAATTACCTTCTCATAAAATTGTTCCTAGTCCTGATACATATTCTCCAGCTATGAACTAATTTAAAAAAGCTTTTAGTTTTGGTCATAAATATATTCCTATTTTGACTACTGATTATTTTGATCCTGGTCCAGGAGGTATCCTTATCAATCTAAAATAGCTCACGATCCTAAACTTCCTCATCCTTCCACTGCCAAAGAAATCAAAATGCTAAAAGAAAATAGATCATAACTTGTTACAAAAGAATCATAATTGAAACCAGGACCTGGAACTCATGATCCTTAAATGCCTCCCACTCGAATTTCACATAGTAAATCCTAATTATCTATGGGAACTGGTGAAAGATACAATCCTAATACTGAATTTCGACTTTCAAGAGACAGAATACCTTCTCCAGGAAAATATGATATCAATTCAAGTTTATAAGGTCCTAATTATTCAATTAGGCTTAAATATGAATAAAGAAATCATAATAATACACCAGGGCCAGGATAATATGATCCAGATTCTCAACTTGTTTAAGATTCTTTTACTAAGCCTCTTGAACATTATACTAAAGCCTAAACAGCACATGCTAGTCTAACAAAAGGCAATAGATCTGATCCAGTACTTTCGAAATTTAAAAATATTGGACCTGGAAGCTATTCATTACCATTTAATACAGGTTCTAGATCAAGGTTAAATTTTGTATTACTCTTAGTCTCGGAAAAGCAGCTAGATTTCCTCCAAAAGAAAAAGAAGAGATAGGTCCAGGATCCTATTATATTACAGGAACTATTGGAATAATACCAAAATATCATTTTGATAAAAATAGAGATAAAATGCAGTCTTCATTTTCTTAATTTGATAAAATTAATAGATGATTATTATATTTATACCCATATTATTATTAGTAAATAAATCATATCATAGTTCTACTCATATCATTTATTGCTATTCTTTAAGCTTAAGTAAAGTAATCAGCTACTAATTGAATTAATTTTTCTATTTTTTATTAAACATCTGTTAAGGATTCAATTTAAATCTATTATATTTTTGATGTCATATCATTTAAATCCATGAAATGTAATTATTATTGATGATCTTATTTATTATGATCTTCAAATGAAATTGGTAATAGCAAATCTAATTAAGGTGAACTTTGCATTTGTATATGTGTTATGATTTTTGTATATTTTTGAATCAAATTAATTAATGTATTTAAGGAGTTTGATAATTAAACGAATTTAATATTTACATTTATTGAGAAATCATATTATTAATGTAAAAGTTCAGCATAATTTGCATTTTATTCTTTAATTTATTTTAGTTGAACATATTAATCTGATTTATCTTAAATTGATAGAGTTTGACTTTATTTAAAAATATTTTCATTAGCAAATTAAATTAATGATTGTTGTAATTCGATTGAATATCTTTTTTAATCTAATTTTGCTTTTTCAATTTCCTATATCAATAACTTTATTGTTTATTCTTCTTTTTTTTATATAATGTCTTTTTCTATTTACAAAATGTCTATTTATTTCTAATTTTCTAAAATTTATGCTTTTAATTCATTGATTATTAATTGTTGTTTTTAACAATTTTAACAATTATGAGAATCACTATAATCAGTTCTTAAATAAATGTGATCTACACCGAATTTATTTTCATTCTCATTTTCAATAAATTTAACTGTTGTTTTTTATCTTATTTTTGATAGTCGAGCATCAAGCATATAGTTTAAATAGCTGGTTTATGATTTTTTATGTGGTTAAGTATTCTTTAATTTCATATACAATTTAATTTAAATAAATTACTGTTTATGTTAACAATAAAAATGCAAAAAAATAAATTATAAATAAAAAGAATTAAATGTTATTAAGTACATTAATTTATGATCTCAAAATACATTAATAGCAAATTTAAATCAATATCATTTAAATACTTTTATTAATTCTATTTAAAATGATAATCTTGCTTTAAATTAACTATTATAGTTTTAATTTAAATGTTTTTTATCCATTTCATTTTATTCAATGAAATTACCATATTAACATTTAATTTTTTATTCATTGAAACTTTCTAATGTAAATTGAATCTCTCAATTAAATAAGATTTTTAGAATTCTATTTAAAACTACTAATTTAGTTAGATATTCTTATTTCTCATATAAATATTAATATTATTATATAAATATAAAAATATATAGGAAATGATAACAAATACAAATGGAGTAGCATAAAATATATATCATTTTTTATGGTTTAAAGATGAATCATTATTAAAAGAGTCATTTTAAATAAGAATACCAGACACATTAATTTATAAAAATGGAGTTCCATAAGTAATAATAATCAAGAAATTAGGTTTGGTATTTTACAAGTAAAGAAGGAGAGATTATGACAAAGAAATCTGAGGCTAGAAAATCTGAAAATCTAATTAGACATTTTTGTTAAGGAGATATACCAAATGGATAAGTTATAGCATATTATATATATCCTCAAAAATACAATCATTCTGATCCTAAAGAGGAGAAAACTTTTCCAAATCAATCAAAAAAGGCAAAACCTCTCTTAGACTTTGATGAAAAGATATGCATTTATTATTTGACTAAATAAATGTTTCCTGATTTTGTTAATTCTCAAAATAAACCACCCTCAGGAATTTTATAGAAGTTTATAGAACCCTTAGGAAATCATGAATCTTTGATTCAAGCAATTTGGAGTCCATCTGTGTGTATACTTTCAAAGAAATAAAACAATCGAGATTTATATGATATGTCTTATGATCCTTATGGTAAAGATATTGTCTATGATAGAAAGATGCACAACTTTTGATGGTGGAGAAGCTTATTCTAGAGTGATACCTTTAAGAGGCAAAGAGATATCATAAGAAATAAGAAAACAATGTTAGATGATAGTTCAGAAGATAACAAATTTGAGTTATGGACAAACAAATCTATCAAGAATAGTTTTTTATTATAAAGCAGATTAAGTAATTAATTATGGCCATATGGTTTATAGAACAATAAAGTTTGGTTTTTGTATTCATCTTCAATAAGGTTGTAAGGAGAAGCTTAATCATAAATAAAGTTATATAAACCATTATGGGGTAATACAAATGTGAAAAAGAATAATACTCCAATTCCATTTAATACAAATTTTTAGAAACCATATTCAATTAAGAATATGCTTACAGTAAATACAATGCATCCAGTAGCCTTAATTAAAGATATTGAATGTTTTGAGTGTGGAGTTTTATGTCAATAGAAAGGTGAATATTTATATATAATATTTAGATCTATACCATTTGACTTATGAATATATCATTAAACATTTTGATTAAGATGTAAATTAACATCCACTTGTGAATAATATTGAAATTATTAAGCCTAAATCCTTTTAATAATGTGAAGGTCATCTTAGAGATATACATTCACATATTCCACATCTTATTTTAAAACTTTATCCACATTTGACAGTGCAATTATTTGAATAATTAAAAGTAAATGATGCTTTTTTGATAAAATCAGTTTTGATTTGTGAGAGTTGTTTTTTAAAATATAGTGAATCAGATCCAGGAATATCTGGGGCTAAATTAAGAGTATCTAAATAATTAAAGAGAATTGTTAAATAATAACCTTCAAAAAGTATTTTAAATAGAAGACCAGATTTGAAAGAATTCTTAATTGAAACAAATTTAGAACTTTTGAAATTTAAAAATGCTCATTCAATAAGTCAATAAAAAGATGTTTAAACTAGTAGTCATGTTACAACTTCATTGTTACATTCATTTCAGAATGTTACTTAAAGTACAAATATAGGGAAAACTCCATCTTTAAAACAATTCCGAAATCCAACAGAACCTGGATATATAAGGTTGCATACAGCAAAATGATATTGTATTATAGTTTATATACTAAAATTTATTATCATAAGAAGATGTAAATTATTATTCCAATTACAAGAGCTCCAAATATACCAATTGCCATATAAATAATCCAATTTGATTTATTATTTACAGCTGTTGCTCTTTTTTAAAATTGATTTGCCATTTAAGATATATCTGCACTTTTGTGATGAATAACATGAAGTTATTCTTAATTCATCTAAAATTTTCTTATATTTTCTTCCATTAATCCTTGGATAGAATCAACAGACTTACAAGTTATTTCAATTTTATCATCTGTAAAAGGATCTCTATCATATTGTGTTAATAACTAATTTTAATAAAAAATATACATTTCTAACATTAGGTTCTAAAGATTAGAATTCATATTTTCCACTTTATATTTGTTTCTTTAATAATTCTTCTACTTATTTTAATAATCGCATTGCACTTGCCATTGGATATGTGGATGTAACTAATAAACTAATTACTATATTGTTCTTTAATGAACAATACCAAGCTTCTGATTATGAATAAATCTTTTAAACAGGTAAAGAAGGAACATTTTATTAATCCTATTAGTTCAATATTTGCTAATATAATAATTAAGCTTCTTATTGTAAATCATTTATGAATACTGGATTTTCTGCTACCAATGATAAGATTCCATGTTTGCTTAATGTACTTAAATTTATCACACAAGCACATTTAACTCTACAATTGAAATCCATTAATGAAGTATAAATTATTTATTATTGAAAATATTTATTTATTCATAAAATAACTTAGTTAAAATGAAATAACAAAATGAAAAGGATGAATAATTTGATCTTATCATTGATGAAAAACTTTCCAGTTAAGAGTAATCAACATCTACACAATCTAAATAAAGCAATGCTAATCTAACTATGTTATAAGAGAATTCTAAAAAATTTAAATTAAAAAGAACTCAAAGTACTTATAACTATAATTTAAAAGAAAGTTTGCTTCAACTTAATCCAATTCATCCATAAAGAAGAGGATCTCAATCATGTGTTGAACCAATTTAAGTCATTTAAGAAGAAGTAATAATTCAATTTATATGATTTATTAAATAGTGTCATAAAATTGGGAAACCCAATCTCTATACAGTTTTTTGGTATGATGAGAATATTGATAATAAATATGAAATTATTGTATTAGCACCATAAGATACTTTGATATCTGATTTTATTGCTTTAGTTATAAAAGAATTCAATATGCAACATGATTATATTCATTCTCCATTTACTGATGATGGATCACTTATTTATGAATTGTACATTCCTAAAAAAAAGAGTGGAAAACCCAATGAAGATTATCCAGGTAAATTTTATTTTAATATTCTCTAAAGCTTTATCTAATAATACTTAATTAAGTTAAACAAATCTTACTTAATTTGCTTTCAAAGTAACAAAAATTGATTCTCATTATGTCAGTTCAATCACAAAATAAAGTTAAAATGTTTAGGTATCAATGACAAAATTTAAAGATTAAAATGCAGGGGATGAAAAGTCCTTCTGGTTCAAATTATTCTTTTGTTGTAATTTTGATATCTGATTATATTCTTTAATGATAATTATAATTATCATATTTTTATAATCTTCTTTCAATCAGGATTAACTGAATCTATATTTTACTTAAAAGCATTTCACTTATTTAATTAATTTGGTTTCATTTTTATTTGAAATTTATCAGAATCTATCGGTTTTAATAGTAAATAATATTAGCTATTGATTTTTATTTTCTTTTAGTAATAAGTTAAATGTTTAAATAAGTACCTAAATAAATAAGTTAAAACAATACTTAAATCTAATAAATTAATCAACCAAAGAATAAATAAGGTCTAAAATAGTTTAAGAATTCAAATTAATAAAAATAATAATGTTTGTAAAAATAATAGGTATTGAAATATTTCAATAAATAAACATTTTTTAACATAATTGTATTTTTGAAAGCAAATGATATAATAGAATTAAGATTAGTTAATAGATTGTTTAACAAATTATTTATTAATTGTGCTCCTGTTTTATTGGATTATTTAGTATAGAAAGATTTATAGTAATTGAAAAATGAAAATGTAATTTAATAACATTTAGAACTTCCAAAATTAAAAGATGTAGATATAAATAGAATAAGAGACAATTTATAAAATAAAGCAATGTATGCTTATGCTGAAAAATTAATAAAGGATAATATTTTTAGTGTGGATTTAATTTTTGATATTATCACTCTAGATTTACCACCTTGGAGAAAAGCTAAATTCACTTTTCTTTTAAAAGTAAAGACCATACTTGAGAAATATGATTTCAATCTTTATAACCTCAATGATTAGCAGATATAATTGATTAATTAAAGATAGAATTATAAATTAGCAGACTTTTTATTATATAATGATGACTTTGAAGATCTAACAGCATATGTAAAAAATCTAATGTAAGTGGCTGCTTTCTAAGATTATAAGTATTTTTGTGACTGGTATGAGATTGAAAAAGAAAACTAATAAATGTAAAAATTAAGAGATTTACTTAGAAATAAGTTTTTAGAATAAAAATGATTATTATACATATGATCTTATGTAAATAATCTAAAAAATATATAATAATATTGTTAAAGATGATCTAAATGCAAGATATATAGGAATCTATGATTCTAAATTAAATTTCAAGTGATGATGAAGATGAGTCAGAAAGTCCAATAGAAATATAATAGACATAAAAAATATAACATTAAGAACAATCTATCATTTAGACAGTCAACGAAATATCATTCAATCGTAATATAGATAAAAGAATAAATGAAACAATAGTTCTATAAAATCATGCAGATGAAATCACTTAAAAATCAATGAAGAATGCAAAAGAAGCTTATTAAAGAGAAATAATAAAAGAATTAGTTTCAAAATAGAAGAAGAGATTTAAAGTAGATGGATTCAATTTAGACTTAACTTGTAAGATTAATAGTTTAATTTAGATATAACTGATAATGTAATAGCTATGGGATTTCCAGCAGAAAGTTTTGAAGCAATTTATAGAAATCCAATGCCAGAAGTGTAAAAATTTTTAAATAGTCGTCATCCAAACAATTATATGGTTATTAACTTGTAAGCTTACTACTCCTACCTAGATGTTCAGAGCGTAAGTACAAACATGAGTCTTTCTATAAAGTGGCCGAGTTTCCTTTTGATGATCATTAAGCACCTCCATTTAATATGATGATTGAATTTTGTTAAAAAGTTCATGAATGGTTAACTGCAAATTCTAATCATGTAGTGGCAATTCATTGTAAAGCTGGTAAAGGAAGAACTGGTGTTATGGTGTGTTGCTATTTGTTATATAGTGGAAAATACAATTCAAGTTAAGATGCATTAGCTTATTATGGTTTAGTTAGAACATAAAATAAAAAGGGTGTAACAATACCTAGTTAAATTCGATATGTACATTATTTCAGTTATGGTTTGAAAAATGAATTGATTAAAATGCCATTTAGAAAAATAGAATTAGTATCAGTTAGATTGGTTGGTGTATCTCATGGTACAATGATAAGAATATAAAATAATGATAGGTAATTAATAGAAAAAGCTTAAATTGTATCAGAAAAAGAAATACTATATGCATTTAATGATATATTTTTATAAGGAGATGTTCTCATTTAAATATTCCATAAGTCAATTGTTTCAGAATCCAAAATCTTATAAGCTTGGTTTAATACTAATTTTGTATCTCTTTTGCCTAAAGAATAAATATTTAAGGCTAATGAGTTAGATATGTCAAAAAAATCAATGAAAAATTCTACTTAAATTTAAATGGAATTACAATTTGATCAAGTAATTCAAATTAGAGAAAGATCAAATTGCTTATCAAAAGGCAAATGATATATAATTAACTATCAAAAATCTAAATATTAAACTGCTGCACCTATATCTATCAAGTCAAATGGTTTAGTGATGAAATAATCTGCTCCATTCTTGAAACATTCCAATTTTGAATTCAAATCTACAAATGTAGCTATTATTATCACATATCCTTTATCTATTATACTATTTCTCATTTATTCTTTTAAAGATTTTACTAAATCTATTCCAGATAAAATCTAAATATATTTACATATATTATTATACTGGCAAATAAAATTCTATAAAAAATAATAGATAAGATCTGTTTCCACAATGACATGGTTTGTTTTATTTATTCTATATTAATTTTTAAGCTTCAATTCCATTAAATGCCTTGTCACATTTAATGTTATATTTCTCCAAGACTTTTTATAATGAGAAAACACTATAATGATCATTATCTACAATTAACACTTTAGCACAGCAAGTTAATCTTAATCTATATTTAATTACTGATGATAATAATTTTGGAGTTAATTCAGGAGGATGAATAGATGGATTACTCATTTCAGCTCCAAAATCAAAATTAGAATGTGTTTTCATTGAATCATGTTAAGAGTCACTTTTTTCATTTCTAGTCTTTTTGTAAGGTTATTATATAGTATCTGGAAATCCTTATTTCCAAGTTCCTGAAAAGCTATTACTTTATTCTTTTGATTATTTAGGAACTGATCCAGAATTTTATATTTATTTAGAATTTGAAGAATCCTATTTAATTCTTGAAATCTAAGAAAAATAAGCACTCTAAACATCAAATGGATCTCCTGGTTTCATTGAAAATTATTTTGATAATTAGGTTAATGAAAAATATCTAAATAGAAATGAAGATTTACTTAGATTCTTCTCTATAACCACTACTATCTTAAGCTAATAATAAAGATAATGATGTTTCATAATATTTTCTTTGCCCTAAAATTTTAATAGGACCTGTATCTTAACGAGATTACATTCTTTATTGATTAGTTTATGATTCAATTACAAATGTAAAGGTACCATATCCCTAACTATCATACAAAAATTCAAGACCTCTTTTGAAGGTACCAGACAATTACCAACATAAAATGACACAAATCTATAATTCTAATGGATTGTTAAGATCAACATCATAAAATGAAGCCATTTTTAGAGCAGAATTAAGTAGTCTAACTAAATTTGTTATTGATTTTCTCATATTATCATCTTTAGCTATCATACTGTCTTTAAAAGATACCATAATACCACTAACAGTATAGCTTTTAATATCTAATTTTAATTATGATGCAGTTGTATATTTCAAACAATAAGAGAATAAACATGCTAAAATTTATTTTAACTAATTAATTATAATTATTTTACTCTATCTAAATCACTAAATATAACTTAATTATTATCACTTAAATCAATAGATGTTGTTAAACTTACATCTCTAATTTTTAAGTTATCTTCATAAATAATTAATAATTCTTCTATCAAATCATTAACTTTAAATGCTGAAATTCTTAAAAATAACTAATTCTATATGTAAAAGATATAATCTCTCATACTATTAACAAATAGAATATATCTCAGACTCATCATTCTTATAGGCATATAATAATGTTGCTTTAATGAAATTTTGTGTGTATTTTCATGTTCATGTTATGTAAGTAAAATTAATGTTAATATACAGTTGATATAGCTTACAGATTCATGCACAAATGTTGAAAAAACATTTATTATTGGTTAGGCAGTTTCTTCTTTTTTTCTTTGAGGTGGCTACTACTCAAAAAGAAAGATTAAAAAGGAGGATTCATTGACTTTATTCACAAACGCCTTGATTTGGATATTCTCAAAATCGAACACATCGCTTCTCAATTTAAACAATGTCACCATACTCGGTCGCCATCTCTTTAATTCCAAGTAAACTACTTATCGATCTCATTTTGCATCATCAAACTCAAATCTCTAATGGTCAATATTGATTTCATTCGGCATTTATGATAATCATTCACTCTATTAAGCAAAAATGAACCACTTTAAATTATATCAATATAATAAATTACTCGCTATTAACAGATTAATCATTATTATTGCTATTTATTTCCATTAATTCTTTGCTTCCAACTAAAATCTAACAATCAAGAAATAACTCTTCATAATCTGGCTTTGATTACTATTACGTTTATTAATCATCCAAATTTGATTATTTTAATAATTTCCCTAAAAATATATTCTAATAAACTATGTTAAGCTTTTTATTATAGACTAAAGCAGATTAATTTTGAATCCAAGCTACATTCTATAAAATTAATTCATCTTCATTGCATTCCATTTTTATAGCATTGATTTCTTAACTAACTGATTATTATTAATTTGATTTGCTTATTAAATCTCTATTGTTTATTGATTCTTTTACTATATAAAATATTATTATTAAATAAATACATTCTAATGATTTCTATTTGAAAGTTTATTCAACATATGCTTCATTAGATTTAACTGATTTCCATTTCATTAAAAGCAAACAAATCCAAAATATCACATTAAAAAAAAATAATAAATTGAATGGTATTTCAGTAACATAATTATACTTTTATTCTTGTATTAGATTGATTAGAAACACTGTGCTTAATATAAAAGTTTAAATTATATCATCTTCAATTAAATGTACAATTATTAAACAAAATTGACACATCTCAATATTCATTGAAATTTGAATTAAAATAAAGACAATCTTTATTCTCCAAACATTTTTAATATGATCACTCTTTTTATATTTAAGGAATAGGTAACCAAACTCAAATATTGAATTCAAAATAATTGGTATTATTGAATCAATTCCTTGAGATTAATACAATCCTACAATATCAACAATCATTACCCAAAAGGAGAGCCAAAAATATCTACAATTCTTTGAGAAAATACTCTACTACGTTCTTTTGAAACATAAATATAATTAATTTTAAATAATATCTGCTGAGTAAATCAACAATTCAAATATACAAATTCGAAAATATATAATTAGCATTTTATAAACACATTCTTAAAAATTATTTAACTAATATTTATCAATATCATAAATATATATATACTAATAATTTAATTACTATTTATAATGATTAATACCATTTTGTTTATTTTAACCTTTAAATTAGCAAATAAAATAGTATACTAAATAAATTATAAGTTCAAAATAGTTTTTATCTACCATTCCTAATTTATAATTTAAAATAACATTTTATAATTAATTTTAAGATTCATTTAATAGTTATTGATATATTAGAATAAGAATTTAGGATAATAGTTAAATCTTAACTTACAAAAAATAATCTATATTTTTAATATATATATATATATTAAATAATTCTTTTAATTTATCATATATTATATTAAAATATAATTTAGGTATATAATACTTGGAATCATTTATTATTTTATAATTCTCTACATCTGTCTTCTACAACTTCTATTCCCTTTTTAAAAGAAGTGTTGAATTGGGATATTAATTTGGTTAAAAATGTTTAATGAAAATTTGATAATAGTTTCTAAATACATTATAATAGGATACAGAATAATGAGTTTATTAATTATCTATTGCTTTATAGATAATTGATTCATCTCCTGTTAGATTTGGATATAATTTACATGATTTAAGTAATTTTGTTTACATTTCCATACTCCTATTTTCAAGATCAATAGTAATCTACTCTAAAGTTAAACACCAAATAGTGAATTTATTAGCATAAACCTAATTTATTGTATTAGTTCTTACTATTCTTTTAATTTAAATTTTATTATTATCATCAAGGATCATATCTACAACTTAATTAAACTTAATAAAATCGAATTCTTTGCAAGGGTATTTTCTCCAGAAACCTTTTATTACAGTTTCCCAATTATAGTTAAATGTGTATTCTGAGTGAATTTTCATGATATAAAATTAGTAATTGTGTTGGAATTTAATTCTTAAATATTTATAGTAGATATTTTAAAAAAATGTATTAAATATTTTTGATATAATAATTATATTATATATATATATAAGAGATAATAAAAGTTTATTTATTAATAAATTTGTAACCAATATATTTGTGCAAATAATTAATCATAATTTAAATTGATCAAGATCTGGATGATGTCCTTTTGGTTCATTCTATGGAGTTTCAAGTGGAGTTTTTACAAAAGTATATGATTCAGCTCCTTTCATAGTTGATTTATCCTATTTTATAATTTGAATTATACATTCAAGCTCTTACTATGTTCTTTAAAGAAGAATGTAAGATTATTTGGATCCATTTCCAAAGCCACTCTTAATTTCTCTCCAATTCTTAACTTTTCACTCTCTCTTCTATCTTTCAACCATATCTCTAATAAATTTCTTCTTTCTCTAATAGACAATACTACACCAATTACGTTATCATCATCAAATTCTTCACCAATACATGCTTAATATGAATTAACAATTTATACCAAATACCAATGCTTCCCATTTCTTATTCAATAATTCATTTTCTCTTTTTTTAAAATGAATAATCCATGTACCTCCTTCTAAACATTCCTCCCACATTGGTCTATGACCTTTCCTAAATAACATTATTTTATTATCAATATCAATCTATAAGTTTGTTTAAATACTTACTTCACTAGGTCTGCCTAAAAAACAATAATATGTGAAAAATTCTTCAACTGTATTAAATTCACCAATTTCTTTCAAATTTACATCATAATGATCTGAACCTGCAATAGCTTTTCTACCTCTTGGAGCATACCAAAATACCCAATTTTATGATAGTTTATGAGCCATTAAAATAATAATAAAATTTGATAAAATCAATCAATATAATTGATTTCCAATCTAAAACTAGTTATGAATAAAACACAATAAATATTTTCTCAAAATTCTAAAATAACATATTCTTAATATATGAATATAACATTAAGATCAAATCTTATCCAAATTATATTTCAGATCATGTAAGACTAACACAATAAGGAATCAAATTTTTCCAATTAGAAAAATTACCTTAATAAAAATACTTTAATAAAAATCTACTTATGAATAATAAATTGTAAATCTATACATTATTAAAATAATTATAGGAATCCATGATATTAAGGACAAGTATAAAAATAAAGAATCCTAATTTATTATAATAATAGAAAATTAAGTCTATTATATCATCTCAAATCTATTAATATTTATTAATTCAATAATTTTAGAATCTATAATTAATTAAAAATGATCATCAACCTATTTATTTATATTTTTTAATATAATAGATGTATAAAGAGAATTCTATAAATTCAAAACATAGATATAAATGAATATTAATATTTAATATATTCATATGCTTTGAATACTGTTTCCTTCAAATTCATCTTCCAAATCTTCATCATTAAACTAATTTTCACCATCATCTAAAATCATAACAAATCTATTTTACTTGCTTCTCCATCTTAAATGAAACCCATATCTTCTCTTCTTTGATTTTACTATTATACATTATCATCATTCAATTTGTATGCTTCTTTTAAAAATGCTGGTACATCTTCAATTTCATATAAATCTACAACAATGCAATCCTATTGTAATTTTATTCATTTATACTTTCTTTTAATGAATCATATCTGAACATACTCTACAACAAGTCACTTTATGTTTCATACAAAAGAAATGTTTCACTCTGTCATTATGAAATTCACAAAATTCTAATCCTGAATCTGGATCTACTTAAGGATATGCATTTTGTTATTATTGACGTGCTTTTTATGATTATAATGCTGATTATTGAAATTATGTAAATAAATATTGTTGTGGATCTATGACTTCTGTACCTCCATGTTATTTACTCTTATTATTGATATCATCTGCCATTCTAGTGAAAATTGTATGATTAATCTATCTATTAATATTATTCTTTTACTGGTAATCTATCAACTGAATCAAGATGTTTAATTAATTTTAAACAAAGAGGACATCTAACTCTTCTATTTCTAAATAAATTATAAGAATTTATTTATTACCTATAAAAATTAGTGAGACAAGCTGTACAAATTGTATGACCACAATGAATTAATATTCTAGGCAACCTATCTTTCATATTGTAATCATTCTTGCATAATATGCATTATCTTTGATTAAGCAATTTGCTAACAAATTCATTAATTTTTGATAAATATTCAGTTGGTGGATTATTTGATTGTTCAAAGAAATATTGTGTTGGATTTTGAACTACTTTCATTAAATAAAATAATTTAATTTCTAAAGAAAAACCTAAAAAAATTTGAATTCATTTTTATTTAATATTATTACATATATTTATATCTTAATTTATTTATATTTTTAAAACTTCATAATATAAATTTATTTATTTATATAATATCATCTATTATAAGAATGATTTAATCATAATTTAAATATAAAAATTTAATATTTCTTATTTAAATTTATTATATCCAAAAAGCACCACAAAATGATATACACAAATATTTTAATTAATTTTAAAGACCTCTAGAAATAATGAATAGTCATCGCAAATTAACTCTTTCTGAATATCAAACCAAATAAAGACAAATCCATGAACATAGAAGTCCAAAATCAAATAAATTTCATACTCCTTAACAAAAAATCAATATAAATTCTCCAAAGATATAAATCACCCCAAAATAACAAAAGCCAAAACCATTTTCAGATAGATCCATCTCCATCAATCTCAATTTAAATTTTCCTTTCCCTTCCAAAATTTCCAAGCTGACAAAACTACAATCTTTAGATGAAGAGACTAAATAATGTGAATCTAAGAATTAATAACTAACAATTGAATAAAAAAGTCCAAAATAAGAAGGAATAGACAAATTAAGATCATAATTGAATGAATAATTTTTAAAGGAAAGCTCATGTAATAGAGCAGGAGCTTGTCTCTAATTTCTTGAACCTTCAATAGTTCATAATATGTGTAATTATCTCATATCAAATTTAGTAAACCTATCACCTAAAGTTAAAGTTAATTCAGACCTTCGTGCTTCTGTTACTTCAAGAGACTTAAATGGTAATACAGCACTTCATTTTGCTGCTAAAAATGGAAATATTCATCTTGTACAAGCACTTCTGTATAAGGATATACAAATAGATACATAGAATGAAGATAAAATGACACCATTATTATTGAGTGCTTATTAGTATTAAATTTAAATATAAAAACATAGTGGGAAATTGGAAACTTTATAAATATTAGTCAATTTAGGAGCTAATATCAATCATCAAGATATTCATGGTAATACTTCTCTCCATTATGCATGCAAATATAATTTTAAATCAATTGTGGAATTCTTACTTTAAAAATAACATCTTATCTTATTATAAAATCATGATTAAAAATATCCAAATTTTTATATTGAGGATACAGAAATTGCTTAAATATTTGCAGACTATTTAGAGTAGTCAAATTGTAAAACTATAAATTAACTTTTTAGAAAAACGAACTAAAGAAGTTATAATTTTGAATACTTAAACAGAAACAATATTAAAAATGTTTTAAAGAAGAAATATTAAATAAATAAAAAAATTTATTTAAACAAGTAAGTCATAAAATAATCTTGATTTGATATAAGAATCAACTCCAAAAATAAAATAATTATAAACAAAATTACAATAACTTGAATAATTTAAAACTTAACTGTAAGCATTCAAAAAACAAATAACTTTCTCAACCAAATATTCTGAATCTTGTAAAAATTTGAAAGAGAATGAAGAAATATAATTATCTCAATTCTAAATCTTAGGTTTAATTGGAAAAGGTAGTTTTGGTCAAGTCTATCTAGTAAAGAAATAAAATTAATTATATGCAATGAAAGTTTTAGATAAAATAATGATATTAAGTAAATATAAAATAAACATATTATAGAACATAATCTATTTCGTTATGCTTAAACTGAAAGGAATGTATTATCGGTAACTTCACATCCTTTTATAGTCAAACTAAGATATGCCTATCAAACATCAGATAAATTAATTATGATTTTAGATTATTGTCCAGGAGGAGATATGGGATAACTTTTGGAAGATGTAAAAAGATTACCAGAAGAATAAGTTAAAAATTATATTTGTGAAATTATTCTTGCTTTAGAAGATTTACATTAAAGAGATATTATTTATAGAGATCTTAAACCAGAAAATATAGTTATAGATGCAGATGGACATGCTATGCTTACAGATTTTGGACTTTCAAAGGAGGGAATATTTGATGCCAATTAAGGAGCAAGATCATTTTGTGGATCTGTTGCTTACTTAGCACCTGAAATGCTTAAAAGATAAGGACATGGAAAAGCTGTTGATTGGTATTTACTTGGAGTAGTCATGTATGAATTATTAGTTGGAGTACCTCCTTATTATGCAAATGAAAAAGAATAGCTCTTTCACAATATTGAAAATGCTGTTCTCAAAATCCCATCTTACATTTCACCTGAAGGTAGAAACCTTATAAAATCAGTAATTATTATTTCATTAAATAGCTACTTTAAAGAAATCCTATTAAAAGATTGGGATCAGGGGTTGGTGATTCTAAAGAAATCAAACAGCATCCATACTTTTAAGATGTTGATTGGGAAAAAGTCATAAATAAAGAATTGCAATTTACTATACCAACTAGAAAGATAAAGATTAATACATAAGTTGGTTAGAATCTTTTTGAAAATGAACAAGTGGAGCTATCCTCTCATATTTAAGGTTGGTCCTATGTTCATACAGATTTTTGAAAAAAGGATTTTTCTTGTTTAAAAATTAATTTTTTTCATAATAATTTAATATTTATATAATTTAACCTTCATTTTTACAAAAAAAAGGTAAGGTAGATTTTATAGAAAGTAATATAAATTTTGTAATTAACATTAATCAAGAGACTTAAGAATTCATAATTGCTAAATGAATACATAAAATTAATCTCTAAAATTTTTAAGAATTATTTATGAGGAATACATTGGAATATATTATTTTGTTAATCAATGAAGAGTAAATTATAAATTAAAAATACACTTACTTTCTGTAAACTTACAATTACATTAATTTCTTAATACTTTAAGGATCATAATTAGATAAATTATATTGATGTAGTAATAAGGTTAGTTGATAAAATATTATAATTAGTGTAATTCATTTTAGGGAATGCCTTCAAATTTTAGGATTGCTTAATTATGATTAGGTGCTACATTCTATAATACACTTTATTGAAAATTTAAGTTCTTTCTGGTACTTGCTCAATTATATATGAAATGTTTCCCTATTGTGGTTTACATTCATAAATTTAAATAATTAAAAATGAACTCTTAAAATAAGTAAGTGAATTTGGTTTATTTTCAGTTAACAAGGAATTTTTGGAAATGCTTAGGGACTAGGATCTAATCTATTCGGCTCATCAACAAGTCCATCAGCACCAATTTTTAACGCTAGTGGATAGACATAGAATTAAGGTTCTATATTTAATTCATAGGGTAATATGGCTGGAGCTTCATAAGCAGCAGCATAGCCCTCAAACCAAAATATATTTGGGAATACATAGCCTACTGGAAATATATTTGGTAATAATCCCACAAATAATAACAATATTTTCTCAGGGACATCAGCAGCAGCCTAACCACCATAATAGTAACAACCACTGTTTGGAGGTGCAGCTCCTTAAATAAATTAAACAGGATTAGGTGGTTTAGATTCTCTTTCATAATAACCATTAGGTGGTTAACCACATTAAGCAAATAACAATTCTACGTCTTTATTTCCAAACCTAAATTCCAATCCATTTCCCTAATCTACTCAACCAAATACAAACTAGTCAAATGCATCAAATCTCACAGGTTTAAGTACCTTTAATAATGTCACTTCAACTGGATTAGGAACGGGAACTACTTAGAGTAATGGATTAGGGGTAACAAGTGGAGGATTGTTTGGATTATAACAAAATAATGCTTAGCCATCTTTAATAAACAATAATTAAGTAGCTCCGCAAAATCAAGCGTCAGCTCCATTAAACCTCCAAAATCCATCATCAGCTCCTCCTACTTCAAACCCTTTAGGAACAACAGCACAAAGTTCTAATCAAGCTTAACCTAATCAAACCTAAGCAAGTCCACTTAGTACTTCAAATAATTTATTTGCTAATCCATCTAGCAGTCTTTAAACTTTGTCATAACCATAATAATAAACAATAGGGTAAAATTGGATTACATAGCCAGCAGCGCAACCATTAGGATAGCCTTCAACCCAAGCATTAGGATAACCATCAACCCAAGCATTAGGATAACCATCAACACAACCATTAGGATAACCATCAGCACAACCTTTAGGATAACCACCAACACAACCTTTAGGATAACCATCAGCACAACCATTAGGATAACCACCAGTATAATCACTAGGATAAACAACAGCACAACAATTAGGATAAACATCAGCATAACCACTTGGATAACCATCATTACAACCACTAGCTCAACCAATAGGATAACCCCCAGCACAACCACCAACTCAATAATTAACTACCTAATAACCAATAACAATTTAAACTACTCCAAGCATAATCTAAATTGGAGCATAACCAAGTTAATAATAAACATCTTAATAGCCTAAATAATAAACTTAACCATAATAATAAAGTACACAATAATAACCATTGCTACCATAAACTACTTAAGTATCTTAATAGCAATCAGTATCTCAATAGTAATCTACAGGTTAAGCATAGCCTTAGTAAAAATTATAATTACCACTTTCAAAGAATAGAGATTTTTATAAAATTATGGAAGTTTTGAATTGTAGAGATGAAGTTAAAATTTAGAATTTATTTAAAGAAGACGAAAATTTATATAAAATAATGATATAAGGATCTAATTGGTTCTCTTTTTCTGATAATAAAATCTAACTTTAATCAGATACTCCTTTTGATTAAGAAATTAGAACTAAATGCTTTGATAACAAAATTAAAAGTGAAGTCTATTATGTTTTAAAAGATAGTTTGTAAGCATCAAGAGTTAAGATATTGAACGATCAATTCTAAAGAAAATAGAAAGCACCAGAAAAAAGCAAATTTTTTGATAATGAAATTAAAAAGTTTTAGCATATATTTTTTAATCATTATGCTGAATAAAGATCTTAATTGGTTGCAGGATTAAAATTAATGCTTGTTAATTTAATAAACGATGAGGAAATTGGTAAACCTTCAAAATAATTAAATGATATGTTTAAGAAGGGTCTTTTAGAAGGATTAGCTAATTCATTTTTAAATGTACCTGTAGCCTTGAATTTCTATTTAAAATAGGAATACTTTTCAGAAGAATATACTTTTTAGACATTTTAACATTTTGTATCAGAATAAACATAAATCCTTGAGATATTCACAATTTTATAAAGTTATTTTTAAATTGATAGATTTGAAGATGTATATATAAAACCAGCCTAGAAATTAATAGATAATATGAAAAGTACTCAATTTCTAGGATTATTCCATAAAAATGAACATCTAGTATTCTAAGAGTATGGTCCTTTGTCAGCTAAATTATAAGAGGAATATAAAAAGATAGCATTTATTTTTGTTTTATCTTAATGCATTAGGCCTCTATATTATTGGAGAGAGACTGATTTAGAAGAATATGATCTTCCACCTTTATGGATTAATAAGGTTGAAGCAATAAAATTTATGTAGCCAGATAATATTTAAAAGATTTTTTAGATTGCAATTTTTTTGTAAGAAGGTAAGGATATTTAAAATTAGAATGATTACGAAATTAGTTTAAGATATTTTGAAGAAGTTCTTAGAGTATTAGAGAATGCATCAATAAATAGTCATTTTTGGAGTTGTGTATGTACTTGTATTTATCAATGGATAAGATTTTACAAGAATAAATATTAAGAAGATGAATATGATGATGAAGTTGAACTCTTATCAAAGATATTTTCAATTCTTTTATAATTACCTAAACTATGGTTTATGTTTAGTGAATCTGTAAAATAAAATGAATCAGCTGAATAAATTATATTTGATAGATTAAATAAATTGAAAGTGTTTCGTAAAATTAATTAGCCTGAGACATTAGATTTAATGTCAGATGATCACAATTAATTTTAAAGTTTACACAATATGATAAGAGATTTTTCTGAAGGTAAATTGACAAATAATTTATATAAATCATCTGATTTCTTAGGTAAAAGTAATAGAGCTTCTATGGATTATTATAATGAATAAAATAAATTAAAAAATAAGACATTGTCTATGGGTATAGATAATTTAGGAGTGAGTGTTTATAAATTTAAGCATGCAATTAAATTTATTAAGGGAGAAGTAAAAAAATCAGCTAATTCAATTAAAAGAATAGCTTTATTGTGTAGTTCAAATAACATAAATAGATAAATACTTAAAGTAACATCAGAATGTTCAAGATTAATTGATTTAATAATTGATACTCATAAAGAAGAGGAGAAAGCTATTTAATTAATAAATAATTTATTAACAATAGGTTCAGAAGCTGTTTAGATTATAAATTATATATTAGAAGATCCTATTCTTTAAAAAGAAATGGCTGAAGAGATAAATAAATTGTCTACTAATGAATAATAAATTTAGAGACAATAAGGATTTTCTTATCATCCTTTATTTGAGTTGTTTCATATAGCAAGGAAATGTCAAGCTTCTTATTAATTCAAGGTGAAATAAGTTATTAGAATCCATTTGAATTATGCTTAATTATGTAGTGCAATAATAGGATAAGATAATCCTTTGCAATTATTTGAATAATAAAATAGTAATCATTATTATTAATCAACATAACATACATTTGTGAAAAATACTCTTGAGACCTTTTTAAGATTTTAATTATAAGAATGGAAAATCTTTGAGGAAGATAAGATGGAAGTCACTATTGAATATTAGGCAAGTATGTATTTAGCATTGTAGAAGATCTTAAAGAAATTTTTATTTTATCATACTAAAGAATACAAAGAGACATAATTACATAATCTAATCAAATAATAATTGAATGAAATTAATAGTTAATTAATTCTTGAATTTTTATTAACTAATTTAGATGTTACTTTAACAGATTCTTTTTTTGAAGATATTGGATAAAAATAATTATCTAATAATATTAATATGATTGGAATTAAAAATAAATTATATGAATAAGTAAGAAATTTTGATAAATTAAAATATCATGTTACTTCATTATTAATTAATTTACTTGATTGTTGGAATACTCTTATTGATTTATATTCAATCTATGATGAAACTTTTAGTAATAATTTATAATTAATTAAATAATTACATTAGTTTTTTTAAGAAGAATAATATTTTTTATAATAGATAGTTAGTACATATCATTAAGATATTAATGGTTATGTCAATAATAGAGTAAAATTGAATTTTATACATTCTATTTTGGGTCTATTGAATACAATAAGTGAACCATAAAGTATTTGTTTAGATCCTCCTGATGTTGAAGATATGGAATAATTGACGTTTAAATCAATATATGAAGATATGAAATTTAAAAATTATCATTAAATATTAGAAAGGAATTTACCATAACAAAGTACAATATTTACAAGTGCTTTACGTTTGTTATCGAAACCATTACTGAATTATAATTTGGAATAGAGTATAACAACAATAGAAACAGAAGAAAATTAATTATTAAATAAGAGAATACATTATCATCATTTAATATTTTAGAGTCTTCACACTATTTTAAATAGATTAGATAAGAGATGTTATTTAATTGAAAAATAAGAAATATTGGAATTTTTAATTATAAGTCTAGAAAATAATTAATCATTTATGCAATATGTACTCAAATCATAAAATCCAAATCTAAGTTCAGGAATTAAATATATATTAGAATTGTTACAAAATATATTGGGATATGATGATGATTTAGAATAAGATTATAAAATTCCAATGTTGGTTTTAGTATTCCTACATTAAATTTTGTGTGTAAATTAATCTAGATATTAATCATTTGCAAAAGAATGTAGAACTACTTATGCTTCTTTAATGCTTAAATTATGTAGAGAAGTTTAAATTTGTTTAAATAAAAGATGTGAAAAATTAACTAAATTTTTATCAAATAAGAATGCTAAAATATATATTACCAGAGAAACAGGATCAGCAATAGAATAATGTGTATTTGAGAATTGTGTATTAGATGCAATAGAAGAATTAGTTATGTTAGAGTACTTTTTAAAATTGCTTATAAATGAAATGAAATAAGAATCAAAAGAAACAACAAAAGCATTTGGTGAATTAATAAAATTAATGTTTTAGAAACACTTTATAAGAGAATGGTATCTGTTATTAATCCAATTCAGTGATCATGTTGAATTTGCAAAATTCTTAAAACGTACACCTATAATAAAAAGTAATACAGTTTTCAATTATTTATCAAATTACATTTATAGTTATGGTCGTGACTTTTAAATTGATAGTAATACTGTTAATTATATTGGTGGTAATGCAATTGCAATATAAAAATCTAATATTATGGCTTCATGGTTTACTTAATTATTATCTACATTTAATCAATTATCTTAGTTTGTTTAATTCTTTTTTTCAATAGGTTTGACAGGATCTCCTTTTAGTGACAATTATTAAAAAGATTTATATGAAGAGATAGAACTTGGAGATTCAATATTTTCTCCTAATAATGGAAAGAATATTATAGAAGGAGGAGTAGTAAAACTATTTGGTTAAGAAGATAATTAATATAGTGAAACTGAATATGTATTTAATGCTGGATTATATTTCTTATAAAAAGGAAGTTAAAGTCTTTATGCTTTGGATACATCTAAAATCCATGAAGAATTAATCATACCAGCCATAGAAATACTTAATCAAATATGTTGGTATAGTCAATAAGTAGTATGCAAATATAAAAATATGAATGCTAATAAAGAAATTTAATTAATGACATATGAAAAGCTTAACACTATGAGTAAACATTAAATTGTCTTTTTTAAGAGAATTTTGGAAATGAAATCTGTTTGCAATAATGAATACAAAGGAAAATATAGGTAAGTGTTGTTTACATGTTTTCATTCTATGTTATTAATCTTATAAAGTGTGAAAGAAAATGAATTATAAGAACCTTAAGAATTGGTTTAAGTATTTCATTATTTCATATTGTAAATTGATTTCAATGATCCAAATTGTAAAGAACTTATAGGATAATTATCTTAAATTCTATCAGTTATATTAAATGTTTATCCAGCAAATCCAGAATTGTTAGATAAACCTAATGAAGGATTTTATGACATTATCAATTTACAATTAGAAGCATTAAAGAATTAAAATAATTCTAAGATATTCTAATCTATAATCTAATGTTGGATAGATATAATCACATTTAATATAACAAATAAAATAGATGTAAGATATTTAAAATAACTAACATTCATTGCAGATGAATAAATCTATAATTCTAATGAAAATGGATAATATAATCATAAACATTCTATGTGGTGTCATGTACTTGTATTAGTTAGAGAATTATTAGCTTATGATCAAACCTAATGTAGATCAATATTAGAATTTATGACTTCTCATGAATAAAGAATACATTCTGCAATTATTTAAATTGATCAAACTTAATAATATTAGTCTCTTAGACAATTTACAGATGTTACTGGATTAACACTTAAACATATTTAAACTTATTAATAAAGTTATATGTTATTTTTTGAATTGTCTTAAATAACTTAATTCCTTCTTGAATTTATTTTATGTAAAAATATGAGATTACAATTTAAAAGACAATTAGATAAAATTATCTATACATTTATGGGATAATATAGTTAGCAATTAGGATATCATAAAAAACTTAAATCATTTTTCCAAAGTTTTAAACCATATACTTTACTTGAAACAAAACTTAATTAATTGTTTGCAAAACCTGAATCAATTAAAAATTCTGATTATTTTTCAATATCCTAATCTGCTTAAATTATGAAATAAAATTAAACTTTCTCTCCTCATCGAACAACTCAAAGAGATTAAACATCTAATTTTGATGGAAAATCTACATAAGGTGGTGGATAAAAATTCAATCTAAAAAGAGATGTAGATAATATATCCTTATTTTAATACATATGTTTAATTGAATATTTAAGATTCTGTCGTTTTAGTATTTAAGGTATTGCAGCTTCTATGAATATTTTTGAAGTGGATCGTAATTTCTAATTGGAAGATAATGTTTGGAATAGTTTTGGTAATAATATATAGAATTTCATACAATTCAATTTTGATGCTTTTGCAAATCTATCCTAATCTGAATATATTAATAATTTGATTAAAATGCATTAATGGCTTTTAGGTAATTATGATTTTCAAATTTAATATAATGGACTATAATAATAATGTATATATCCAAGTAATTCTATATTTTATATATTAATAGCAAATAGAGATGAATTATTATAAATGTTTATTCAAAACATCATTTATGGTTTCTGTACTGAATTACAATATTTATAATTGAGAGAAGTTCATAGAAAGATTAATTTTATCAAAGATTCTTATAATATTGAAATTAATTTAACAAAGGAATTAAGTATTATAATTATAATATTTAAGGTAAATATGCTGAAACATTAAAACCTATTCAATTTGTAAAATAGATGGAAGCATAAGATCTATTAAATGAAGTATTATCTTTTGGAGAATATCCAATTAATGAAGCAAATGATAGCTATTTTAATAGATGGAAAACTAAATTTGATGAAAAGAGTGCAGAATATAAAAAAATATGATATAACAATTTAATATATTATTATTATTTTATAAGTAAAATTAAGTTCTAAAATTAAATTATAATATTTAAATATAAATAAATAAAATTTATATTATTAATTAAAATTTAATCATTTTTTGTAAATTAATAAATATAAAAGATTGTTCATTTCTTGATATCATCAGTTTCATTAGTATTTTAAATAGCTTTAACAATTATTTCTTTGAATTCTTTAAATTCGATCTAATTAAAATACAATTTACTTATCCATCTCCATTTTAATCAACTTCTTATATAAGATCTTTCCATACTTTTTCTGATACCTAAGAATTTTAACCAAATATTTATTTTATTTCATCAATAGATATTGTACCACTTCCATCTTTATCAAATAATTTAAATGCTTATTCCAATCTTTTATCCTCTATTAATTTTACCTTATTAAAAGTAGCCAAAACAAATTCTATAAATTATAAAAATAATCATTAAATACCAGAATAATCAATACTACCATTTCCATCTTAATCAATTTATTTCATTAATTTATCAACTTCTATTTCAGCATCAGAATAACTCATTACTTTTGAATAACCTATTTATATATATAAAATATACCTATAATTAGTTCTTCCCTACTTAATCTACCATCACCATTTAAATCTAATGCTTAAAATTATGTCAATAATTCCTACTTTTCTTAACTAGTTGCTAAATAATTGACCATAAATGTAAGAGCNGGCTTTTGGGTAATTATGATTTTCAAATTTAATACAATGGACTCTAATAATTATGTGTTTATCCAAGTAATTATTTATATTATATATTAATAGCAAATAGAGATGAATTATTACAAATGTTTATCTAAAATATAATTTATGGTTTCTGTGCTGAGTTGTAATATTTGTAATTGAGAGAAGTTCATAGAAAGATTAACTTTATAAAAGATTCATACAATATCGAAATCACTTTGACCAAAGAACTATGTAATATATATATATCTAATAATATAGGTAAATATGCTGAAACACTAAAACCTATTCAATTTGTAAAATAAATGGAAGCATAAGATCTATTAAATGAAGTATTATCTTTTGGTGAATATCCTATAAATGAAGCTAATGATAGCTACTTTAACAGATGGAAAACTAAATTTGAAGAAAAATTTTCAGAATATAAAAAAACATGATATACCCATATATATATGATTATTATATAAGATAATGTATTATTCAAATATTTAATTAAATTAAGTCTTTTTTTTGTAAATTAATAAATATAAAAGATTGTTCATTTCTTGATATCATCAGTTTCATTAGTATTTTAAATAGCTTTAACAATTATTTCTTTGAATTCTTTAAATTCGATCTAATTAAAATACAATTTACTTATCCATCTCCATTTTAATCAACTTCTTATATAAGATCTTTCCATACTTTTTCTGATACTTAAGAATTTTAACCAAATATTTATTTTATTTCATCAATAGATATTGTACCACTTCCATCTTTATCAAATAATTTAAATGCTTATTCCAATCTTTTATCCTCTATTAATTTTACCTTATTAAAAGTAGCCAAAACAAATTCTATAAATTATAAAAATAATCATTAAATACCAGAATAATCAATACTACCATTTCCATCTTAATCAATTTATTTCATTAATTTATCAACTTCTATTTCAGCATCAGAATAACTCATTACTTTTGAATAACCTATTTATATATATAAAATATACCTATAATTAGTTCTTCCCTACTTAATCTACCATCACCATTTAAATCTAATGCTTAAAATTATGTCAATAATTCCTACTTTTCTTAACTAGTTGCTAAATAATTGACCATAAATGTAAGAGC